TTGAAGCCGAAGTTTTGATCCCATGATTTAAGAAATAACCGATGGGTTTAATTTTCTACTGAACCACAAGTTTTGATAACATGTATTATTAAGAAGAAAAGTGATTTACCTTTATCAAACACATAAAAAAATTTCTCTAATCTTTAGTCATCTGTAACTTGATATTTAGATATTTCGAACTAGTTTATTATGTGTATAATTATATGTGTATGTTGAATATTATATATATATGTATTTATTTATATGTGTATTTATGATATTTCATTCTTATATAATATGAATTTATCGTTTATTATGGTATAGTAAAGTTGTGAAGCTGATGGCCGTGTCGAATTTAAACGAAGGACAATGAGCAAAGGATAGATTTTTAAAATGTTTTGTCTAACAGGTTTGTTTTTTGACGGGTTTCGTCGTAGTTTTGAGGGTTCCGTACCCTAAGGATAAGAACGGGACCCCATTACTAAGACTCCGCTGTCCGTCTCTCCGTCCATGATATCCAGGAAGTTGATTTTTTTACAGATGATGTATTTCTATTTCCGATATAACAGCAAAAACTAAACCAATAAAATTAATATTGACCCCCCCCCCCTTGGCTACCATACAACAAACGTGTTTTTTTGCCGTTTTTTGCTCAATATTAATAACCATAAAATATTTATTTGTTTATTCACTTTAAAAATAAATAATTAAATTAAAATAAAATAAATATTTAAGGGGCTCCCATACATCAGACGTTATTTTTGCCGTTTTTGGTATGGAACCCTTCGTGCGCAAGTTCGACTCGTACTTGGCCGCTTTTTTGTTATATTACCAGCTAAGTACTATATGTTTGATCGTAATCATAATTTATATGATGTCCAATATGATATTATAAACTGTATCTAATCGATTTACTAATGCGCGTTGACCGTAAACCTACTGATGGCAGTTTGCCACTGCGGCGCATGACACGGGTCACCTGCGCCCAGATTAAAAACATACATACATGATATGTGGGTAAATACACCGTAATAAATCTATTCTGTGGGTAAATGCATCTTAGAAACTTAGGTATATATAGTATGTAGCAGTCAAAACTCATATGCTGACAAAACCACTTTGCTTGATTTTTGCAGTTAAGAGTCGCATGCGCTGAAAAACTTTTAGCTTTTATAAAATAACAAAGGGCTGACGGCCACAGGCGTTACTCGATCAACTAGAATTGTTGATATGAGGCAAAAGATGAATTACTTTTTAAAAGGATACCCTCTCTACGCATCGCGCTTCTTGCGTCGCGCAGTTGGTTAAAAATATGATGGGGGAATTCCGATTTATTTTTATCAAGAGTGATTGCTAATACTTATACCTAACTAAACTTTATCAAAACCATCTGTGTGCGTCTGGGGTTATCGTTTATTTCTGTCGCCATCGTCGAGCACCTCTGTAGATCGTCGACGTCATAGACCACGTATCATCGTCGTACCCTCGCTCGCGTGCTTTATGGCCAATTTAAGCGCGATTATTGCCATGTAGATCCTACCTACGCATACGTTAAACAAACAAACACACGTCGCGTCGACCGTCGTCTGTGTCACGAGATGCACTCGTCACACCAATTTGTTATTGTACCTGTATGTGCGTCAGTAATTTTTAATATATTTACTGAAATGACTGTTCGCCCTTTGTGTATTTTTGAAGTGCAACTTCTTTACTCACGCTTGACTTGGGGGGTAAGCTGGCGAATGCGTTACGCGTTACGAAAAGTGTGTGCAGGCGAGGCGAACGGGAGTTCAGTGGGGGATATAAGCAAGAGAAAGCAGTGCGCGCGCACATTTTCTTTCTCTCTTTCTCTTATAGCTAGTAAATGAGATACATATATATACATACATACAGATAGAGCTAAAGAAGTTTCACTTCAGTCATAAGCACACTCGTTATTTTTATGTGCAAATATAGAGGCTTTAAGATAAACACGGGCAACGTCGTCCGTGTTGCTCTATGATGGCAAACAAGACTATGGCCCGCCTTATAGTAAGCAGCCACCATAGCCAATAGACACTTTCGATACTCGCAAATGCCTACCTTAACCTTACCCCGTGGAGCCCTGGAACCTTACTCATAGACAGAAACACAATCCACCAAATGGCAGTGTTATATCATTGTGGTCTTCTGTTAGATGGTTACTTCACCAAACAAGCATTCCAATTTGAGAGGGAAATGCCCTACATTTCCCAATGTAAATGTATTGTGTAAAAGAAGTATCTATTGTAGGTATTGATTTAATCCAGAAAGTGTTTAAGACATTTTTACTTAAAATAATGTTCTTATCGTGACGCAATGCAATGCAGGTTTGACGAAATTCACGCTCGTCAACATAAAAGTATCTGCTGCGTCAGTCTTCACTGTGTATTAATGGACCATATCATTATGATATCAGTCAGTGGGCAATACAACTTCGAATAAATCCTATTCTATTTTCAAAGTAGCGTGGTGTTTCTATTCAACACTGTGTCAGTCCCGACGCTGCCCGCCTTCCTGGAGTCACACTGGTCGGGTCGGCCCATTTGCCTTTGAGACTGGGCGTGGGCCAAGAATACGGAGAAAGCGTTATATCTATTCACACGCTGTTTAATGAAAACCCCAGCGTCGGGTGTCGAGCACTCACGTTTCCGGGGACATATATCAAAAGTTAATGCTGCTAATTTTGTTTTTGACGATTTGTTAGGTGAGCAAACGTGGGCGTGTTTACTTGTTCTAATTTAAATGTGAAATTTCAAAAGGAAACTGATTAACGGAGACAAAAGATTGTTTTTTTTGTTTTATCAAAACAGGTTTGTTTACCTGTTTCACGGGTAACTGACGTTGATGTCTTTAGTTAAAAAATCGTTTAATTTTTAAAGTTAAGCATAAAATTCATGAGCCGACTTATGTTTTCCGCCGCTAGTCAAAAGCTGTAAAGTCAAAACCCTTCCGTCAAGTGGTATGTCCTTCCACATCGTTTCCCCACTTACGGTCAGCTTGGCTTGATCAAGTCACTTAATTAAATTTAGTGATTGAATACTATGAACTGCTTAATGGTTTTATGTATGACTTGCCTGCTTTTGGATCTTTCTTGCATGTATAACTGCAATAAATAAATAAATGAAGCTGCAGAATGGTGAGTGACCACCATAAAGTTCATGGTCGGGACATAATCAGGAAATTGTGGCCGTTAAATGCTATGTAGATGATGATGGACATTGTAGTTATCTGCAATGCGCGGCGGTGGCGCTGCCTTGCAGTTTAAGAATAAATAGACACCTTCGAGTTAGGTCATTCGCCCGGATAGCAAAAGGCGCTAATATGAATCTACACTTCTGGACACATCTATTGGCCCACCTTGTATTTTCAGTTTCGTTTGGTCCTAGCTAAAATTTTATAATAGGTCGAGCAAAAAGTTTTTATGCAGTTTTCAACCTGGCACATTCACAATTTCATTCAATAGTCTTTTTTTGAATTTCGAACACAGAATTTAAAGAAACAAAAGACAATTTGGAGCCTGTTTGTTGATATCAAACAATCGAATACTAAGAAAACTTGGTTTTATTGGTTTACTTGGATTTCATTCTTAAAAAAGTGATTGATCTTTTGTTTTGCAACAAACATTACTTATTCTTAACATTAAGGTGAGGTTCTATCAATAATCTATGGATACTTCACCTGAAGTCGCCGCCCAAGCTGTGGCACTTGTCGTGTTGTCATGTTTATCGGAGGTACCTAGAGACTGGCGGTTTTGTTCGTCGCCAAAGAAGGCCACGATCTCGGGTCACAACTGAAAGGCAGGACCGATTCATCGTGACGACCAGCTTGAGAAATCGTCACCTTACCTCCATTGAGATACAAAAACAAATTCGCGACTTCCACGGAGTATCTGTGAGCGATCGAACTGTTCGGAGAAGGTTAAAAGAACGCAATATGGTACCACACAAGCCAGCTAATGGGCCCAAAATAACTCGAGCCCACCGAACAGCGCGCCTTCATTTCGCACGCAGTCATTTAAATTGGACACAGCAAGATTGGAGCCGTGTACTCTTTTCTGATGAGTCTAAAATTGTGTTACATGGCAATGATGGAAGGAAGAAGGTCTACCGACGTAAGGAAGAGCGTTTCGCACAATGCTGCTTTGAAGAGAGGGTTGCTTATGGCGGTGGCTCATGGACTGTCTGGGGCGGTATATCCGCGAGCGGCAAGACTCAACTTGAGGTTGTTACAGGACCACGGCTGCCAACATTAAATGCTGAAAGGTACATTCGTGAGTGCTTAGAACCTCACGTGATACCATACGCGGACTATGTGGGCCCAAATTTCCTTTTTATGCATGATAATGCAAGAGCCCATGCGGCCGGCATCGTCAGGGAATATCTTCGGGATGTGAACATCACAGTTATGGACTGGCCAGCCAGAAGCCCAGACATGAACCCCATTGAGCACATGTGGGACGAGCTAAAAAGTCGTGTTAGGGCTCGTCAGCCAGTTGCCCAGACGATGCAGGAGTTGAAAATTGCCATAGAAGAGGAATGGGAGATGATCCCTCAAAATTTCATAGAGCGGTTGATAAACTCTATGCCTAATCGTATGAGAGCTGTGGTAGATGCCCATGGAGGCAACACGCGTTATTAAATTAAACCTTTATTTGATAAAACATGTTTTTTATTCAAAAATCAATTGCCTTTAACAAGGCGCATATCCGACTTGTTAGGCGTAGCTCCATGTCGTATGGTATTCTGAATTCAAATTTAAAACAATACGATCGAAAACGATGGTAAAATGTATCAGGTTTAAAACTGCATCAACAGTTTTGTTCAATCTAGCAATCATATTTCGGTAGGGGCCATCGAAACCTAAACTCTAAGGTGGGCCAATAGATGTGTCCAGAAGTGTATTTAACCCGACATCTGGGCCGACTGGTATTCTTCCGAGTAAAAATTTATAAATCTAGCTAGCTTAAAAATATATTATGCTGATTAGATATTTATTTTCAGGTCCTCCTTGCCGAGCTACGGGACACAGAGTACTACTACGCCGTGAAATGTCTGAAGAAGGATGTGGTATTGGAGGATGACGACGTAGAGTGCACGCTCATTGAGAGGAAGGTGCTGGCACTCGGCACCAACCACCCTTACCTGTGCCACCTGTTCGCCACCTTCCAAACTGACGTAAGTAACATCATCATCAGCCTATTAATACCAGCACTGAGAATACCTTTATACCTTTCCCTACATAAAGTCAGCATTCATTATCATCAATCTATTAATCCGGCCAAAAACCACGCGTTTGATTTTTAAAACCCGAGTTTTTCGGGTATTTTTGATACATTTATTTCTATTACTATATATCGCTCAAAGGATTGCTGAAATCAGAGGCTGAAGTAGTGGTAGAAGGGATACTTAGAGAGGAGAACGAGGGTAGTTGGGGCGGAATGGTTCTTGAATGGTGACCACGCACTGAAATACGCTCAGTGGACGAGGTGGACCGACGTAGGTCGTCGGTAAAGGTCTCGAGAAGCCGCTGGGTGCGAGTGGCGCAGGACCGACCAGTGGGTGTCGTATGGTTGATACGATGATAATGAAGATTTTTTTTTTTGTTTTATTAAAACTGTTTTTATTATTTCGACAGTACTGTTTCATTAATTTTAATCTTTTCTTGCCCTTGTCATTCAGTTCTTATTGTAGAAAATCTGTATAAGAACACACTTTCTTGTATTTTAAACTTACAACAAGAATATCGAAAAGCTCGAAAAACCCGGTCTACCCGAGTATCGAGACCCGAAAAACCGGGTTTTCACAATTGAATTGGGTTTCGATGCCCTACGCTTAGGCCTTCCCTATGGATGATGGAATAGGGAGACTGGGCCGCGACCCACCATGCAGGTCCAGTGCGGATTGCTTGGGTGATAACGACAGCAATGCTGCCGGGATCAACGGCTAAACGTACCTTCCAAAGCACGGAGAAGCTCGAGATAATAAGTTTTTGGTCGCCCATCCAATGACCGGCCTTTGCGAAAGCTGCTTCAATTTCATGGCCAAATGTGCTCACCAGCTGCGACATCGAGCTCCTCAAGCCCAAAGTCAGCATGACTTACTAAGAAAGTGCCACAGTCCACAAAGAGGAGGGCCAAGTGCGAATTGGTTTGTGCTTCTGAGTATAGATTTGATGAGATAGATAAGTACTTAATAATTATTTGGCCACCAATCCGATGACTGGCCACTGAAAACTTTCGCAACTGCACACCGAATGCACTAACCTCACAAGCTCTTTACATGGGGTAGTTGTAAGTTAGTGGTTGCTTTTACCACAAAAAAGTTAGATGGTTCAAAACAGCGTGCAATATTTTTGTGGTATTATGACCCAATCCACCTTACATAACGTAGACTAAAGTTAAACTGATACTAAAACTGATGTTATCACTTTTGTTTGCTAGAAGAAGACAGAGACAGCATTAGGTTTAAACCAAGACTTAGTTTAGTCCGCGTTTTAGAATAAGGGGGTTTATGTCTTACCTATATTGCAAACCTGTTTTTTAAAATATCTGTGAATATTTTCAGTCGCACTTGTTCTTCGTGATGGAGTACCTGAACGGCGGCGACCTGATGTTCCACATACAGCAGAGTGGGCGGTTCCCGGAGGCGCGGGCGCGCTTCTACGCCGCCGAGATCGTGTCCGGACTCAAGTTCCTACACAAGCGAGGCATTGTGTACAGGTATTTAGAATGAACATACATACACAGTCAGGTTATAAGTATTGTCACGCAGTAAAAACTTTTCTTTTAGAATGCTGGCCACAAAAAAGTTTATTGTATTCGAATTTCGAATTGTTCATGAAAATAAAAATTTTTAGAATTTTACTCACTTTTAAATATGGAGTGGACGCTTAAAGAAGACCGTGTTGCAGTTATTGCGGTTACGCGCCAATTCAAATTTTTGACATACCTAATGAAAATTTTGAATTTAACCAAAAGATTCGTTTATCGTACCACCAAACGATACAATGAAGACTCTAGTGTAGATGACAGGTCAGAAGTGGTCGCCCTCGGTCTGTTAGGACTCCAGCAGTGATAAAAGCTGTGAAAGCGCGAATACAAAGAAATCCCAAGCGCAAGCAGAAACTGTTGGCCTTTCAGATGGGGTTAAGCAGAACCACAGTGAAAAGGGTGTTAAATAAGGTTAAATGAAGACTTAGGGATTTGGGCATATCGAAGAAAAACAGGACATCGTTTGAATGCTCGTCAAATGGACCTGAGACTGAAGAGATGCCGCGCTTTGTTGAAGCGGTACGCGGGAAAAAATATCGTAAAATTCTTTCTTCGGATGAAAAAATTTTTACCGTAGAAGAGAGCTACAACAAACAAAATTATAAGGTGTACGCACACAGTAGTGAAGAAGCAAGCAACCGTATTCCGCGTGTCCAACGAGGTCATTTTCCATCCTCGCACATGGTATGGTTGGAAGTTTCTTATTGGGGCTTAACAGAGGTACATTTTTGTGAAAAAGGTGTAAAAACGAATGCAGTTGTGTATCAAAATACAGTCCTGACGAACCTTGTGGAACCTGTTTCTCATACCATGTTCAATAACAGGCACTGGGTATTCCAACAAGATTCGCCGCCAGCTCATAGAGCGAAGAGCACACAAGACTTTCTGGCGGCGCGTGAAATCGACTTCATCCGGCACGAGGACTGGCCCTCCTCCAGTCCAGATTTGAGTCCGTTAGATTACAAAATATGGCAACACTTAAATTGGAGGAAAAGGCGTGCTCAAAGCCTCATCCCAATTAGGAGTCACTCAAGACATCCTTGATTAAGGCAGCCGCCGATATTGACATGGACCTCGTTCGTGCTACGATAGACGACTGGCCTGTATTCAAAATCACGGAGGTCATTTTGAATAAACTTTACTGTCATAAGAATCTATGTTTTGTTAAGTTCATTTTGGTATATAAATGGTTACATAATGAATAAACTTGGTTCAATTATTTTATATTAAACATGTGACAGAATTTATGACCTGACTAGGTATATCCTTTATGTCAATAGGTATTGGTAAATAAAGTACGAATTACTTAGCTCGTATAGATCTTTGTAATTTACAACCAAGCTCTTATTTTTAGTAATACTTGCAAAGAATATTATTGAAACATTCTCAAGTGCTCTAGCGCAATAGTATCCGGTCCGCACTTAAATAGGTCGCATCGTAAAATTAGTTTGTTTTCCATTTTGGAAATCTATATCTACTTAGTTATCTAATTAGCATTATATTCGAATACCTAGGTAGTGTAGAGAAAATAACCGCCATATTGAAAAAATCTGTATGCGTCCCCGACTCGTAAGTGATCATAAAAGTTAACCTTTGCTTTGTTACAGAGATTTGAAGTTGGATAATATTTTACTGGATTTCGATGGGCATGTACGCATCGCCGACTTCGGCATGTGCAAGCTCCAGATATATTTGGAAAAGACCGCGGATACATTCTGCGGCACGCCCGATTACATGGCGCCAGAGGTTGGTGTTGATTTTGTTTATTTGAAACAGAACCACAACCGTTTCTTTTTTTTTATTTATTTATCAAATATAATTTTAAACTATTAACTATACTTTATAATTTCGCCAAACTGATTAACAGTCTTATTCACGTCACAATCATTTTATATTGTTTTTAGCATCTGCGTCAAAAATAACTAGTCCGCCATCTTGTATGTTCCGCCATATTGGATTTAGAATGACGTCACATAGAAATTGTCATCCAAACTAAATCAGCTCAATCGAATGAAGATATCTGCTTCAAAATTGAGTTGCAAGATTCCACCCGAACAAATAAATATACATACTTACATACATACATTGCAAGTATAATAAAAGCTTTCAAAAATCCATACCTATGCCAATGTCGAGGACTTTATCAATGTTTACATATAATACCCATTCCAATTCTTTCAAAACATCTTAGAAGTTCGGTTTTAGAATCGATCATTTACAAAATTAACTGTTTTCCATTCAAATTGCAGATCATAAAGGGTCTGAAATACAACCAGGCTGTGGACTGGTGGTCGTTCGGCGTGCTGCTGTACGAGATGCTGATAGGCCAGAGTCCGTTCAGCGGCTGCGACGAGGACGAGCTGTTCTGGTCCATCTGTAACGAGATGCCCTCCTACCCGCGCTTTCTGTCGCAGGAGGCCCTCACCATACTCACTAGGGTAAAAAGCAACAGTTGAGATCAATTCAAAGCTAGGAAAACCGATACATTCTCCAGTCAGGAACTGGTCCAACTGCAGATGCCTACCCGCGCTTCCTGTCGCAGGAGGTTCAACTGTTTCTTCTTACCCTAGTGAGTATGGTTCTCACTAGGGTAAGAAGAAACATTTAAGATAAATAGATAGATAAAACTGAATTCGCACCAATATGCACACATTCAAAACTGACAAGATACAAATCGTAAAATTATATCTGTCCTGCATAACAATTAATAAACATAATATTGCGATAATCTTTTGAGCAGCAGCGATACGAATGGTCAAACTCAGCGTAATTCCAAAGCTTTTCAGCAACCATCCACCTGATGTTAAGTGGTCAGTGCCGCCCATGAACACTTGCAGCACTAAGTGTACCACTCTAAAGGAGAATGTTTACCTTCCTTCCTATCCTTTGAATACCGTCAAAACATAGCTAAAATATTGAGGGATGTTCGCTCTAGAAATTGCTGGTATGCAAGAAAATGGTACGCACGGTAATTCGCCAAGTGTCTAGATCAGCTATACTCTAAGTGTGTTCCGCGGAACCCTAGGGTTCCGTGATACCTCTGTCGGGGTTCCGCAAGAATTTAGAAATAAAAAAATCAAAACACCTCTCTCTGGTCGCTCCGCGGCTGTGCGGACTCCGCGGCCGCGCGGAGACAAAACGCTATGAATGTTATTTATTTATTTATTTGTATTTGTATAAGCTTGTGTTACATTAGCTGGTACAATATCTCATAAGTTTGGTCTCAACAATTTTATACTTGTACAACGCGTTCGCTCTAAGTTTGCCGGTCTGTGGAATGCGCGTACCCTCCCCCACGTGACAACAAAACTTATAATGTGTCATAGTTTTACCCAAATATCTAACGTACACAATTTTTATTGTTACAATTAAATAAAAAATTTCGAACGTCATACACTCATACCTATCGCCAGCGGCAAACTTAAAACGAGCGGGTAGGTATACTTGTAAGCGCTCAGTCTCTTTGATAAAAGCCGCCTCTGAATTAGACGCTATAGTTGTCAACTAGCGACTTTCGTCTCTAACTTCAAAGGATAAAGTCGATATTGTTTACAACGCTATTTTTAAATTTCTGTTTTTATTTTTGCTTTTTGTTTATCAAAGGTGCCGACTCGAGTATTTTCGAGAATATTTGAGATCGAGTCTAGGACTAAGTATAAAAGCGGCGATCGCGCGTTGGCGTCGTCAGTTGATGATTAGCGTTCGGAGCGATAAGTTACTACCTACTTACAAGCTCGCTAGCGAGAAACTGGTGTTCATTGTTTTACTGCCTGCTGTATTCTGTTGTCTCAGTTTTATACATTTCTTCCCTGTAGGTTCTAAATTTAGTCTCTTATACGCAGTAACGATTGTGCATTATTTAAACCCCACTATCCTGACTTGTAACATTATAAATAAAGAAGAATGGAACGTTGGCTTAAAGGTGTTAAACGTGTTCCAACAACATCTTCTAATGACGCTGAATGTTCAAAAGCAATGCGCGCGGAGAATTTAGCAATCACCGATCCAGAAGATGATGCCACGAGTGCCACGACGTCAAGCTCGACGGTTTCAAAGACGAAAAAAAGGAAGTATGATGAATCTTATATCAGTTTCGGATTTGTTGATTCCAACGGCTCACCTCTCTGCATGCTCTGTAGTAAACTGCTTCCTAATAGTTCCATGGCACCTGCCAAATTGCGTCGACATTTAGAAACCGTACACCCCGAGACTAAAGACAAGAATAAAGAATTTTTTGTTCGCAAAAAAGATCAGTTATTAGAAAGTCAAAAAAATATGATGCATGTAACACAAACTACCAACGAAAAGGCCACGGAGGCATCATACTTAGTTAGCTATCGCATTGCACAAGCAGGTGAAGCGCACACTATCGCTGAGAAATTAATAAAACCATGTGTATTAGACATAACAAAATGTATGCTTGATGAAAAATCTGCAAAGCATCTTTCTACTGTTCCGCTATCAAACGATACTGTTTCACGACGAATCCATGATCTGGCAAGCTACGTCAAACAAGAACTAGTTACACGTCTACAAAATACACGATTCGCTTTGCAAATGGACGAGTCGACTGATGTCGCTGGTTTGGCTATCCTGCTGGTTATTGTGAGATATCCATATAAAAGTTCTTTTGAAGAAGACATGCTTATGTGTTCATCGCTGCTTACAAACACTACCGGGGAAGAAATTTTTAATAAAATAAATATATTTTTTGAAGAACATAATCTCAGTTGGAACAATTGCATTGACATTTGTACAGATGGGGCCAAGGCGATGACAGGTAAAACAGCAGGAGCAGTGTCACGAATGAAAAATAAAGCGCCTAATTGTAGTTCCAGTCATTGTATTCTGCATAGACAAGCACTTGCGATGAAGCAAATGCCGTCTAATCTAAAATTAGTTATGGATGAAGCGGTAAAAATAATTAATTTTATCAAATCACGACCACTACAATCCCGATTGTTCTCATTATTGTGTGAAGATTATGGCAGCAAACATAAAACACTGCTGCTCCATACAGAAGTGCGATGGCTGTCTCGGGGAAAAACTTTAACAAGGCTATTTGAACTTAGAGCCGAGTTACAAATGTTTCTTTCAGCAGATACTTCTTTTAATTTGAAGGACCGTTTGTATGATAAAACTTGGTTGTTCCGATTGTCTTTTATGGCGGATATCTTTCAAAAACTTAACGAATTAAATTTATCATTGCAAGGTAAACAGACAACAGTGTTTCAGGCCTATAATAAAATAACTACTTTTAAAAGAAAATTAGATTTTTGGATCATTTGCATTGGTAAGAAAGAAATAGAAAGTTTTACGTTACTCACTGAGTTTGTTAGCGAAAACGACTCAGAAATGTTTGAAGATAATGTGTTTGAAGAATTGGTCCAATATCTCAGTTCGATGCGCGCATCTTTTGAAAAGTATTTTCCCGAAGAACACAATACAAAAATTAAAGTGAACTCCTGGATTGAAAACATGTCAAATGAGATATATGAATCTCTTTTAGAAATGTCATCAGACACAAGTATGGAGTCATTGTTCAAAACGACGCCTCTTAATGATTTTTGGTGCAGAATCCAAGATGAATATGCAATGCTTGGCCAAATGGCTCTGGATATTCTTCTCCCGTTCCCAACTACATATTTGTGCGAAACAGGATTCTCTACCTACGCAGCCACGAAAACAAAATATCGCAATAGACTGGACGCCGAAGCTGATATGAGACTCCAACTTTCTTCCATCAAACCTGATATCAAGCAATTGATGAAAAATAAAAAACAGTTTCATACCTCCCACTAGTTAGATTTTTTCTTTTTTAATGTTTTCTATTATTGTCCTTACCAAGTGGTGAAGTAAATAATAATTAGTAACGGATACATTGTACTTTTATTATGCTGATTAATATAGAATACACTTATAAAAATAATTGTTTTATTGTAGGGTTCCATCAAGTATTTTGCTTCCCAAAAGGGTTCCGTCATTTAAAAAGTTTGAGAACCACTGGTCTAGATGATGGGAAGCTAGGAAAACGATATACATTCTCCATTCAGGGACTGTACTCGTTCTGGTATATCTACAACGAGAAGCCCTCCTAACTGCGCTTCGTGTCACAGGAGGCCTTCACCATACTCACTAGGGTAAGAGGCAAGAGTGAAGACAAATTCAAAGCTCGGAAGGCGATAGGAAAAGCGCTTTATCTCAATGGCTCAGTGCGTCCAAAACCTCTTGTTTTTAGCATAAGGTTGATGTTAGTGGTTTAGTTCAGCGATTCTATCTCCTACACTTTTTTTTTTAATTTGACTTCTCTGTAAATAATAAAACAGGGAGAAAAATACAGCCCTTGCTGAGTTTCTTGCCGGTTCTTCTCAGTACAATGTCTCCCGCCGTAGATTTACGAACCGATGGCGTAGCTTCTAGACATTCACGAGTGCTTGTAACAGCCTAAAATGAACAAATGATTATGATTATGATGATTGACACAACATGTATCTTCAAACGTCCCTAATAATAGCAATATATTTTCAGTTGTTGGATAAAGACGCGCGGTCGCGGCTAGGCGGCACCGAGTGCATGCACGGCGATGTGAGGGACCAGGACTTCTTCCGGCCCATACATTGGGACCGTCTCGAGAGGAGGGAGCTGGAAGCGCCTTTCAAGCCAAGAGTGGTAAGATCAACATCCTAACTAAGTAATATTATAAATGCGAGTAATATTAAGTAATATTAATATAATACTAAGTAACATTATAAAAGTGAGTTTGTTTGTTACTCTTTCACGCAAAAAGTACTAAACGAATTTGGATGAAATTTGGTGCGAATATAGTTTATGATTGACCTGGATTGAGACCTAAGATACTTTTTATACCGGAAAAATGTTAATTTCCTGTGGGATTCTCAAAAAACTAAAGTTAATGTGAACGGCAGTGGGCTGGTCACATTAGCCGCAGAACTGATGGACGTTGGAGCCGGAAAGTTCTTGAGTGGAGACCGCGACTCGGTAAACGTAGTGTAGGACGCCCTGAGACAAGATGGGATGATGATATTCGTAGGCTGGCTGGAGTGGGCTGGATGAGAGTAGCACAAAATCGGGAGCAGTGGCGTGCATTAGGGGAGACCTATGTCCAGCAGTGGACGAACATGGGTTGATGATGATGATGAATGTAAACGAAGTTACAGGCGGCCGCTAGTAGTTAAATAAATATTTCTAAAATTCAGACCTAACAGCCTAGCCCCAAAGTAAGCACTGTATGGGATACTAGGGTAACGGATAGAAATACCTTCACAATTATAATAATATAAAGATAATTATACTTTTTATAGAAATATATATTATACACAAACAAACAAAGGTAAAAATGCACGTATTCATCATACAAACATTTGCTCCACCGGGATTCGAACCCAGGACCACAGAGTAGGGAACACCTCGTGCGTACATAGCACTGTTACCACTTTACCACGGAGGTAGTCACAGTGCGTTAGCGGACCTGCAAGCGTGGAAGTAAAGCCACTTTCGCACGGGAAAGAAGATGATATGGAAGGAAGATAGAATGGGTGACTAAAATATACCTACTTATTATCTTGAGCTCCTCCGTGCTTCGGAAGACATGTCAAGCCGTTGATCCCGGATGCATCAGCAGTCATAAGTACCCACCAATCCGCATCGATGCCACTTAGTGGGACATGACCCAAATCACCCAAGGAATCTTATGAAAAGCTTACACCTCAGTGTGAACATTAATAGGCTAATGATGGTGGTGTCGACGGAAGTCAGGGTTTTACTCGCTATGTTGTACGCTATTACGTGAGACAGAGTAGAAGTATTTCAAACAATTCAAACTGGTACAGAAAATTAGATTTTTTTAACTCGTTGACGCATTTACTTATTTACGTAACAAAAACTAGATTCAAACTCATATCCAAGCCTCTGGTGCTGAGTGCCTGTAATTTATCAACGAGTAACGTCAGTGCAACATCGGTAGAAGCTGTGCTACATTGAATACTGCAACTTATCTCTGTGTTGTTTCCGTGGTTATGATTTGATTGCTATGTGATATTTTTTGTTCCAGCGGCATCCTCTAGACACCCAATACTTCGACAAGGCGTTCACCGGCGAACGTCCGCGTCTGACGGCGGTCGAGCCGCAAGTGCTGCGCTCCATGGACCAGGAGCCTTTCCGGGGATTCTCATACACTAACCCCAACGCGACTGACCGCTAAAAGAAACCTTATATACACGGGACTAAGATTCGAATTGACTCAGCTGGCCGTGGGTCGACGCAGACGGTAGCAAGCGCACATCACACGTCTCAAAGAATTTTGAAAAAAGAACGGTTAGCTCATTTTCGTTCGAGACTCATGACTTCCCGTATAGTGGAAGTAGAGGAGAGTCGATTGGCGAACACTGTTTAGGACATAGAATAATAACCAAATTTATATTCTATGATTTAGAAAGAAACATAATGCTTTGATCAAAATGAAACGGTAGGCTTCTGTCGAGTTTCATAGTTATATATCTCTACGTTTATATAATATATATCTATTGCTTTAAGCAAAAAAGTATTAAATAACATGGCTACATATTTGAAAAAAGACACGTTTTATTCATCGATCTTCAAACTGATTATTATTATTAGGTTCTTAATATAAAATAAAACAGTTTCTATTTAATAACGCTTTTATATAAAATGTCATGATATCTAGTAAATTCGACAACATTATCTAGTCATATCAATAGTTCTTGAATTATTTTCGCTTAAAAATAAGTATTTTGTATCTATAAGTGTGAATTGTATTTAGTGACTTATAGCTTGTCAAAAATCTGTTGTTAATGTTATGTTATTACAAAATGTAACGACAAAATATCAATGATTAAATTCTAATTTGTAGGCATATTGCATATCATAAATGTTCAAAGTAATTGTTTGTTATAAATAAATTATATAAATCACATGCTTGTTTTAATTACTACTTTCTACCATCCATACATTTATAACACCTATTGAGAAATATTTGACTTAAGTACCTATACTTACATTTTTGAAAATATTTTTTACTTAAGTATATAATTTATTTTTGATACATTTGGCATTCACAATACTAAATTAACATTTAATATAATTATTTACAAAGAAATACCCACTAGACAAAAAAAGCGGCCCAATTGTGTAACTCTTTCTCCTTACGTGAAGCCTTTTATTTCATACATGAAAAAATGGATTAGTTTTATCATATAAATTCTTTTATTTTATATTCGTCGTAAAGATGCTACCTTTGAAGGCATTGTTTGAATGTGATCGCGGAAAGAGTAAAGGTATACAATTAGCCTCCCGATAACGAAATGAGATCCGAACTTGTAATGACACTAATGTTTCATTAAATTAATACATAGGGCGCACTAAACATTACTAAAGTTAAACTTGGTTTTAACAGATGATGTCATTTTGTTTGCTAAAAAGAAGGCAAAGACAGCATTAGGTTTAAACCATAAGTAACTTTGTCAACATTTTAGATTACGGCAGTTTTCCTCTAAATTGCAGATTATTTTATCTATTTACATTTACACCCTAAAATAATATAAATGTAACGTAGAAATATTAAAATTTAAATGCTATTTCAAATATTGCGTAGTCATACAAATTGAAAGGGAAATATATATTTAGTATATAGGGCTTTTTATTGACAGGTAGGTAACCAAAACAAGAACCATTACAAAGACAAAAATTATAAATTTAAAATAAACCTTCTGCGTTCGCCCGATTCCTAGGTCCCTATTGTCCGCTTCGTTTGTCCAATATACGAACTATCACCACACTATACACCAGGTTTCACCAAAGGGAAGTTGTCTTTGGAAGACCGTAGAACCTGTGACACTTTTTGTAAGTGTAGAGTATAAAAAGTGTAAAGTTTAGTAATGGAGAATATTTTTAGAAAAAAAATTAATACGTATATATTTTTGAATAATGACTAAATTATTCAGGTTAGTGCGCCCCACGCACAGTTGAAACTTTTACAGAAGTTTAGAAATTCGTTGATAGTTAAATATAGGTGGCATGATATCCAGCTAGCTACTTATGTTATGCTGTTCTATAAGACAAAAAACACTGCGTTAAAGTTTAAAAATATCGAGATTTTGGACATAACTGATCTTCTTTCTATGTTAGATCACCATTGGAAATATTACAAAGAAATTAATATTTATTTGCATTCATTCAATATACAATTTCGTATACTTTCATCGTGGTCTAATTTTATTTGATATACAGTTGATTTTGTAGCTATAAATAAATCGTGAGATAACTCCGCTTCGCTAACTTCCAGTTTTAATACCGCAACATTGTCCGTATCGTAACTTTTAGCAAACTGTTGAACATTTAAGCTGAGTATGGGTTTTGGTTCTGGACACTTCATCTTTCGTGGTTCATATATTTCAACCTGGAAAAAGTTTTTCAGTTTTACAAGACAGGTAACTACTACGCACCGGAGTAATATTCACTATATTACTGAGGATAAGCTGAAAAAATAAAATCGAAAATAAAAAATTGGTGTGGTTTATAACCACGATGCAAGTGAAACTCTTAAAATTAAATACCAGGTTGCTTCAGCATTTATAAGCTAGATTCAACTAACACTTAGAAAACACGAAATCATAAGCAGAAGTGGAGTAATTTGATGTATACCATCATGGTGTAAAGATTAGTTAAGTAGGTACTTACTTTACCATCCTCATAGCCCAGCATCAACATGTCGCCGTGCTCCAGGGTGCACGTGAGACCCGGGCATTCTAATACCCAATGTTCAGAATCCTGGTATTTCATTTTGAACGGCGAATCATTGGAAACTGAAAATATTTATTAGTATTATTAATCGAACACACCACCTACCTACGAGTTGTACCAGGGAATGGGCTGTCTCTACAAGTTTCCGCAAATACATATAAACATTCTTTCTATACGGGAAAGTCAGCAGCTGACAAATTGTATATTTTTTCTTTATCTGCCAACCTAGCATGGGAGTTATTTCAATAAAACTTTGTAGAAACTTCATTCCATTTGCCACACATCAAAAGACCAAAGGCCAACGACCAAAGACAAGGAGGTGGTCTGAATATGCGCAACCATATTTTTATGCAAATATCTATCTTCAATCGACATCTGTAAACATAGGTAGGTTTTTTCACAGATACCAACCTGGGATTATAGCACCATACTTTTGGTACAGCATTGGATTCGAATATTTGGGTATATCAAAACAATAACCCGGCTGGAATTTCAAGCCTACCCGGTCTACTTTCAGCAGACCGCCCCAGTTAAGCATCACGTAAACTTCGTCCTGGTACACGTTAATGTCGACTATCACACCGTGCCCGTAATGACGAGCGAGCAGCTTCCAATCCCACAGCTCCTCGGTCCATTTCAACGCAAACAGACATCTGTCTGTAGTTGTTACATAGCAGCAGTCGTCATGTATCCTGATGGGAAAGAGAAAACTCACGGTGGGTAAGGGAATGGAAAATTGTTATAACCAAAAATATCATTTAATTACATATATAATGGTGTCGATTCTAGCATGATTCTCTAAACCTAAACTTAAATTTGACAGCAGTATATCCTTGTCATTCTCTATGCAGAATGAAAAAGAGAGACTGATGTTAAATTTAGTTTTAAGATTAGAGAATCACGCCAGAATTGGCACCAATATTATATTACACATGAAATAACTACAACACCGATATCCCCCACAGAGTAATGAGGTAAATGTAATTTATATATTGGTTTTAGAACTAGTGTTAATTCATAAATATTGTTCTTTGATCCCATGATAAGTAGTACAGCCAGCCAGATTCAAAAGAATACAGACGAGTTCACTTTGACATTAAAGCCACCCAACCGGGCATCGAGTCGCAAAGTTGACGACTACAATTTCTGCTACAGCAGTAAACTTTATCCCCCTTATTAATAAACGCAGAATAAGCTTGGATTAGATAATCCATATTTTGTCTCCATGGCAAATAGCATTTGAGTGACATGAACAAAAGACTGCGGAACTAGTCTTAGCTTATTCCTTGTTCATTATTAAGGTGGTATAAGTTAGGAGTAGTACATTAACCCGATTGTAACATGCAAAGAGGGCGGAGAGAGGTATCTCGTAAGTCTACTTTGTAAGATAATGATCTTACAAAGTAGACTAAATATAAATCAATGGATTGTTGTGAAAGAAAATTTATCAATTAGTATGATATAATTAATGGTTTGGCTACAGCGTTATTTTTTTTATCGAAGGCGGTACTTGTGACGCTGTTTTATCATAATCATAATCATTTATTCAGTTTAGGCTGTTACAAGCACTCATGAATGTCTAGAAGCTGCGCCATCGGTTCGTAAATCTACGGCGGGTGACCTTATACTGAGAAGAACCCGCAAGAAACTCAGCAAGGGCTGTTTTTTTTCTCCCTGTTTTGTTGATGACTCCATCGTTATGACAATTATGACATGAGTTTCAAATTTTACTTTACGGGATTGAGAAGTTTACCGGTGTGTGAAGTGGTTCCCCTGTGCTATACTTAACATCATATCATCACAGGGTCTTAGCTAGAGTTGTTTTTAGGATAGGGCAGCTGTAATTACAGGGCATAAGCAGTGGCGTGTCGCCCTTCGTAGCCTGCCCGTTTTAAGGTAGGGCATTGCCTATACAAAATTATATTGACATTTCGCACTCGCAAACTATTCGAATACGATAATGGTTCGTGCTAGGGGTACATGATAAAGTTGGGGTACAGTACCCCTAGCACGATTTGTGCTAGTACTGAACCCCAACTTGGACAGCAGCGCCACAAAGTACTAAAAATCAGTACAAATTTGACAATGGCATTTCGGACTCGCAAACGTTACGAATTCGATAATGGTTCGTGCTAAGGGTACTGTTCTGCCTAATATTTTTTTAGTCACTACTCTTTCTTAGTAGAAGAAGGGCATACTTAATATCGACAAGGCAACTATAACTTAATATCGACAGAGGAAAGGCAAAACCGCTTGTTTTTTTTTATGACACTACTTCTCATTTACAATGAGTTTTTTGTGCAAAGATTATTTTTCGCTTATCCTAGTTTCTGTAAAGTTACTAAAGTGGCGTTTCACCGATTTCGCTTTTCCACTGTTATATGTAACTTGGTTAAAATAATAAATAATTACATTCTCAAACATGCAAAATGTCACCACATTTACTGTTCAACCAATCTGTTTCTGGTGATTTTTCATCTATTGTATTTTTTGACTCTTCATACTGTGTTATTTTAATTCAGATGTTTCAGCTTAAAAATAATAAATTAGTAAGTAGTAGCCTTGGAAGACATATTTTGTAGTTAATTTAATGAAGCTTTAGTTTAATTACTTAAACATATCACAAGCTAATAGGGTTGCCATCTTCTTAAATACAAGTCATACGTGGCACTAATTTAGAGTCGACATTCGGTCCTAAAATCTGGAGTTAATCTTCTACAACAATGCACTGTAGTAGACAGATAGCCGAAAAAATCAAGACATAAATAACTTAGTATACACAATCCAAATAAAAGCAGGACAGACTGCAACACTACATGCAAATTAATTTTAAATCATGCAATTTGACATTCTATTCAAGCATGTGAACAGCTAAAAATAATAAAAATCACAATCTAAGGTTATTAAAAACAATTACACAATAATATAGGTAAGTAACAAAAATATTATTAACTTGTATAATGGAACTGTGAAAGCTTGTGAATCTGTGTCATCCCAATAAGAATGTGGATCTCGTTTAGGGCTTAAATTTAGTATCTTTAAATAGTCACATTTTTGTAATGCTGATATCATGTAATCATTTTCATCATAATCAGCATCTGTAAATAAATAGTAAAAGTCACAAAAACAATGTTTAAAAAATATTTAGGTAATATTAATTATTTTGATAATTACTACAGCATTTTGTCAAAGCAATAGCAGCATGCAAAACTTACTACAAGCCTGCAAACATTTTATTATATACATAATTAAAACTTACATGAACCAGTAGAAGTCTTGAATAAAGCATTACTCTCAATGTCATAATATGATACATTTGATGTACCAACCAAAATTAAAGCACCTACGACAAATAGAAAGAATTAATAAAATAATGATAAAGTTTATTAAATAGAACACAAACAAATATTTACCCTTATAAACATTAATATTTAGTAAATCATCTAATTCATAACTGCGCTGACACACAGCACTAGTTATTTCTATATTCTGCCAGAGGCAATGGTTAATTATAATATCCCTGGATTCCAGTTTAGATTTTTTTCTAAAAGACGCTCCACTATCAGAAATACCAAACTTCACCATATTTTCCCATCCTGTTCTCTGCAAAAATAAACAATAATTAATGAAAATAATTGGAAAAAGAATATAAATAATTTATTTGTTTTGATGTTTTATTTTGGTAAGATTCTTGTGTGTATACTGTATAGGCAGGCATGCTTCTTGTAATAAATTTGGTCGAATAGCTGTTTTAAAAATTATAACTACTCTCGTAGGTATTTGCTCTCAAAACTGTAATTGAACAGATGTTAGGTACCCACCCCTTAGATTAATAACGCCCTTTCAGTCAATGGAATAATTTGTTAATAAAAACAAAACACTTACACGAGCGGTGGTGGACACAAGGCAGAACCATCTCTTGTTAACAGTCATACAGTTAAAAAGAGACTTGTTATCTAAATATTTAAATATTAACAACAATATTTCTGAAGGACAGTAATCCCAATCAGAGTTTTCTGAATTCACCATCATGAGCGACTTTTCACTTGTGGAATACAGTAAAAACGAAAAGCATTATTAGAAATCAAAACGTTTAGGGGTATTTATAACATTGCCAATTATTTTTGAAAACAAACATCATCTCATCAGCTGTTAATGTTAACCACAGAGTACCATTAATTAAAGAAAATGCTCAGAAAGATGTTAACTTTCGTACCACAGATAATAAATGACCAAAAGCTCGTGAATTTGTGATATTTTGTTATAAGAGTAATGTTAATTTGAATTACAAGCGATTACATATTTTTTTTTCATGAGAAAGTAAAAAATATATGTAATCTATAAAATAAAAGTATTTTTTTTTAATGGATAAAGGTATCGCAATACTTGGTCCATGTTTTTTTCGGTAACAGACTAAGTACTTGTTATGATTTCGATCCAGTTCATAGACAACTAGATCGTGGTATTGATTCTGGCATGATTCTCTAAAGTTAAAACTAAAAATATTAGTCTCTCCTTTAATTCTGCATGAAGAATGACAAAGATGCGCTGCTGTCAAATTTAATTTCAGGTTTACAAAATGATGTCATTACCTGTCTTACTCATAGGTCTATAACGGAGTGATTACTCTATAACGGAGTGATTTTGTTGTGTTAATAATTATTATTCTGCTTAAGCTTTTGTAATCTCATACTAGTTGCTTGGTAAGATGTGCAGTTTTTATTATTGTATATTTTTTTTATATTAGGTAATATTTTGTACTTTCTATAATTTATTATATATATTTAAGTGTTTATGTCAGACACAGATGATTTTCACTCGCTGCATGATAGCAGCTCGTCGTCTCACTCCCTTGTCGTTAGATCTTTCATTGAAACAGGAGCTCACACGTGAAATTAACAGTTTTGGCAGTTGTTTCAGAGCGTGTCACATTAATGCACAGAGCATACCCTGTCATCTTACTAAGTTTCTCGATGCTTTCTCTACGGAAACAGTGCACGCCGTGCTTGTATCTAAAACCTGGTTAAAGCCATGCCATAACTCCGCCTTGTACTGTCCACCGGGTTTCGAATTATTCCGCAATGATCGTGTCGGTAAAGGCGGTGGTGGTGTGGCTATCTACTTGTCAAGCCGCTTACCAGCCAAAATTTTATATTTTTCCTTTTCGCATCATGGCTGCATCGAACATTTGTTCCTAGAAATTGACATTAGGGGTACCAAAGTCATCCTCGGAGTTGTATACGTATACTGCCTTCCTTCCATTGATTACTTTTCTGACCTTGAGGCGTTGATTGATTCTTTTGCCATCGATTATAATCACCATATTATTATGGGTGACTTCAATACAGACCTTTTAATTAATTCACCCTAATTCACGAAAGCTTCGTTCTTTAATTACGTCGGCAAACTTCTCCTTTTTACATCTTAATCAAATCTCTGCCCCTTGCTTCTCCAGACACGATCTTATTTATGTTGTATATGATGTGAAGCCTCCCAAATCGAAGCCTAATAATGATCACCATTCGGGACTTTGTGAGGTTGGATACGGAAAAACTTAAGCATGATGCGAGTTTAATTGATTGGTCTCCTATTTGAGAAATGCCCTCTGCCAACGACATGGTCACCTACTTTAACACGGAGGTTCTGAAGTTATTTGATAAGCACGCACCTATAAAAAGGTCAAATTAAGACGTCCTCCGGCGCCCTGGATTACACCTGGAGTGCGTATGGTCATGCGAAAGCGGGACAAAGCTTTTCGCATCTATAAATAATGCCGCACTGATTTGCATTGGAATGCTTTTAGGATAGCTAGAAATCGCTGCAATCAAATGGTAAGAAAAGCTAAATGCCATTACTTTCATAAGAATATCCTGGAATCTTCTCCTGCGGATACTTGGAAGTTTCTCTGTACCCTTGGCATTGGTAAATCACAACTTCAGCATAAGCCGTCTTTTCCGCTGTATGAGCTAAATAAACACTTCTCTTCTATTAAACCTCTTCTTACCAATGTCAAACTTTCTACTATCTCTGCTCTTTCTTCCAAGGTCCCCTCGACAAAGTCAGAATTCTGTTTCAATTTCTTAACTGAGGATGAAATCCGATAGACAATTCTGTCTATTAAGTCTAATGCTGTGGGTTATGATAATAAAAGTCGAACTATGATCACTTCAGTGCTAGATTTTGTACTTCCTGTCTTGATTTATATATTTAATTTCTCCCTAACATCTGCATCTTTTCCTGATCTATGGCGTAAGGCCTTAACTATCTCTCTACCTAAAAACAAAAGTCCCACTTTGCTTAGTCACTATATGCCTATTTCTATTCTACCATTCTTATCTAAGATCATTAAAGCAGCAGTCCACAAACAACTTACTTCATTTATTAATTTTAATAAACTTCATTGCCCTTTTCAATCTGGTTTCCGTCCTAGCCATAGTACCACTACTGCTGTCACCAAAGTCCACCAGATGTCCGGGATGGCCAAGAAAATTCTCGTGACGCTATTAGTTTTAATTGACTTTTCAAACGCTTTTAACGCTGCCGATCATGATATTCTCATAGCTGTCCTTTCTTGGCTAGGATTCTCATCTTCAGTACAGAAGTGGTTTACTTCTTATCTTCGAGATCGCTGGCAGGCTTTTCGTTTCGATCAGGAGTTATCCGGTTGGCGCGAGCAGACTGCTGGTGTTCCACAAGGCGGTATTCTTTCTCCTTCACTCTTTTCTTTTTTCATACATTTTCATAGAACTTCTAACTTCTTCTTACCATCTGTATGCGGACTACTTACAACTATATGCCAGCAGTAACAGCCCTCATTTGAATGAAGCTGTCGCGAGTTTAAATCGTGACCTCAGTGTGATCAATGACTGATCAGCTACTTGTGGTATTTCAGTAAATTCTACTAAGTGTCAAGCGATCATTGTTGACAGTTCTCGTCTGCTGACCCAATTTGACCTTCCTGGGGTTAATTCATTATCGTATGATGGAGTTGTTATTCCTTTATCGACTCAAGTGAGGGATTTGATTAGCGATGAAAAACTTTCGTGGATAAACCATGTCGATTTCGTCTCGCATAGGGTGACCAATTTTTTGAGATCTCTATACAGATTTAAGTTTTTTCTGCCTATTCACACCAAGACTGCTCGTGTTCAATCTTTAATTCTGCCTATTATCGATTATGCTGACGTATGTTATCCAAATATTAATGAAAATCTTTTTAATAAGTTGGATCATCTTATCAATAACTGCATTCGCTTCATATATAGCTTACGTAAATACGACCATTTCTCACATTTTCGTCATCAACTCAAATGACTTCCTGTTCGTGAGCGTAGGAACCCTAGAGTTGTTTGTGCTCTTTTTAATCTTCTTTACGATCCACATACACCAGTTTACCTGAAAAGCAGATTTAGGTTTCTGTGTGATTCTCATGACCGTGTTCTCCATTCAACGGACAACCTCCTTCTGCATACTCCCGACCACTCTTCTGGATTCGTCTCATATTTTTTTACTATCACGGCTGTACGACTCTGGAATGACTTGCCCCCTAATATACGTAAAGCTCCTAACAAACTTGTATTTAAGGGATTGGTTCGTGAGCATTATCTTAATATAATTAATCTACGTTTTCATATTTGACTGGCATAATTATGTGTATATTTATGTATGTATTATACAAATAACATATATATTTATATATATATGTATTGTTTATATATATATATATATATACGTATATATTTAAATCACCTTTAAGGTTTATTTAGCAGATATCCTTATTGCACCCCCGTATTTTTCTTTCACACGCTCTTACTGGTCGACTGGTAGAGAATGCCTTATGGCATTGTGTCCGCCATTTGCTGTGTTTTATTGCAATAAAGAATAAATAAATAAATTACTAAAAAGATCCATTTACGTCGACACAGTCGCACAGACCGTCGTTCAAACCACGTTTCGATAAGTATTGCAACGGATCGGTGACATGACCTTGGTTCACTCTGCTCTATGACAAATTCATTCACAATCGAAGTTGTCGCAAACGACCAAAGTCCGCGCGACCGTTGTACCATGTATGGCTCCTCTAAGTACTTGTGCGCGTGACTTTGACATCTAACTTGTCTGTGACAGTGACATTACCTAAGATTGGTGACATTGACAAGTGCTTGTTTTAGTTTCAGGTTATGTTGGTGTAAATAGAATTAGAAATTAGTTTTAACGAAAAGAAAAGCGGAACAAATAATCGCAAAGCCGCTTATACCAGAAAGAAATACTGTAGTCCATTAAATATATCTATTTAAGTATTTAACAACAAATTCTTAATAAGGATTTGTTATTTTTCATATTTTGATTAGCTAAATAGCTAAACATATTAATTGATTTAGTGTCTTAAACACTTATTTTAGCTGTAAACGTGATAACGAACAATGGTAAGTATTGGTTCGATTTTTAATCCTTCAAGTCATTTAGCTGCCAGGCCTGATTCCTGATAACCTGAAGCTTGTTCTGAGCTAAAGCATTTGTTTTAAGATGTAGCTGATAAATAAACAATTTTTATGGTATTCATAGCACACACTGCGTAATTATATATCGTAAGAGAAAGAAATATAACATTCTTGTTTAAAACAGCTTATTTGTACATAAAAAACATTTTTATGATTAAAATTATATTATTATTCCAAAAAATTTCTAATATCTTTTGAATTTTCAGGCTCGAAATGCGGAGAAAGCCATGTGAGTTATACTTCATTACTTTATTAAGGCTATGTTTTATACTTCATTTTATCCCAAGTCCCAAGTTATTGACCAGTGTTGGATTATGTATTTAACTATGATTACATTTTGCAATTATAAATCATGATTAACAACATTTCATTAAGTAAGTGTAAAATATAGTTAATTTTGATATTGATTGAAAACAAACAAAAAGATTAATCAAGATTCACATAGTTACATTACCATGTAATGAATTACTTGTAATTGCATTATATATTAGTAAGTAATGATCTTTCAAGCATTTGCATCTCTACGAATAATATGTTGTAATACTCAAAGTCTAAAGTTATTATCTATAATCTAAAATTATCTTTTTCGATGTATGTATTATTAAGCAAATAAATATTTCTAACACTCCAAGCTATTAGCCAAGCCCCTAAATAAGAACTATAAGGCTTGTTTTATGGGATACTAGAGTTATAATACATATAAATAATTATATATAGATAAATAATTATATATAGAGAAGTATATTTTTGTAGATATATATAAACACTCATGACTCAGGTACAAATGCTTTTCATTTTTAGTATTATTCATTATACAAACATTTGCTTGTACTGCGATTCAAACCCAGGCCCACCAAATAGGTAACTTCTTGAAAACAGGTGTACATACCACTCCACCATGGAACCTCTATGAGTCATAATTGAATTCTGTACTATCATGAAAAGTACATAGTTAATTACACCAAACTTTTTTTCTTATTTAGTCTTTTATTAACTTTATTTTCAGAAACAGGATTTATTAAAATAGACTCTCGGACACAACAATGGGCCTGTCTAGCATTTTTTAGTTTTGACCTATATGGTTATAACGGTCCCTAACTAAAAATAAATGTTACATTGAGCAAAAAATTTATGCAGTTTTGAAGCTGATTTACTAACCATCTTTTTTGTGTTTTTAAAAATATGTTTTCATTGGTCAATCTAACATAATTATATTTTGCTACAGACAGTTGAAACTTATAAAACTAAGTAGTGTAAAGTATGTAAAAGTATCGGAAAGTAAATTATAAATAAAATAAGTAAATTAGACTATTTGACATTTTATCTCATATATGCATATGGGAATTCAATTTTAGAGAAGACTAGGTGTGGATTGGTTTAGTAAAATCTATTAATAATATAGCAACTCTGACACTGTTTTATCTGAATTTAAATATTTTTTTCACTCAATATTTTTTCGATTCAGTACATTATCAAAATAAAATTCTGTAACATTTTTTATTAAAGATCTTTTATTATTTATTTCTTATAAATTTTATTATTTTTAAAGCATGTAACTGCTTGATGTTTAAATCTAAAGAAAATATAACTAGAAAAAATTCCACGCGGGCCAGGCAGCAGACGGGACTCGAACCCGCACCCTTCACAATCCGGGCGAATGCATATTTATTTCTTTCTAAGAAAAGTTATTTGTCGATTGGTAACCACTTTGAACTGCATCAAATATAATTTAAAAAAAATGTAATTTAATATGAAATGCATACATTAAAGTTTGGTTGGTTCTTGTAAATCGTATGTACATTACAAAAAAATAATAATAAGGTGAACTAAATTGAGTCTGTACTCAATTTAGTTCACCTTATTAAATTTGTTTTTAAATGTATCTAGTGTCATCGCTCATGAGCTTAATAATTCCCACTTCTGGAGTAAGTCCAGCCCTCCAGCATGAGCACTGCAATATCTTAATATATTTAAATTACTCATCACTTTGTTTGTCTGGGATGGACTCCTAAACTACTTAACCAATTTTAATCAAATTTTTCACACCATGTGCAGTTTGATCCAAATTGAAAGATAGGATAGCTTACATCTCAATTTATAGTCGCAATATTATTTTATTGCAAATTGTTACTTTTGGGTGGTACGTTGTTCGCCGAGTCAGCTAACGATATGATAAAACTTTTTATTGGCATTCAGCTGTCAAAGTCCTTTCAAAGTTTGAAGGCAATAAATTGCTTTATCACATTTTGATGCTCATACTAGAGGGACAGTGTGGATTGGTGGGTACAGTGGGTACTAACGACTGCAGATACAGCCGGAACCAAAGGCTTAACGTGCCTTCCGATAAACAGAGAAGATCTATTATACAATTTATGGTTACCCATCCAATTACCGGCCACTGCGAAAGTGGCTTAACTTCCTGACAGAATGAGAATTTAATTTCAGCTGTCAACTAGGTCCCCATGAAATGACTTCATAATAGGGAATCTTTTAAACTTATACTTAATGTTACAATTAGGACAACACTAGCACGATGGCGCGCAGCACAAGTCCAAGAGGCTGGTGGTCAGCGGGAACGAAGACCATATCTGGCCTCAGAGTGCAACGACCTGCCACAAGCAGAAAAATGGCGATTGCAAATTGTTCGTGAGATCGCCAAAAAAGTCGCACAAATACAAAATGGTAAGTACTACTACTGAGTATGATAACAGCTCCGCCAAGTATGTAGATTGACAAAGTATCTAAGCTGCATGTAATAAATAAATATGAAAATTTGTCTATATACATATTCATATAACAATAAATAATTAAAACCTGCATGTAATAAATAAATATGAAAATTTGTCTATATACATATTCATATAACAATAAATAATTAAAAATTACCTGTATTCGCTTCAATTAATTATGTATTGAAATCATTCCTCAAATAAAAACAAAATATATTTAGTTTAGCAATCCATTAGGCTATGGCGATAACATCAATCATGACGTTTTAATTGTGTCCTATATAATATCTGGAAATTTTAGTTGCAACAAAATTAATTAAATGTAGATCATGGAAGATACAGAAATAGTGAACTCATTATCAGCACCTAATACACCCAAAGAGCTCAGTATAAGATCCCAGAATGTTTCATTCAACAAAGAACCTTTGCCCCCGTTACGGATCTCATCGAGAAGTCCATCGAATGCATCGCCCAATCGTCATTCGCAGGGACTTGAGGAGCCTGCACATCATTCTGTAACGGCATCGCCTGTTACATATCCTCCTCAACCCTCATCAACCAAGAACAGTGTCAACTCCAAGCAGCCATCCATAAAAAGTAATAGAAGCAACGAGTCTCCACCAGTCAACGTTTCGCCCATCGAGCAAATAAACAGTGAAATGATGAATAGAAATTACAAACCTCCTTCTTTGAAATTATCGCCCACAAACATCGAAATATTAAACAGCAATTATAAATCTCCATCGCCGAAATATTCGCCAACTAAAAACAACACTGATGTAAGAAGTGGTAGTTATAGATCTCCCTCATTAAAATTGTCGCCCACAAAAACCAATACTGGTGTAATGAACGTGAGTAAAAAGTCTCCATCACCAAAATTTTCGCCTACAAAGAACAATGTACAAGATATGAGAAGCGGTAGTCATAAATCCCCATCACCAAAATTTTCGCCTACAAAGAACAATGTACAAGACATGAGAAGCAGTAGTTATAAATCCCCGTCACCAAAATTTCCGCCTACAAAGAACAATTTACAAGATATGACAAACAGTAGTAAGTCCCCATCGGCGAAATTGTCACCAACGCAGATTAACACCGAAAAAGTTAATAGCGATTACAAATCTCTGAAAAATGCATCTCCACAAGAAAGTAACGATGAACCACCACCTACTATGGGGAATATTGACAAAATAGCAAAAATGAGTAAACAGCTTACAGACGAGGCAAACGCTCTTCGGAGTTCCATAAAAAGTTTAAGTTTAGACATTGCCCGAACGAAACTTGAGTTGAGTGGTACAGAAAAAGAGGATGTCAACTTTCCTTACCACTTATTTTTGATCGAAATAGTCATCAATAAAATCCACATGAAATGTGAATGCTTTAACATCGATTTTAATAATTTAGTCATATCTGCAACATTTTTAGGTAAACCGGCAATTGTGTTGTATGATCCTTCTTTTGGAAAATTAGAAAACGTTGCTAAACTTAATATTGGTAAATCTACTTTGTTTGCAATGACCTATGACAAAATTTGCTCTATCAAAGAATTTCTGATCGTAATAGAACTTACAAAACAACCTCCTTGTTCTAATTGTGTTACAAAAATAGGAGAGACACATATGGACTACACGAAAGAATTTATTTCACTGCGGGAAGAGCTCTGTGCAAAGTGGTCCGAGCAAAAGCCGAAAGATGACTTACACATTACAACAGCTTTGCCATTATCAAAAAATATGTACTATTTGTCATGTAGCGACAACAACGACCGCGAACCTATAGGAGTTATAGAGGCGACAGTTCGTATGTCGTTTCTTGGTAAAGAAATAACGACGGCGTATTGCGCTTCGTCCAAACCCCAGCCTTCTTCATTTCTTTTAAAAGAAGATAACGGTATGACAATGTATTCCTGCCAAAAAGTCGAAATGGATGACCAAGGGAAAATACTTTTAGACGAGGATGTCATGACGAAAAAAAGACCAAACGATACATATAACAGATACCCCTCAGCTAGGTCTCAAAGTCCTACTTCCCAAATATCTAGTTTTTCAAGAAGGTCTTTTGAGAAATACGGGACTTATCAAGGTAAGAATTTTTATTTTCTGCCTTCCTGTAGACGACAAAATTGTGGCCTTACATGATTCTGATTCCATAAAACACGGTGTGCTTTTAAATTGCGTCTACATAGTTAACATCGCTATCTAGGACTTTAATAGATTATATTGAATAGTTACTTTTCTATATTGGTTACTTAGTTAACTTCTATTTTCGTCAAGTGGAAAATAATAAAAAGTCTTTGCTTTTAAGGTGGAGTAACAAAATACGACGAAATTTTTACAAAAATGAATGTCAATGAACTTAGAATTCGAGTACCGAAAAGTTCTAAAGTAGAAAGGATGGGAAAGTATGATAAAATTCAGGAATTGTGCTCGTGCGAAAGTACGCCTTATAATGCTGGAGAACAAATACAATTTGAATTACCAAGGGACCAGGTCTCTGATAAAGGACGTACACATACCTCTAACTTTAAATACACTTACACAGGTGGAGACATATCGAAAAAAGATAATAAAGATAGGAAAATTATAAATGTAACCCCAACGAATTGCCCCGTGCCTGTCGACATAGAAAAGGAGGTGCACCCCTTAAAAGATGTATTTATATTGAAAATAGGAAAAAAGTTAGAGACTAAAGATAAAAAGACTGAACTCGAAATAGAACTTATAACACCTAAAGCTCCTTCCGAAAAACCAATTGAGAATAATAATATCTCACAACAATGTGAAGAAAGTGAAGTAGGTAAAACGAAACCTAATAAAAAGAAAAAGCAAGGCAAATCAAAGAAAGGTGGCAAAAAGAGGAAGGATAAAGGCAAATCCAAAGGAAAAAAGCAAAAATAAGAACAAAATAAAGCCCTTATCTTTTTTTAATTATATGATTTCATACGTCAGATATTTCGAAAAGCAAATAATCCGAACCACTGGAGTATAATAATGTACATATTCAATAGACTTTTTTACAATTCGCCAAACAGTAACTTCTATGAATGTAATTAACAAAGGAAAAGGAAAGAAGGAAAAAAATAACAAAATAAAGCTCATCTTTTTTTAAATATATGATTTCATTCATAAGATATTTCGAATAGCAAATAATCCAAACCACTCGAGTATAATAAATCTACATATTAAATGGACTTTTTCACAACTCGACAAATAGTAATTTCTATATATGTAATTTGCATATATTGTGTGGTGAGAATTTTCCAAATAATTACTTTTTATTTAAAACATAACCATATTTTTATGTAATCTGTTTCTTTATAGCTGGTCTTGGGGAGTTTAGAATACGAGACTTGAACGATGAAATTAACAAGCTAATGCGGGAGAAACGCCATTGGGAGGTACAGATAAAGGCACTTGGTGGACCGGATCACGCGCGCGTTGGCCCTAAAATGTTGGATCAAGATGGTAAAGAAGTTCCAGGCAACAGAGGATACAAATACTTCGGGGCAGCCAAAGACCTTCCAGGTATGATACTCACTCACAATTAACTTTAAAGTGATACTGACAGGACGTGTCAGTTTATAAAGTTAGAATAAAGTAGAACTCGATCTAAACCAAAAGAGCTCTGAAAATAATATCTATTATCAAAAGGCTAAAGGTGTGCACGTGTGTGCAAATGTTATAACGTAGTGTTTGCACTTTTGAAACACACAATACGGCATTTTGATATATATATTATCAAAAGAGCTGGTGGCAAAGGTAGTGTTTCAAAAAGAGGTACATATTATAGTAGCTTCTAACACGCGGCGATGAGAATTTTGATTAGCCGAGTTACACATTAAAACGTATTCTTACGTCTACGTCACGTGTGTGCAAATTGTACTTCATAATGTAGTGTTTGCACTTTTGAAACACACAATTCGGCATTTTGGTTTAGTTTAGTGCACAATACCCCAGACGCTTCACCAACCAAGATTAGACAGGGGACTACTTGTGCCATTTTAAAATGCAATAATGTTGGCGTATAACCTGTCTCTAAATTATACGTCATTGTTTTTGACTAAGACTGCGTTGTGTCAATAAACAATATCTGCAGAGCACTTGGCACGCGCTAGTGCGGTATCTACTTTTTTTGAAGTGAATTTTCTTTACGCACGCTTGACTTAGGGGTAAGCTGGCGAATGCGTTACGCGTTACGAAAAGTGTGTTCGGGCGAGGTGAACGGGATTTGAGTGGAAGATAAAAGCAAAGAAAGCAGTACGAGCGCTCATTTTCTTTCTCTCTTTCTCTTATAGCTAGTAAATGAAACATGTATATATTGTACACACATATATATATATACATACAGATGGAGCTAAAGAAGTTTTACTTCAGTTATGTGGTCATAAACACACTCGTTTTTTTTTTAATACATTGTCTTCGGCTGGTAGTTACATTATTATGTTTGTTGCAAGGTGTCCGTGAGTTGTTCGAGCAGGAGCCGCCGCCGCCGGCGCGACGAACTCGAGCCGACTTGATGCGAGACGTGGACGCCGATTACTACGGATATAGGGACGACGATGATGGGCTGCTGCTGCCCCTGGAAGCAGAGGCTGAGAAGGAAGGTGAGTATACGAGCCGAGTTGATGCGAGACGTGGACGACGATTACTACAGATATAGGGACGACGATGATGGGCTGCTGCTGCCCCTGGAAGCAGAGGCTGAGAAGGAAGGTGAGTATACGAGCCGAGTTGATGCGAGACGTGGACGACGATTACTACAGATATAGGGACGGCGATGATGGGCTGCTGCTGCCCCTGGAAGCAGAGGCTGAGAAGGAAGTTGAGTATACGAGCCGGCTTGATGCGAGACGTGGACGCCGATTACTACGGATATAGGGACGACGATGATGGGCTGCTGCTGCCCCTGGAAGCAGAGGCTGAGAAGGAAGGTGAGTATACGAGCCGAGTTGATGCGAGACGTGGACGACGATTACTACAGATATAGGGACGGCGATGATGGGCTGCTGCTGCCCCTGGAAGCAGAGGCTGAGAAGGAAGTTGAGTATACGAGCCGGCTTGATGCGAGACGTGGACGCCGATTACTACGGATATAGGGACGACGATGACGGGCCGCTGCTGCCCCTGGAAGCAGAGGCTGAGAAGGAAGGTGAGTATACGAGCAGAGTTGATGCGAGACGTGGACGCCGATTACTACAGATATAGGGACGACGATGATGGGCTGCTGCTGCCCCTGGAAGCAGAGTCTGAGAAGGAAGGTGAGTATACGAGCCGAGTTGATGCGAGACGTGGACGCCGACTACTACGGATATAGGGACGACGATGATGGGCTGCTGCTGCCCCAGGAAGCAGAGGCTGAGAACGAAGGTGAGTATAGCTATAGATACCTTCCTTGATCTTCTGATCAAGTGCGTATCTACCGTTGAATAGTCTCTATCAAACGAATAAAGAGCAAAAATGAACAAAGAAGTTGGTAAGTCTTAACATAGACAGTTTAGTGATTGGGATTTATAGCCTTATCAAAATAATTGTTCCATTGAATGATCAAATCCTTTGAAATTGGTAAAAATCGATACGGATTAATATGTAAGTAGCATAAACAGATGTGATTTGTACTGTCAAAATTACTCAAAATAGATGTCTGGCTGTTAACTATATTTGGACTTATAGACACGATGGCCGTCCAAAACCCAGATAGACTTGTGTCGTTACACATTCACGGTCTATTTAGATCGATAAACTGGTGATATTATTTGACGCATACTATGAATGTATTCTTATTGTGATTTCAGCAATAGCACGAGCTGTAGACGAGTGGAAAAGGAACAAAGAACAAAACAAGCAACAAGATTTACCTGAAGAAGAGAATATTTATCCAGAAGATGTAAGTATAAATTCACTCTTGACTTTACACAGTTATGCAAGGAATGCTCAGGTTCTATGTCTATGGGCAGGGCAGAGTTCCTCTTCTTTTTATTTGGCGATATTGTGACTGCCACAAATTCTGCCAATATTACTTCGGTTAGGAGAAATTTGTCAGGTCCTCTAGTGCTATTAACGGGATTGCTACCATGTACATTGTTTATTACGCACTTGCAACACAGTGCCGACATATTCCCTACGAGTTCCCGAGTAATAAAGAAGGTACTTGGTAGCAATCCCGTTAATAACATAAATTACTAAAGTGTTAGTGACCATGAAAGTTTAATAAAATATATAGATATACATATGTTACGACAGCGACACCTTGAAACCCGGCGTACAAACCACTCGGCCACGGAGGTCGTCAATTATCTACTTACTATATATTAATCTTGTTTAATATGTTTTCATAGCCGGACGACAAACGGGTAGAAGAAGAGGATAGTGTGGTGGCCGTAATAGGCGCTCACGTAGCAGTTCCCTCGCAGAAGGACGTAGAGGAAGCACTGCTGCGACGCAAGAAGCAAGAGCTACTAGAACGATACGGCTGCCTCGACGTCAAGATAGAAGAGAGCTGACATCAACCACGATAATTGTTATTGATAATAAAACGCCACAACTACCACGACACGTTTTATTTTTTATCGCAAATTGGTTGTGATTTACCTTATCTATGGTAGCTTAGTTCAAATTCAATATTTATTTATTCAGTTTAGATTTTGACAAGCACGTGTGAAAGTCGAAAGCTACGCTATCGGTTCGCAAATCTACGGCGTGAGACCTTGTACTGAGAAGAACCGGCAAGAAACTGAGCAAGGGCTACTTTTTACTCCCTCTACTATTTTATACAGTGTCGTCAAATTGAAAGCTGACATCAAACTTATAACCATGTATTGAGGTCAACTTCCATCACATAATATAAAAAACTGGTAAAACTGTAACTGGTGGTGCCACGGGAGTCGATCTGGCGAGGATTTTGGCGGTGTCACAGCCTGAATCCGGGGCGTGGCTGTACGCGTTACCTTCGCCTCATATGGGTACTTTACTTGACGATGACTCCTTACGGGTGGCGGTCGCCCTCCGCTTGGGCTGCGATGTATGTCAACCACATGTATGCATCTGCGGTTCCATGATGGGGGCTGACGGCCATCACGCATTGAGCTGCCGTCAATGTACAGACAGACACCCACGTCACCATGCTCTAAATGACATAGTATTAAGAGGTCTTAGGTCGGCCGGCGTTCCTTCCGTCCTCGAACCACCTGGTCTCAGCCGCACAGACAGGAACGGCCTGATGGTCTTACATTGGTACCGTGGGAGAAGGGACGATGTTTGGTGTGGGACGCGACGTGTGTCAGCACTTTCGCCGCTACCCACATCGGCCGCACGACACGCAAGGCTGGGGCGGCGGCTGAGTATCAGGCAACGGCGAAGCGCTTAAAATATTCCTCGTTGGGGCGAGTATATTTTTTTGTGCCTTTGGCGGTGGAAACGGCGGGTTGTTGGAGCGCAGAGGCCAAGCAATTTGTGTGGGACCTGGGCCGCCGACTCAGGCAAAAAACTAATGACCCTCGCTCCGGGTCGTTTCTGGCACAAAGATCGTCTATTGCCGTCCAGCTTGACAATGCTGCAAGCATAATGGGCACCTTTGCGCCAGAAACGATACGGGGTGACATTTGAATATTATTAGTATTTGTATATTATTCTTGTACATAATGTTAATTTTAGTTATTATATTATATTTTTTAAGGTTTTTAGTTTTAGGTTTATTGTTCCTGTATATTTTTTTTTAATCCATAAGTTTGTATGATTTTAGTTATTATTACTAGTTTGTATTTTATAAGTAATTAATTTTATTGTAATATACATTTTGTTGTCTAATTAATAAAGTACCATTTTTTAAAATAAATGTAATGTAAAAAAGGTAGTAATAAATATACAAAATCAAGACATATCCAGTGACAATTGTTCAAAATACATAAGCAAGTTAAAATTTAACTATCATTCCTACTACAAAAATGCAATGCTCAAGTCTAAAAACCATGGAGCAAAAACAAAGAGATGATGTATGCAATATCGTAAAGCGTGCTACCAATGTTGCCTGACGTCACTTAATAGTTCTCTAGCTACTCATCGCAAGAGGAGCAGTACCATTAGCAAAATCCATCATCGAATTCGAATAGTTGAATTAGATCAATTTTATACGTCAAATTTTGATTTTTAGTTCTCGTTATGTCCGTTGTAGCGGTGTTGTACAAGTTTCCATATAAAATTTGACATTTCGCACTCGCAAACTATTCGAATTCGATAATGGTTCGTGCTAGGGGTACAGTACCCTTAACACGAACCAATATGCACGTCGCAAAGGTCGGTCATTGGATGGGTGACCAAAATTTCCACTACAAGCTGCTTCTCAATACTTCGGAGGGCACGTTAAGCCGTTAGTCCCGGCTGCATCTGCAGTCGTTAGCACCTACCAATCCGCACTGGAACTCATGTGTTGGATCATTGCCCAATCTCCCTATTTCATCATTAGGTAAGGCCTGTGCCCCGGGGACTTTATTAGGGTGATGATTTCAAGTGCTAACATAAATGCATTTAGCTTTAGTCAGGCCTAAGTTTGTCCCACCTATGCCGGAGATGGATTGGATGCATTGATCGATTAGAATTCGGAAATCCTTATACGTTTCATAATTTAGCGTTAAGTTTAATTCATAGTAAAATGGTACTATATTAAAATCACTGTGACTTAGCTAGAAACAGCTAAGGTTATGCATAGTTTTTTTTATGCAAAAGTTTACTGCCACAGTGGTACAATTTGTGGTTAGGTTAGGTTAGGACGTAGGCATAAGGCGTAAAATAAACCTTTAAACCAAAAACTGAAACACAAAATCAATTGTAATACTTTTAATTTACATAACGTTTTTTGGACATCTCTTCCAAGCAAAATATACATATTATGTAAGTAATTATAATTGTGAAGTAAATAAGTACGTCGACTGCTAGGTAATATTTCGGGCCTGAATTTCAAAATGCTTCTTAATAAGTAGGCCATACTCGTTTAAAACAAAAATACAAAAGGAAAAAATTCAATACACATTATAATCATAGCTCTTAAAGTATACATTATAGTTGCTGCCTAATATGCAAACAAATTTGCTTTTGCTTTTACATAAAAAGTAAAAAGAAAAGTATTTTAAAAAGTTAACTACTCGGCCGAGAACCGATTGCACTCTACATCGACAATATTTATGAATTTTCTCCCCACTAACAAAACTAATCTCAAGCTATTATCACCCTTAGTGGCCACTTTTCACCTTATCTTCCACAAATAGGTTAAAGTATTAATGCAGAATGACAGTATGAGCTAAAATCTGTTGCTATCAATTCCAGAGACCCAAACACTAACTTTGACAGATCATTAACCGTATCTTCATCATCAAATTTTGTATGGAAGGAGCCAGTTTTTTCTTGAGTCCGGTAGGGCCGCTGCTCAGTTTTCATAAACTTCGATGCGATACGATTACGGTACTGCCTAAGTTCGTGCTTGGGCGTCTTAACTGTACCCTTAGCACGAACCAAAATCGAATTCGTAACGTTTGCGAGTCCGAAATGTCATTGCCAAATGTGTACTGATTTTTAGTTCTCGTTACGTACTTTGTGCCGCTGCTGGTCAAGTTTCCATACAAAATTTGACATTGACATTTCGGTTTGCAAACTATTCGAATTCGATAATGGTTCGTACTATGGGGTACTGAATAGTACTGTCAATTCCGGAGGCCCAAGCACTAAATTTGACAGATCCCTAATCGTATCGTCATCATTAAATTTTGTATGGAAGGAACCAGTTTTTTCTTATGTCCGGTAGAGGCGCTGCTTAGTTTTCGTAAATTTCGATGCGATACGATTACCGAGCTGCCAAAGTTTGCGCTTGGGCCTCATAACTGAAAAGTAGTTAAGTAATGGAAAACATTCATAGTTTTTACTTTAATCGATATTTTACAGTATTATTCCAGATAGTTCTACTAACAGATCAACGAGTTTTTAAAATTAACGACATACCTAATATGATTCAACTGAAAATAAATGCCATATATTTTAAACTAGACGGACACGGTTTTATTTTATTCAGATTATTCAATAGTAGAACTAGCTAGAATAGAGCGTGTTCAGTATTGCAATAGTCCATAAAGTCTACATGAAATGAAAACAGGAATGTATAAAATATAGTAAAACAAAACGCTATTTACAAATAAAAAAATTAAAAGCGTTGACATTCATTTGCACCATTTCCGTAAATTAGGGGAGAAGTCTTCCAAATTAAAATCACCAACCATACTTATTGAAAAAATTGATAACATAATATATTACTTGCGTTAAGTAATATTTTAGACAGTTGGAATAATAAAAGAACTCACTCGCAGAAAACTCCGAGTGAATAGTATTTATTTAATTAAAGCAAAATAAACTTTATTTCAGAGTACCCTAGGGACGTAAAGACCTTAAGTTTTAAACTACAGCTCTGCTTGTTATATTTATTAAAAAAAAAGTATATTTATTTTATTGCAATATACTGAATACATAATATACAAACATTTATTCGTATTATAAGTATTTCGAAGGTAATGAATTAAAAAATAGTTGGAAGACTAGTGCCTCCAAACACCGAGGAATAGCCAAAATCTGTTTGCATAAACGAATTAGTGGAGCGCTTACTTGATCACACAATTGCTTACAAAAACAAGGATGAAAACTACGTCACCTGACAAATAGGGCTATCAATAGCAGGAGAGTGAAGTGCGTAGAACTGGCCTTACGAGAGATTTTTCTCTATTCCCTCTGAGAATTTAAAACCGTTTTAATTCCCTTTATTTTTTACCCTCGTTGGTTCCTTAAGTTCCATAAGAATAATAATTAAAACGGGTGATAATATTTTTTTAAAGTAAATCGTTCAAATACATCTTATACAACCATCTAAGGTACTATGTAGGCGTAATTAAAATTATAAAGGCTTAAAATAAACTTATAAAAGTGAGTGATAATGGCTCAAAACACCTATACCTACATATTTTTGCCCTTTAAGTGCATAAGTTATTATGATGTTTTTTTTTTGTTTCTGTACTCGCCAACATAGATATTAAAGCGGTTCAGAATTAATTTTTATGCGCTGCATTTAAAGTTCATACATCTTTATCAACACAATAATCTATGTAATATACCTACTGTTGAACATTCAAAGAAGTTAAGACTTTACATTCACGTAACTGGAATCTACATATACTATATACCCATTTAATCCGATTTACATATTTATACATTGTTTTTTTTTTGAAGCATAGCAAGTATACATCATAAAAGAATTATTCTCGAATATTAATGAAAAAAAAATCATATATTTATTCAACTGCAACATACTAAATTTTAAGTACTTGACAAGAGAAGAAATTGTAATAAATATTAGAATTATCAAAAAACCTAAATGCACTCCAAAACTAAATAAAGGATCACTCACGCTACACTGTGCCGGCACAATACATACAAGAGCAGTAGCGTAACTCAGCCGTTTTCTTGAAATAGATACCTACGACTGAGCGGAGCGCTACCTACAAAATGCAAAACAGATTTGTGCAGATTTTTATTGTACGTGTATAGTTACTATTGCCACGTTACGGAATTGAAACGGAGGCAGACGGCGCGGCGCTAACTTACCTCTGCCAACGACCAGTCTCGGCGGCCCGCGACGTGGCATTGGGTAGATTTGTCTTGCCAAGATTGGTTAGCGCCCGTGTAAATGACGTTTGTCTGTGTGCGTGCGTCGATTCGGGTGCTAGTATTAAGTCAGAGTACTGCTCTTGTATGTATTGTGGTGCCGGATCCGCCGCCCGTCACACCACAAAATAGACAGAACAGAAGGTAATCTACATACAACGTGCGCTCGAGCAACGCACACATAGACACCGTTCACGAACACGATATTTCTAACCAGTTCAGACCACTGCGAGCGCGAGTTCCAGCCGCTTAAAACCTGCGTCTGTGAACCATTTTGTGCAAAAATGGAGCAACAAAAAACAAGTTAATATATCGGTTCAGTAGACGTTAAACGCTGATTTTATTTTAATTTTTAATATAACAATAACATTGAAATTTAAAAATTCAAGCGCGAGCGCCGAGCGCCTACGTATGAAAAGTAAAGTTCATACATTATATTACCTTGTACTCTATATTTTGTGGCCGCACGGTTAACTAACTATATACATTTTAAAATGGACACACTCACGCTATACAGAGCAGTAACCAAGTGAATTGGCCGATGCTCGGCTCGGGCCCGGCACGCCGTAGCGTGAATCATCCTTAAACTATGAAACATCTTTAATTGCCACTGACGACAATTTTCCACAATATTCTTAGATATTTGATTCATTCATTTGAAGATCGAATTCATTTCAAACATTCAAGGTGTAATGGCTTTCTCTATCGTGCAATTAGATACAGAGATAATGATATTATGATACCTAATATTATTTTAAAACAGAAAATGAAATGGATTTGGCATTTAATGACCTTTTTTAAGACAAGGGCGGATCCAGGTGGTGGGGGGAGTCATGGGGGTCATGAAGGGCTGGGTCCATCTGTACCCACTTCGACTTGACCACGACTATATGACCCCCCCCCCCCCCCCTCCTGGCGCCAAAGCTGCTTTAAGATAATTTTAAAATATCGAAAAAACAATGACTACATTATAATTAAAATAAATTGGGGCTTTGATTCCTCTCAAAAGAATTTTAATACTTTTTGCACCACCAGTTATTTCATCTAGATTGATTACACTTAATCAGTTTACAATAAAACGATACAACACATCAATGCTCTTATTAACAATCTCAAGCTATAACAATTTTGAAACATCTATGGAATACAATAAGTCAGAATAATAGGTATAGATCTAAAAATGTCTAATTAAGCTGAACAATTGCACCAAGAAATACATCAACTTATTATATTTATGACAGTCTTAGGCGTAGGGAAGTCTAGGAAACTGACTGCTTTAAAAATGTAGGTTATTTTTTCAATGATGAAAACATAAAAGCTGATTTCGAAAAATCAGCCTAAGCTACGGAATCACAAAGTGAACTAACAAACTGCTCTCTTAAAAATAAAATACGATATCGAGATAATATATCACTAGATATAATAACTTTTTGTTAAGTTTTATACTTACACTCACTGAGTCGATTCGGACGGTTATGATAAAAGGGGACAACGGAGACCAATTTCAGTAATGACATTTTAATAAAGAAAAGTAACTATAGGAATGGTACATTTAATTATAGCATCTTGGGTTTTTTTATTAGTTGAAAATGTGCGTTATTATTATTTAACATCTGTTGATAAATGATAAAATTAACTTTTATATGGCAAGTGTCAATGACCGTATGACATTTTATGAAGGAGTTGTTCCGTCCGAATTTCATTGGGATAAGGTCATAAAAGTTAAGCTTTATTTTAAACTTTATATTTATACACATGGAAATTAAAGTAATGAAATATCTTGCAAACGTCCCTCTAATGAACTAATCGTGTTATAATGTGATGGTTAGATAGGTACCAAAAACATTTAGTTTTAATCGTAGTCCTTAAGTAAATTCCTTTAATTTGACCTTTGTAAGAATTTAAATGGTCCATGCAGTGGGCCGTCACGATTTTTTTTAAATTCCAATATTACTAAAGTACTATACTTTTTTATTCAGTGAGTAAGAATTAATAACATTGTTTATTGGAACAGATTTTGCTGCTTAGCGTCGTTTTCGAAGTCGCTCCAAGCGTTGTTCAGCTCCATAAATATCATTTTCGCTAAATTCTCATTCGGTGTTCCCATTTGCTGTAATAAAATTTTATTATTTTATTCGATTTTCATATTTTTGAATTCTAATCAGACCTCATTGCTTTTGTCTTTTTGAAGTGAAACTTCTTTAGGCACGCTTGACTTGGGGGTAAACTGCCGAATGTGCACTGGTGACTCATCGGTAAACAATAAACAATATCCGTCACAAAATACATGAATCTAGTGCGGTTTGGTGGATGATATCGGACCCAGTGAGGATTGGTAGGTGATAACGGACCCAGCCGGATTGGTGGGTGATAACGGACCCAGTGAGAATTGGTGGGTGATAACGGACCCAGTGCGGATTGGTGCGTGACAATGGGCCCAGTGCGGATTGGTGGGTGATAACGGACCCAGCCGGATTGGTGGGTGATAACGGACCCTGTGCGGTTTGTTGGGTGATAACGGACCCAGTGCGGATTGGTGGGTGACAATGGAGCCAGTGCGGATTGGTGGGTAATAACGGACCCTGTGCGGTTTGGTGGGTGATAACGGACCCAGTGCGGATTGGTGGGTGACAATGGAGCCAGTGCGGATTGGTGGGTAATAACGGACCCTGTGCGGTTTGGTGGGTGATAACGGACCCAGTGCGGATTGGTGGGTGACAATGGAGCCAGTGCGGATTGGTGGGTGATAACGGACCCTGTGCGGTTTGGTGGGTGGTTTTTTTTCTATCAATAAATCTTCAGGTTAAGTTTATGATTTTCAGATCATTCATTGGAGCTAAAAAGTTTCACTTCAGCCGTGTGGTCATAAGCATACTCGCTTTTTTTATTTATTTACTATAATTTATATAGAAGATTTAAATTTATTTACCCTGGAATTGTGGCAATTCTTAATTTTTATTAATACAACGAGTACAGTTACTAATAATCTTAATAAAAGCAAATATATTTCTTCAATACTATCACAAGTAGATATTCATGAAATGGCACCAGAGACACATAAAGGTCTACTTTCTGTCTATTTGAAATCGAAAGGTGGATTGCTTAAAATCTCCTCGGTCCCGACTGTTAAAGTAGCTTTGTTCCTTACTTACAGAATTATAGACTACGGGACTTGTTTTTTCTTTTCAGTTTTTATTTGAAGTAATATTTAAGCAGTTGTTTTTTTTTATTTATATTTTTATATTTCTCACTCTATGAAAAGCGGCGTCATCGGCGCCCTTAGCCATACCTCATTTATCTCTGAGTTAAATAAGCCCCTGCACATTTAATTTTACAATAAGGAACATAGAACAGTTATACACTACATATTACTAAAATTACAATGTAAATATTAATTTTGCAAGTGTATAACCTTCACAAATGTCTACAAATATAATGAAATAAAATTATACTTTATTCAATTTGACTTATTGAAAGCTCCTTTAAATCTTCCAATATTTATTACAAACTTTTGAAAGTATGTCCTGATTTTTTTTTAGCTGATGAGAAGCAAGGGCGCATGAAACTCATCAGCATTTAACAGGAGTAGCCACATTTAGAAAAAAATTTGTCAAAATGTAATATTACAATAAGACGGCATTATCTTCTCTCTACGGGAAAATAAACAATTTCGCGTTGGCGTATCACTTACTGAGGGGCTCGATGGTACGGGTGGTTAGCGCGTTCGGCTGCGATCGTTGAAGTTAAGCAACTTTCGCAGTGGTCGGTCGTTGGATGGGTGACCAAAAATCTTCTATTTCGAGTTTCTCCGTGCTTCGGAAGGCACGTTAAGCCTTTGGTCCCGGCTATATCTGCAGTCGTTAGCACCCGCCACTCCGCACTGGGCCCGCGTGGTGGGTCATGGCCCAATCTCCGTATTCTATCCATAGGGAAGGCCTGTGCCCCACAGTGTGATTTTAATAGGCTGATGATGATGATGTATCACTTACCTTGTCAGGATGACAGGCGAGGCAAGCCTTGCGGTAGTTCCGTTTGACGTCGGCGGGAGTGACGAGTTGAGACATGTCGCAACGAGTCCAGCGGCACTCCTCCCACACTACCGTGTGCAGGGAGCATAGCAACGCGCGAATGTTAGCTTTCTTGCCTTCGGTCTAGTGGACAACAACGAAAGGCCTGATTAAGCAACTTTTACTATTTCCACGAAAGGACTTTACTATTGTCAACATTTAAGAGAAGTAATATTATCAGCTTATTAGAAATTGAACTTTTGAACTTTTCACTGTGACGTTTCAATTTTGACATAAATGTATGGAACTTTTATCGAATTTGACATTTGTTGCAGCTGGAAGTTCAGTTTAGAACGCAACCCATGTCTGCAAATGTCATCTTAGACGGGTCTAAGATTTCCTTTGGCACACATATAGCGATTATCATATAGGCGTGCCCTTTGAAAGGATTTTCCAAAACTCGCCCCCTACATGAGTATAACGTGGGCTCAAAGTTAGTAAGGGAAACTAATATTTACATGCAAATGAAGTCACGGGAACCCACTAGTGATGTAAAAAATGTAAGAAACAAGTACATGTTCAAAATATCAGTAAGTAGTAAATAAACCAACGCACCCAATCATGTATTTTCAGTTTCTCCGGGTCCATGTCTTTAGCCATTTCCTCTTTGCGCATAGCGTTTAGTGTCTTAATGCCGGTGTCCCGTTTATTGGCGAACTCGTAACCCTGGCTGCCGAGTAAATCGCCAAACACGTCCATAGGTTTCTTGGGCTTGTCCTCAGCTGGTGTTTTGGCCGGCTCGAAGTGTGTGCGACTGGACGAGATTTATAAATAAATAAATATTTCTAACATTCGCAGCAATTAGCCTAGCCCCAATGTAAACGATCTCAATGTAAATTTGTTTGACAAATACGTAAATTTGACAATCATATTTGATCGTTTACAGGGCCTTTAAGGCTTGTGTTTGTTAGGCTTTATCAGTATATGTTTTCTATCCCTTACCCTGGTATCCCATGGGTAAGGGATAGAATAAATATACTGATAAATATATAAGAATATTTGTATAGATATACGTATCATATAAACATCCATGACTTAGGTACAAATGCTCGTATTCGATTCGAATTCGGGACTTCTGAGTAGCCGACATCATTAAACCCGTCGTACATACCATTAGGCCACGGAGGTCAAGATAATGACGATATAGTAAACGAAATTAAATAAAACCGTGGCTGAAATGTATCCAAAAGGTACATTGGACGATCCACGGAGCTCCGTAAGATTATCGCGTGGTCGAAAACAATATCAGGCATAATTTAAACATTGAAAGTCACCTTAAATGCATACTGTATAAGGTCTTAATATAAAAATAAAACGCATGCGTAAAAGACTTATGACAGTTCGAAATGCAAGCTCGTAAAATTTTATGACTTATTGCTATATGCGGAAGCATATAAACCTTATTGTTTTGACTCCACGCGCAATTCTGAATGCGCTGTTAGCAATATAGCAGGTAAGCAATATAGGAGGAAAAGAGACGGCTAAACGATGACGTATAACCGACCATGCATTTCAATAGCACTAATATTTTATATTAAATCAGTATATAGTAAGTATTAGAACAAAATTTGCTTCAAATGCGTTAAATTAACAAACATTGATAAAAATAACGCTGTCGAAAAAATGTAGACACTTTACGTACTACGAGTATATATAAGTATTTTTTTCGCATTTTTTCACGGAGCTCTGCGGCATCTTGACTTTTCAACTGTCCGCGCGTGACTGTGAACCAAGAAGTGCTTGAGTGGAGTTCAAGCACTTCTTGATTGGGACACATTTTGAGCGCTTGTTGTGTATCTAGGATATTTAATATCGTTGGATATATTATAATACAATCCCCCATGGTGGCCTGGGCGAGAAGAAAATTACGATACTTTAGAAATACACTATATAAGGCTGGGAGTAAAAGAAAACCATAGAATATCACTATTAAACCGATTTCTAAATTGACTCCGAAAAATGTAGTGTAAATTATGACTGCCTGTTTAAAAAGGATTACTATATTAGTAGCTAGTACAACCATGGATTAACTATACACTGAACCATTTGATACACTTCGACAAATGAATAATTCGCTCATAAACATGTAAACCGAGTCAAATTGAAATTAAAAAAGAATATTATTTATGCTTTAAAACAGTTTTGTATTGCATATTTCTCAATTTACTTATTTAATGTTTTGTCAAAAACAGTAATTAATTACAAACAGTACCTTTATTTATCTTACTCGCTTTAATAGAACTATAATTCCGATAAGTATATATGTTTTGGTTAACACAAGTGCAGTGTCGCTACCGGTAGCATTGTCCTCGGGGGCACAGTTCCTAGCGGCAACATCGTCCTTAGATTTTTTTCACAACAATTAGCCTAGTCCCAAAGAAGGTATTATCTCTAGCGGTTGTGACCTACCACTGCGTGTATTTATTTTATTTTATTTCTTCGGAATACTTACAGCTATTATTTATACATTGTATCTAATTTAGTTGACTACTAGCCAATAACAAGTTTTCACATATAAAAAATATATAGCTTATCAATTTCTGAAAGGAACTCATAAAGCGCCGCTCGGGGAATCCACACTGATGCAAAATTTTTGGGTTAGTAATTTGTAAATAGTTCAGTAACCAGTGCTCGCCTCAACGCCACTGTACTGTCATAAAATAAATCCAGGTTCGCGTTATTACTTAATGAATTGAATAAGTGACATGAACGTACAAGATAACTGTTTTGTCGATAAGTCGTATGTACTAAGGGGAACTTGCAATTTGAACTTCACACGTTCCAACAAATCACTTGAAATGAAATGAAATGAAAAATCTTTATTGGCCATCTAGTATAAGAAACAGAGGAAAAAAAATATAAAAAAGAAACTTAAAGTAAGAACAAAAATTAATCATTAGATTTAAAATGGCCAATCAGGACCCTGCCTCAGCTTATGCTGATACAATGAGAAAATATTCTCTCACTGTATCAGCGCTGGTATTCTGGCAGGGCCTGTTTGAGGACGTGTTAGGCGCTATAGTAAACAAAATAACATAAATACTTGGTGTCGATTCTGGCGTGACTCTCCGAACCCAAAACCAAATTCAACACCAGTCCCTCCCCTTCATTCTATATAGAGAATGACAGGAATGCACCGCTGTCAAACCCAAGACTAGCCCTAGAGAATCACGCCATAATCGACATCATTATAAAAGAAGAATCAATACTACCACTTGAGTCAATACTACCATTTAGAATTTTAAATAGATACATTAAATCGGCAATATCTCTACGAACTTTTAGGGGAAGTAATCGGTGCCTTGCACATCGCTCTTTAAATGAGCTGTCTTGAATTGAAGTTTTAAATTCCAAATATTTAAAAAGAAAAATTGTACCATTTACTGATAAGAGTTTTACCTCACCTATGTATTCCGGTAGATGCGCAGGATATCTGGCCGGATGGAGAGTATGTTCACTAGCGGGTTGGTTCCCAGTCATACAAATTAATTACTTATTTATCTACCAGTGTCTCTGGTGGGGGCATTGACCCCGGGGCGGGTCTAATGCTACGTGTTTTAACTAACCTATGTAATATGCAATGCGTCATAAGAGAGAGATAGCTAGCGGTCGCTCATCTATTTCCCCTTTCTACTAGGCTGACACTTTTAGAACCGCCTTATTCCCCGCTCTATTCTTACACCTCTATGGTTTTAACTCACCTATAGTCCGGTTGGTGGGCGGGAGATCTGGCCGGCGTATGCGTTTGATGCGCAGGAGTATGAGCCGGTGACGCACGAGGGGTCACTAGCGGAGTGGTTCCCAGTGACCCTGGTGGTGGTATTATCCCCGAGGGGACTGTCCCCGGCGGTGGCATTGTCCCCGTAGGCGGGGCAGTGGTGGAAGGAATATTGGCCCCGAGTAAACCGAGGTCTTCGAACGGGTCCTTCTTCGTCGGTTGCGCTTGCTCTAAAGGAACGCTTTCAGGCCGACCTATTAATTAAATTTTACATTATAAATTATGTAGGGATATGAACATACAAATATGTGAAGCTTACGGTGAAATGCTTACAGTTAGGGGTGAAATCGGCTGATAGTACTTATAGATCGTAACGAAAACAAATAAATGTTTCTGACACTCACACCGATTAGCCTAGTCTAAAAGTAAACATTATCCGTCTTATTCCAAAACACGGACTGAAGCTTGTCTTCTATTTAGAAAACAAAAGTAACATCATCCATTTTAGTCCAGGTTTAGCTCTTTGGCTTTCGCCTACGTTTTGTAATAAGGCGGAATAAGTGCTATGCGATACTTAAGGTAACAAATAGAAATACATAAAATGGACTTTAAATATCAGAACATATCCCTTTACCATGAAAACCCATCGTCATCTTTGATGAGTTGCGGCGTGAGCAGCCGAGCGCATCGCAGTTGTCAAGTAGTCGTTGTTGCCTACAAGAGGCTTCTCTGCCGCGTCCGTGAATATCGACTCGGAAAAGAATAGCTGCATTAAGTGCGCGTGCGAGTGCGCAGCTAGTCATTCTGGGGGACTTTAACGCACACCACCATGAGTGGTTGTTCCCGTTCCAGAAAACCTACCATGCCGGGAGATTGGCGCACACATTTGCTATATCGCTAGGTCTCTCCCAGCTTGTGAAGCGCGCTACACGTGTACCCGATATTGATGGCCACACACCGAACTGCCTGGACCTTCTGCTGTCAACAGACCCGGACCGTTATCAGGTGGTAATTTCGTCTCCACTTGGGAGTTCCGACCACTGTCTGGTGAAGTCCGTATCAGTTTACTCTCCAAACGACCCGGAACCTATCGGAACTAGGCGTGTATGGCGATATGGTTCAGCAGACTGGGATGAGATGCGGCATTTCTTTGCATCTTATCCTTGGCGTCGCACTTGCTTTTCTTCGGACCACCCGACTTGCTGCGCGGATGCCATTGCTGGCGTGATGCGTCGGGCTATGGAATGCTTTATTCCATATTCTGACGTACCACGCCGGTTTAGCGCCCGCCCTTGGTTTGACGCGGACTGTGCTAAAGCGGAGGCGCTTAAGCATTTTGCGTATCGCTCCTGGGCGGATGCTCGAGCCCGCAAATCACCAAATGTTCGAAGTCTGAAGAAAGCCTTTAACAGTGCCGCCAAGTCCTGTAGAGGTGTTCTCCGCAAGGCCCGCTTCGATCACATTGGCCGTATAGGAGCCAAATTAGCCTCCTTTCCATCCGGAAGCAAAGCTTTCTGGTCTCTAGCCAAGACAGTCGAAGCCAATTTTTGCCGGTCGTCGCTGCCGCCTTTAATTAAGCCTGACGGATCGCTGGCTCACACCTCCAAAGAGAAGGCGGACTTGTTTGCCTCCATATTTGCGAACAACTCACAACTAGATGCTGCTGGCGTAAACCCACCTAAGCTTCCTCAGTGTTCTTCTGCCATGTTGGAAGTTCGCATTCATCAGAAAGAGGTACTCAAAACGCTAAGCACTCTAGACGTGAATAAAGCCAGTGGGCCCGATGGCATTCCAGCTATTGTCCTGCGGAATTGTGCCCCTGAGTTGTCTCCTATTCTGACTCGCCTATACCGCTTATCCCTTGAGATTGGCCAAGTTCCGAAAACCTGGAAGCTTGCCAATGTCCAACCAGTACCCAAAAAGGGTAGTCGTGCCGACCCTGCCAACTATCGACCTATTGCAATCACCTCCATACTCTGTAAGATTATGGAGCGTGTATTGAACAACCGTCTCTTCGCTTACCTCGAAGATAACGATCTCCTCAGTGACTGCCAATTCGGTTTCCGCCGTGGGCGATCTACTGGGGATCTTTTTGTTTATGCTACCCACTTATGGAGTGAAGCCATAGAGAAACGCGGCGAAGCTCTCGCCGTTTCTCTTGATATTTCAAAGGCTTTTGACAGGGTCTGGCATGCAAGTCTCATTGGCAAGCTTCCTTCATATGGAATTGCTGTCGGACTTTGCAACTGGATTGTAGATTTTCTGCGGGGCAGATCGATACGAGTGGTCATTAATGGCACATCGTCGGATCTGCTTGGTATTAATGCCGGTGTCCCCCAGGGATCTGTCCTCTCCGCAACTCTATTCTTGCTGCACATCAATGATCTGCTCCTAACTCCCGGTATCTTTGGGTATGCAGACGACAGCACAGTTTCGGAGAGATATCTGCCGGATGTGAAGTCTGATGCAGATGTCCGATCATTAAGGGAGGCGATGGTGGAGGGAGTGAATGCAACCCTGGAAGCTGTTTCCCTCTGGGGTGAAGCAAACTTGGTTGGGTTTAATCCCTCAAAAACACAGGCCTGTCTCTTCTCGACGAAACGGAGTCCATTCCATCTGACTCCGACTTTCCGAAATTTCTCCGTGCCGGTTAAAGACCATCTCGAGCTCTTGGGTATGGACATCTCATCCAGCCTCAATTTCGGTCGCTACATCGAGTCCATTGCTAAAACCGCTGCCAGAAAACTTGGAATACTTTCTAAGGTCAGGCGATATTTTACATCTGAGCAGCTCCTTAACCTTTACCGAGCCCAAGTTCGCTCCTGCTTGGAGTACTGTTGTCACCTTTGGGACGGATCTGCTCGGTATCAGCTGGATGCACTGGACTCGGTGGAACACCGTGCGAAGAGACTCATAGGCAATGACGCTCTCGTTGAGGCTAATCTCCAGAGCCTTGACTACCGAAGATGTGTAGCTTGCCTCTCGGTGTTTTATCGGTTACATTTCGGAGAATGTGCGGAGGTATTACATAATTTGATCCCCCCTTCCCCTTTCCACCACCGGACGACCAGGCGCGGCGAGGGCTTCAACCCTTATGTTGTCGAAGTTCCTCCCATTCGCACGAAGCGATTTGCTTTGAGTGGAACTCCTTGCCGAGGTCTGTTTTCCCGGACCAATATAATCTGGACATCTTCAAGGCCAGAGTGAACAGGCATCTTCTAGGCAGGCGTGTACCATCCTAGGCCTCATCATCACTTTCCATCAGGTGAGATTGTGGTCAAACGCATTGCCTATTATGCATAAAAAAAAAATTAAAAAACTCCCCTTCATCTCTAATGAGTTGCGGCGTGAGCAGCGGGTCGTTGAGCCCAAATGCATCGAAGTTAAAGTCATTGTTGCCTACAGAAGGCTTCTCTGTCGCGTCCGTGAATATCAACTCGGAAGAGAACGGCTGCATGAAATATATTATGAAAACTAACTGTCATACTGGTTCCCAGGGTCCCTGGTGGTGGCATTGACCCCGGGGACACTGTCCGTGATGGTAGCATTATCCCCGTTGTCAAAGACTCAGTGGTACTGTCCCTGCCGGTAGCAAAGTCCCTTGTTGTGTCAATAAATAAATGATGAAAACTCACCGTCATCTTTAAAGAGTTGCGGCGTAAGCAGATTCTCTTGCTTGGGCAGCGGATCGTTGAGGCCAAACGGATCGAAGTTGAAATCGTTGTTGCCGGCGGATGGCTTTTCTGTTTGTTCCGTCGGTGGCGGCGGTAAGTCGCCGAACATCGACTCCGTAGAGAACGGCTGCTACAGATTAATGTGATTAATGGATTTATTAAATTTAATATAAAAACAAAATGGCGGCAAACTAGGGGCTATAGACTCAAGCTCATGCCAGAAATTTTTGTTTTTATTTATGGCACAGAGTTTCCCCTAACAAACCATAAAAAGGGTTTTCAGTTGAAACAAAAGTTGAAAGGTGAAATATTGTTATCAATCTGGTTAAACCGGTCATCTTTACTCTCGATAAAAACATTTTAGAAATATTTGTTTACCTTTGGCTCAGAGGAACTTGAATACAGTATAGGTAGTATTACCGCATATGCGGGTGACATACGCCGAGACGCCGACCAACGGCGATATATTGTTTAACCTTTGTCATCCGACCGTGACGTCAGCTAACATAGTGACATAATACTATTTAAACCTTTCTGTCATTTTTGCGGAGGGGAATATGAACACCATAGATTTATTATTATAAAGATCGGCAATTCAAAAGAGACAGAGATAGTATTTGCGTATGTTAGAGAGGTATAGTTTTACCAAACGATTCACGTACACGCTAGAGTCCGAAGCGGCCGTGCTAAAGTAGTGAACAAAATAAATATGTTTTTTTTTAAATAAGTGAATAGTAACAATTTCCTTTAAACTATATACGCAATCAGACCTTACCTTATAGTAGTAGCAGTACAGTGGAAATTTTAAATAAAATATAGAGTAAAGACAGTTTAAATAAAATATAATACGATAACAAAAAACATATAGGGACAAGTCACATTGTTAAGTAATTAATATTAAAAAATAGAAAAGATGATAAAGCGTTTATGTTAGGTACACCATGAAGGTTAAATATACCTGTGGCTCATTCGCGCTCTTTCCGCTCAGGAAATCGCCGAACTCATCAGCTTTCTTCTCCATCATGCCGAAGAAGTCAAAGGAATCTTCGTTCTTAAGCTTTTTGCTTTCCGTCTTTGGTACCGGTTCCTTCTGACTTTGATTGGCGAGGTTTAAAAAGTCAGCAGTGGGTGCGGCGGGCTCAGGTCTTGGAGGCGGAGGCCTGCTGGGTGGTTGTTTCTCTGCCTCTTGTGGTATATGGTTGTCTACAGTCACTGTTCGGCAACAAATATATAGTCAAAATAAATAGAAAATATGATGAAGATGATCCTCAATAAAGTACTAAATAATCATTATCAGTCTATTATTGTCCCCACAGCCGGGGCACAGGTCTTCCCTATAGATGGAATAGGGAGATTGGGCCATTGGTGGGTGCGAACGACTGCAGATGCATCCACGGCCAAGAGCTTAAGGTGCCTTTCGAATCACAGAAGAAGAATAAGCAAACCTAAAGATTAGTTTAGTAAGGAAAACATTTAAATATGACTCAAAATAAATACATTTGTGCGACTAATGGTCCTATTCAATTTATAAAGCTGTTGTAAAGTTAGCAACGAGTACTGAGATCCGAGCAAATGAGCCACCTCACTTTATTTTAAGTGACAGTGGAATCCAGACGCGAAGATAGCTCGTGAAGCAGTTTTACCTGCCACACTAGCCGTCCTCACCTTACCGGCCTTCAAGTTATTTATTCACGTCTTAGGTTTCAGCCGGTAATAGGGCCAGTGGCAGTAACTTCACAATCGCCATAATGTTTTAATCGCACTATACTATTTCGCGTCTGCGTTAATTGTTCATTATGGAGTTATGATACATTTTCTTATATCCACTGTGTTTCACGAAAACGAGTTAGTAGATTACTTTCTTTATAAAACAATCGCTAACAAAAGACAAAAGAAAAGTGCGTCACATGAGAAAAGGCCAAATAGCCGAAATTAACAAAATGTCGATTTATTAAAATCGCGTCATAATCATGAATAATCACACATGTCAATGAAATGATAATTATTATGTAAACTGATATGATTCTATTGTTATTTATTCTATTAATTAATCATGCATAAATCTATAGATCTAAAACAGGCAATAATTTTAATAATAAAAAAGGAAAAGATACAGCCCTTAAAGATCTTCTAAAATCTCAAGTCTGGCTTTGGCTCTATAATAACTGCTTTACAGGTTCTATAGATTACTACATACTGAGATTTCGTATCTCTAGAGGCCAGCCAGTCAGCAAATGGTTATCACTTTTATAATATGAAGTAAATCCATGCAGTACTTTTTGAGTTTATCCCGGACATACATACAGACAAACAGGCAAAAATTCTAAAAACTATATTTTTGGCTTCGATATCGATTGTAGATCACACCCCAATTATTCTTTTAAAAAATATTCAAAGTACAGTTTTGACTTTCCTACCATTTTATTATATGTATAGATATGGTACTGAAATGATCTTAGTGTAACCCTAACAGCTCATTTTATTAGACTAATAAATAAGCCCAAATAAATAAAAGTAATAAATGAGTTGTTAAATTTTAAAAAGAAATCGTTAAACTAATGAATATTTACATAAATAAACACAAAAAAATAGCACTTGCTGTTCTACATTTTTCTATGATAATACAAGCAGTCCACAGCAATCCTATAACATACTTGGATGTGCGGCGTCCCGTCCTCGCAAGTTAGCTGAATAAATAAATACATACACATAATATGATATATAATTTTTCCAAAAGCATTAGATTCATCACATAAAAATTTGCCCCTGTGTGGTTAGTTTCTAAACAGAAGTCACGTGCCTGACTGCTTTTGGTAAAGGAACGGAAAAACCATTTTTAATAAAGTTATTGCGTGGGTCAAAATTGTTTTCCTAAGGGTTTACTTATTATAAATAGATTAATATGAAATTATAGCATTTAGTACGGCAATGGAGGTCTGATGCCTACCGTGATTACGCCTAGTATCCCGAGTGGTGTCTTACATTGAACAATATTATTATTATACTCTTTATTGCACACAAAAATTGTAAGATACAAAATATAAATATGTGAGCAAATTATCACTATTATCTATTATACTATATATATCATCACTATTATAACTGTGAAAATCTCACCAAAATTGTCTATAGTCTCGTATTTTTCTAGATCAGTGGAAAAGAGATCATACGTATCGGGTACGAATGGTCATCTTCCCACATTCTGTACCTCAAGACTGATCACAACGGTGGTGTTAAAACTATCAAAATACTCACCGAAGTTGTCTATGGTCTCGTATTTTTCTAGATCAGTGGAAAAGAGAACGTCCGGCGTCCGTATCGGGTACGAATGGTCATCTTCCCACAAGTCGCTGCGCGGTTTCCGCCTCTCCCCATTCTGTACCACTAGACTGATCACGGCGGTAGTGTTTGCAGAGAAATGGTCATTCACCGGTAGTGATTCGTCGATGCCGTCTATTTCTGACCTGTTTAGTACATACTTATTGAGTGCTTAGTTATAATTAAAATATATAGTGGTATAAATCTAAAGAAAATGTTAGAAGAAATTCGACTCGGACCAGATTTCAGACAGGATTCGAACCAGCATCTTCAGCTAACTGGGCCGACATCTAGCAGTAACATGCTTAAAATAAAAATAATATATATGGGATACCAGTTATAGCTTGTAACTTTATATTCTTCTAGACAATGTTTTGGTACTTTTATCTTATAATGGGCAAAAACTGCCAATTTAAACCGCCAGGGGCGCGGAAGTCAAAGTCACAAGGAAAACCGACAAATTCCGATAGACTTGGGCTGCGTTTCAAACCTATGTCTCCGGTGCAACAATGTCAATTTGACATAAGTTTCATACATTTTTTGTCTATATTTAAATGGCAGCATAAAAAATTTAACTGTGAGCGCAGGTTTAGAACGCAGCCTTGAAGTGACAGGTTGCTTGTCATGGGCCAAACGGCCAAAGCGGCATCTGTAACAAGCTTTGCGTTTTCTTTTCCATTGAAAAAACAGTAACTTACCTATTGAACTTGATGGCGTGTTGATCAGGCGGTAAGTATCCCGTGTGAAAGCTGACTGAGAACACGGGTACGGCGTGCGCGCGCCCCAACTGTTGGCGCGCGTGATAAACGCTAACGCATACGTCCCCTACCACGGTCGTGTCCAGGGGCAGGGACACCTACGATCGAGTGAGAATACATTTAATATAGAACGCGCCCCAACTGTTGGCGTGCGTGATATATATTAACGCACACGTCCCCTACCACGGTCGTGTCCAGGGGCAGGGACACCTACGATCGTGTGAGAATACATTGAATAGAGAACGCACCCCAACTGTTGGCGCGCGTGATATATACTAACGAACACATCCTCTACCAGGGTCGTGGCCAGGGGCATCGACACCTACGATCGAGTGAGAATACATTTAATAGAGAACGCGCCCCAACTGTTGGCGCGCGTGATATATACTAACGAACACATCCTCTACCAAGGTCGTAGGCCAGGGGCATGGGTACCTACGAGCGAGTAATACTACAGTAAGAAAGTACTCTGAGGCTTACAAGAGTACTTTCTTGCAAAATTAATAACAGATGATCACATATTACATATTATTATAAAGAGATGGTCTTATGATTATTTTGATTGCTAATACTACTATTAAATTTTACGATTAAAAGGCAATTATTGTATTTTATAAGTAAATGGCCATAGATTTGTATTCTTAAATATTCATTATTTTATTACTATTATAAATAATAATAATAATACATGGCCAAAACATAACGTTAATCTTAATAAGACAGTCAGTTGACCTAAGTAGTCCTTTTATGTTTATAAGGATCAGTTCACACCGAGACGCGACGCGACGACACTCGAAGACGCCAATGATTTCGCGCTGCGCCGCGTGCTACCGCGAGACGCATCGCTACGTCGCGAAACGCCGCGGGGTGCAGCGGAACGTTTCTACTCGCCGCGGGTGACCGCCACGCCCGCGCCCACCCGCAATGTAGTATTGTAGAGCAGTCGCCACATCGGCCTCATGCTGCACCTCGCGGCGTCGCAAGGCATCGCGAGACGCAACACCGCTCTTGCACGCCGCGCGTACCGGCGATGCACCGCTGCGTCGGGATACGTCGCGCTACGCCACGAGGCATCTCGAGGAGCAGTGCTGCGTGGTGCAACGTATTCTGAATTCTCACAAGGAAATGTGTAGTAAATAAAGTATATTTTGAGTCGTTCTATTCAAAATGTGCGCGCATCGTCGCGCCGCGTCGCGTCTCGGTCTGAACTTACCCTACGCGGTTCAGTGAACATATGGCGGGGACCGTGGATTGGAGACAAGCTGTCGTGCATTATATGAAATGTTAATATTGAAGACTGTTGGGTTTTATAAATTCTTAAATAATTAATAACTCGTGAACAGTTAGCTCACCTTCCCTTCAGCTATCGTGTACATATGAAGTCTGTCGTAATCCTGCATCGTAGACAATAGTAATCTATCCTCATTATATATTTCCACATAAGGTCTACATCCGTCTCTGCAACAGATGATATAAAGATTTTATTCGAAGATTCAAATAAAATAGGATATCTGCAGTTCTGAAGCAAATAAGAGCTACGAAAATGGCAGCGCTGCTATTTACCACTCACTCACCTAACATTTCTGAGATGGAGAAAATAGAAAAGCATTTGTATGGCCGCCATTTTTAATTCCATTTTATAATTCACACAGTTATATTTACTTATGATTTCTGTGTGTTTTCAAATTGAATCATGCTATAAAGTTTTTTAACTTACCTCGCTTTGGTGAATAGTGGAACTGGCTGTATTGTCAATGAAATCAAACTCACTGGTCTGAAATGTGGCAGTTTGGGGTTTTGTCTGAAATGAAAAATGAAATCAAATTGTACAACTAGTGTTTAACATCGTTATAGTTGTATGTATAATCGTTGTGTATGTGTGATACACATATGGTAGTGTCTAATGTTGTTTTTTATTAGTTTAATGTATGTAGAGTGGTACAAAGTTTTCCTTTTGCGGCTTAATAATTTCGAATCATAAATAAACTATATATATATATATATAATAAGTAGGTACAAATAATAAAAAACGGTTAAATTACAAGAAAATAGTAAATTAAAAAAAAATAACTAAATATTACAATAGGGAACACACCTGATTATATTAGAAAGGTAGTATAGGTATCTCAGTTGGGCAGGTGCTATGTGGATGGGTGACCGTTTAACGGCGAATATCTGCAGAGCATCTTCGGGCACAGTCACCAGTTTTGCGTACAAAAGCAGACCGCAAAGTAACACACAAGACATATCTTTGCCATCCTAAAATTAGAAACAAGTTATATTATAAGAACATCTGTTTTTAATACATTGCCAATAAGGAAAATTATTACTATGTGTTGCAAGAACGCTTAGTATGTAGCCAATAGTTCTACCTTGAGAGACGACAAACACCATGACATAGCGTGCTTTAGTTTTCTCTCACTTAACGTACTTGGCAAATGATAATTTCTTATCTTTTCCAAGGTTGGCTAGGCTGGTACATGTGTTGTAAGACTATAAAATGGGGTCAACAGTGCTACCTTGGTGGACACCATTGCGAAATTTACTTTTATCCTTTTAACTCACCTGGAAAGTAGTAACAACGGCGATCTTCTCGTCTTTCCCAAGATACTGGTACATCTGTTGCAAGAGCGCATAGAATGGAGCCGACAGTGGTGCCTTGTGGGACTCCATTCCACCATGCACTTTTGTTCCCCTAACTTACCGACTATGGCATGCTTCAGTTTTCTCTTTCTTACTTACATGGCAAATAATAACAAAGGCGCTCTTCTCGTCTTCCCCAAGGTACCGGTACATCTGTTATAAGAGCGCATAGAATGGGGCCAACAACGGTGCCCTGTGAGACGCTATAAACTATGACATAGCGTGCTTCAGTTTTCTCTTTTTAAATTACTTGACCTCCTTGTCCTTTCCAAGGTACTGGTATATCTGTTATAAGAGAGCATAGAATGGCGCCGACAGTGGTGCCTTGTGGTACTCCATTCCACCATGCACTTTTGTTCCCCTAACTTACCGACCACGACATAGCATGCTTCAGTTTTCTCCTTCTAACTTACCTGGCAAGTAATAATAACGGCGCTCTTTTCGTCTTTCTCGAGGGACTGGTACATCTGTATTGGAGCGCATAAATTGGTGCCAACAGCGGTGCCCTGTGAGACGCCATAAACTATGACATAGCGTGCTTCAGTTTTCTCTATCTAAATTACCTGGCAAGTAATAACAACAGCGCTCTTCTCGTCCTTTCCAAGGTACTGGTACATCTGTTGTAAGAGAGCATAGAATGGGGCCAACAGTGGCGCTCTGTGAGACGCCGTGGGCCACAGAGTTCGACACGCGTCCGTGACGAGCACGTGACGAGGGAAGTGTAAGCGAGCCCCGCGACACGCGTTGTACACGCAGTATTTACCGCCGGGGTGACGGCTTTCCAAATAAGCCTGGGAAGAGAAGCTTCAAATTGTATTTTATTTAAAAAAAAAACAGCATGGATTAACTAAGGTAAAACTAAATTCCATTATATACATATCTACTAACCTAATTTGAAGCAAAGTGACTGAGTGAACATCACTTCAATTCAAATACTGCTTAATAAAAGACGTCATTTAGCAACATTTGAAGTAGTGTTATGTGTATTAATTCTTATTATGATATTTACACAAACTCAAAGGAGTTTAAATATTTCTGATATGGGATTTAGAAAAAGGCATAATAAAGGCATGAAGAATCGAAACAATATAGAAATCTTCGATTGACACGTCTAGGAATATAAACCCGAGTTGGCCCGAATATGAATATGGTCAGAAATGGCAGTTATAAAGTCCATCAAATAAATGCAATAGCAAATAACATTTTCTACCAATTTATTTTATTTTATTTATTTACTTATCTAATAAACAATACAGTTTTTATTTATATAGCTTTACGCCTTAAAACCCTAAAGGGTTTGACTAGGCGTTGCACATTCGTCTTCAGACACATACTTATATTATTTACAATGTGAACTATTACTAAATCGCGTTCTCAAAAACATTCGTGTTTTCGACAAACATCATGCACACGACACACCTAGTACTACGATGTATACCTTTAAAATTAGAAAACGTTAAGAAAATATACTGTGTATCATCTAACATACCTTCACATCGTCAATATGATTAGTTTTGTAGGCACTCTCCAAGCCTTCAGAGGGGTACGGCATTACTATAATACGACTAGTTATGTACGATATATCCAAATCTGTCCTTGCTATTGACCTGCATTGAAGAAAATTCAATATTTATATTTCAAAATTAACTTTCTATTGAATTAAATAGAAATCTAAATTTTAAATGATTATGAAATTAAAGTTTTATTCAAAGTTCAACTTCCAACCAACCATCAGTTTTGGAAATAAGCAAGTACTATTACTACAGTCTGCACCGTGTTTTCTTTTCAGAGCGGTTTCATTCAGGCATGTATGATCAAACCAACAGATTCCTGACCAACTTGCTCGATAATACGCTTAAAACTGTCAAAGCAGACAAGTTTTACTTTGTGGAGAATGCGTAAATGCATTTATGACCTTCTATTATTATCAAAGATACTGTGTTAATATAGATCAAAGATATTTGAAATTTGGCCTTTATTATCAATGCAATAGATCATATTATTGACATTTAGAACAGTAGTTTGGATTTCGAAATCACTTTTAAAATCCTAAATAAAATAGAAACTCTCACGATTTTTTGACATTGTAAAAAACGTTGTAAACTAATAGAAAAAGCCTTAGTCCATGGGCATAACCATACAAAATGTAATGTTCTCCCACCAATCCGCACTGGGCCCAGGTCGCGGGTCATGGCCAAATCTCCCTATTCCATCCATAGGGAAGGCCTGTGCCCCAGCAGTGGGGACATTAATAGGCTGATGATGATGATGAAGGCGGCAAAATCCATCTCGTCAAATGTGATTGTTTAGCCAACTACAACTGTATTCTGGGATAAGTTTGTACATTTAAGCAAAAATCTACCTTATTGTTTTGAAATGGTTGTAACAAAATGAGCATATATGGTCGTTCAGGAATCAAATTGGCTGGTTGTACACTGATTTATATTTCAAGCTGCTACCTTCAATGCTTTGAAGAAAGAAGAAAGAAAGAAAGTTTCTTTCCTGAAAGTGATAAATGCATAAAGTTATGTATAAAAGTTCCATTGAATTAAAATAGTCTTCACTACTTACAGTTGGACAGTCAGCATGACTTCTTCTACAAGAAGTATTGTCACGTTCTTAAGAAAGCTTCCAGCGCCATTGATGGAGAACAGACCGCCAGAGGCCGATTGTTGCGGCGGCGGATGGTATCCATTGAATTCAATAATCTTCACTACTCACAGTTGGACAGTCTACATGACTTTTGAAGTGGTATCTTTCAAGTCCTTCAGGAAGTTTCCAGCGCCCTCTTTGATGGAGGAGAACAGACCGCCGGAGGTGTCATTTTTTGCGGTGGCGGATGGTATCCATTGAATCATATAAACTAACCATGGAATAAAATATACATCACTACTCACTGTTGGACGGTCTGCATGACTTTTGAAGAGGTATCTTTCAAGTTCTTCAGGAAGCTTCCAGCGCCTCCTTTGATCGACGAAAACAGACCGCCAGAGGTGGCAGATTGCTGAGGTGGTGGTTGGTACTGTGCTACGGGCGGGGGCCTCGAAGGAGGCGGAGGCCGGCTTGGCTCCGGCGGCCGCGAGTTCGGCATTTCTTGACTGTCCGACACTGGGTCCTTGTTGGCTAAAATTAAGAAAAAAAAACGAACTCAATTTCACCTCGTTCGCAATTCCGAAAATAGAACAAGCGATTCGATTTTTTGAATGAATGAATTAAAAATTTTTAGATGCAACAGTGCACCATTTTTTCTCGACTTGTAAAATACTATTTTTTTAATTTATTTTCAGCCTAGAGGCGATATCGCGCTTCTTCTTAGTCTGCATTGACTCACTGTGATTGTCGCAGAATACATAACTGCGGCACAAGTCTTAAAGTTTTGATAATTTTAATGTGCATAGTTATTTTTCATCTTCCTATAAAATTGTGGCTTGTTAGTTAAGAAAATAAAGAAATTCAAAGCTATGGTATAACACGGTCATTTAAAGAATGTAACTGTATATGAATGCTAGTCTATTCATCCATATACTACTTCATGTAAGTGAGATGTGAAAACGAGAACCACTATTTTCGATCTCATTCGTTAGTGGACTGAGTGATAATAATTTTTTTTTACACTTAAATCTTTTTTGTAAATTTTAAATAAAAAAGAACATTTTTTTAAGAACTCACATGTGAAATGTTATTATAAGGCAGGCCAATTCATAAAAAATAACACTCACATTACTTTAAACACTATTTATTACTAATTTTTAAATATTGTTTTACATTAGCTTTAAATATCTTACTATACTAATAGTAACAAAAATATTGCTCATCTCTAAATACATAATACAACGATAAAATAATATTTAAGAATGGTCTTTCACGGAAGATTTTCATATGATTATTTATTTACTAGTAAACATTAAAAAAACAATTATAATAAATACGTTTAAATAAAATTGTATCACAATATTTAGCAAAACTTCCACCATTCGTTTGTAGTTAATTTATTCTTAAAAAATAAAATAACGATCCTATAAAATATAAAAAAGTCAAAAACATATTTCATATTATAATAAATATTAACTTTTATGGAATCGAATCGTAAAATAAAGCACCATTTATATACTTGTGTTGAATAAAACATTATTAAGGTACTTATTGTTGTTTTCAATTTTTTTCTACATAAAGTCATTGTGTTGGTTGACTAAATTAATATAAGTAATGAATTATTCAATAAAACATTAAGTATTGTTTCCAACGATATTTAATACCCTAGATACAACAACACGAACAAAATCGTGGCCAAAACGTGTCCATATGGTGCATTAGACATTCCATTGAGCTGGAGTAAGATGATCGAGTAGGCAAAAACAATATAAGGCATTTTCTGAACATTGAAAACCACCTTTAATGCATGCTGTATAAGGTCTTAATTAAAATGCAAGCGTCAAGGAGTAATATATATATATCCAGGTAAGCAAATGACTCTACCCCACCTGATGTTAAGTGGTGATAAAGCCCAAGCTGGTACAGCAGTTATAAACTGCCAAACCAACCATCCTAACCTTTCCGGCCTGCAATATATATAGACCTTATTTCTTTATCTCTAGAACCAACGCAGCAGGAACGGACCGCGAAGGAAAGAGACGGCTATATTACCGACCATGCATTTGAATATCAAGTATTTTCTATTAAATCAGTTTATAGTAAGTATTACAACAAAATTTGCTTCAAATGCGTTAAATTACCAAACATTAATTAGGTACCTGTCGACACTTTAGATACTATAAATATTTTTTTCGCATTTTTTACGGGGCTCCGCAGGCTCAAGATGCCGCACATCTTGACTTTTCAACGATCCGCGCGTTACTGTGACCCAAGAAGTGCTTGTGTGATGTTCAAGCACTTCTTGATTGGGACACAGTTCGAGCGCACGTGGTGTATGTAGGGTATTTAATATCGATGAATCTTTTAAAAAAAGATGATCATGTTTCAATATATCGGCGTTCTCCTATAAGTGATAACTTATATTACAAATATATGTATAATATGTTATATTACAAATTCCAGGTATTAAAACGTTATTACAAAATAGTATAAGCAAAGCATTTTCATCTTATGTTTCTTTTCTGCAAATGCTCGAAGCTGTTCACAGGTCAGAGTAAGTGAGTAATAGACTCACCCATAAGAATATACTGTAAGGTAAGATTCCTCTCTTTACGAATGATGACTAATTCTTTTTTCCTTATCTAACAGGTAGATTACCAAAAAGTATTAAACGTGTATTTTGTCTGCAAACAAATGCTCTTGACTTCATTCATCTAAAAATCTTCTTACATTTTTAGTTTAAAAGATTTCATAAGAAAACAAGAAAAAATATAGATCAAGGTTGCATTATTGTCTAGCTCTCGATATTGCTACATAACAATTAATGTGTAATAATCATTATAAACTACATAGCCAATCATCTTTAGGTAATTAACAAGTTTAATTAGCAATAGCAAGATTTTCACATAAAACTGCAAAACATCTGTATTACTATTGGCATAAACTGCAATTTATTTGTGGGCGTTTGAGCATATTATCGGGGTATATGCTTGAGGCAGCATAAAGTTTAGTAATACAGAAAAAATATATGTTAGTAATAAAGCTAATACTTGAAATTCAAAAGAATAAGCTCTGCTCCATTCCGCTTGGTCTACACTAACCATATTATTATGTGATTCCTCACATGTTCAATATAAGAAATAAATTGAATACAAGTCATCTTATATGTCAAAACATTTGATGACACTAAATATGGTAACAAATAATACTTATTTGAATCACAAATTTACTTTCGAAGTTAATATACCTTATGAAATAGTGGAAATACAGTAATATAGGTATGTTCCATAATTAAAAAGTTGACAAATGACTTTTCCCCAATAACATTTGTAACAGTAAAGTCCAGACGCGAATACATATACCTTCTCTATTACCGGCCTGCAAGTGGCTAATTCCGTTCTTATTCAGATCTAATGTTTTTTTTTTATTTAAACTGTTTGTAAGTTTGTTTAAACATATTTCACATCTTTCGTAGGAGTTACAGCATAAGGCTAAAGGGTAGGGTAGTCGGAATACTCGGAATGTGTATTTTCCACACGAAAGACGAAAGCTGGCAATATTTAGTTTAGTAAAATTTGATGCATCTAAATAAAATGGCTAAATTTGTCATTATTGCAAAGTCGTTGCACCTGTTTAATCACAATTTATAAGGATGAATATAATATCCAGAGAGAGTTCATGGTGATACATTACATTTGACACCGTCCACATCCGTCCAATTTATTGCCAGTTGTTCCAATTCGAATTAAAGTCGGTCACAGATCAAGAGCTATGTTACCTCAGGGCGGATTATATCGCTTTTCATACTGATAATTAAATAAAAAATACATATAGTATGTAAAGCCTTAGAATTACTCTTACATACTGTGTAAACTAAGCTGCAAAATCAGCGAAATATTTTCTAGCTATGCTAATAAATCTGAACTGCTAAAGCTCTGGCTTCCAACTCACACTTAAGAGTGAGTTGCAAGTTACTTTAACTTTTACTGTACTAAAACGACATAAAAGCTTTTGCAAAAAAAAAGACAAAGCTTAAAACTATTATAGAAATTAGCTAGCGATGTAAGAACAATATAAAATCGATGAAGCATAAACAGAAATGAAAAATTACAATAATTATTTCACATTTGTATTTAGCAACGTGTGATGTTCGAAATGGTTTATGCGAAATAGTTTGACTGCAATCCATTCTCATTTACAGTATTGTAAGCTGAGAATTCTTCAACGTGAGAAGTCCACACACAGCTATTCAGCATGCAACTCTACGCGCGTTGACGGCAAGGAAATTACTTTCACTTCACAATATACCTAGCTATCTTCACAAACTGAGACATTTCGGTTCAGCTTATAAAAATCTACCCGTCGCGCAGCACTATGTGACGTCTTAAGAAATTTTTACAAGAAACAATTCAACACAGTCATGGTTAGGCTGAGTTCGAACCTGCATCCCCTGCTCTCCGGACGGATACACTGACCGCTATCACCGCTATGCTACCGTAATCTTAACGGACATGTCTATCAATTTAATGCTTAAAAAAATACGATAATAATGTGGATTCTACCTATGAAATTTGAACTGATGAATTGTTAAACGTAAAGCGCGTTTAAGGAGCGTCATCTGGTGGACATCGCTAAATAAATAAAAAGTGTAAGAAATCGCAATCAAGTTTTAAAAAACAACTTGTATGTAGCCACTCGCAGTCCACTACTGAGTACTTTTTAAAAAAAATGTCTATTTGTTTCTTTGGGATACATAAAAAAATATATATTTTAAAGTTTGAATTTACAAATCATGTCTGGGCTCATTGTAGAGCAGTCATTTGCTGGCGCTCACTTTTTAATTGAAAATAGACTGACAGCAATATAATTCATTATTCCTAATATACAGTTTATCTTATACATTTAAAATAAGTATCATATCAATGTCTCCAAAATTATTTGCCTGGAAGTAGAAATAGCTGACATAAGTTATAACAACTGTGTTGTTTTCTATTTCATCTCGATTAATTTACAGTACCTACATAAAGAAAACGAATTACAGAAGGTATGCTTCAGATCTACCTACTTCAATAAAAATATTTTTCTTGTTCTATTTATTCGATATGATAAATATTAAAAAATAAAAACTGTATAAGAAGTTTTGGGCATAAATACATAATTAGAAGTATTGTCACAAAAAAGAGTTATCTTTTTTCTTATTCTAAATATCATACATGAAAAACAGTTGGGAACAGCATCAATATAAGTTTCTATAGCCACAAAGATTTATATAAAGCGGTTATTAGTAAGATATACAAAAATATGATAATTAAAAAAGCAGTTTTCTTGCAACTTAAATAATTGAAATCGGAATGTATTTTTATTAGTTTACCATAATTATTGTCTTTAAATTCGAAGATTAAATGTAAAACGAGTCCGTCTGTATTAGGTTACTGGTGAGTGTAAATGCTAACTGGTCTCACTCTGTTATTAGTAAAGGAATGTCGATTTCCCCTCGTGGCTCGAGGGATTTATTCGATTACAAAAATGTTAACAATAACAAATAAATTAACACGACAGATATAACAATATAATAATACAGTGCGTTTTAATTAGTAAATAAAATCTATACTCATCATTGCGAGCATGTCCATAATGTTTAGAGCAAGCGTTGGGGGCGTGAATGCGGTCCGAGGCATTGGCCATGCTAGTGCGCCGGGTCATTTAAACGAGAAAACTATTGGGCATCCGAAAAAGTTGAAAACACCTAAAATGAAAAAAAACGTGATATGTATAGCAATCAAACAGTACACTGCATTCATACGAAGCCACGCGACTTAGAATTATTAACTTTATATAACAAAAAAAAATATGAAAATTACATACTTCGATTCAATCATCGGCAATTCAATCAATTATACCTCTGTAACGTGCACCAATAAATATTAATCAAGACTGTGTAGTCAAGGATCTTGATAATCGCCAAACAAATTTGAACTTTGTGTACAGAGGCATAAGGGCCATAAAGTCGCGAAGCTTCACGTAAAACTACGCACATGAACATGCAATGACATTGTGTCCGTACAAACTAAACAAAGAAGCATTATGAACTATTTAAAACTCAAAATTAACATGCATACGAATAATAAAGTTCTATTCTAGCAATGTTAAAGGTAAGTCATATATCTTATTAATTAACAACCTTGGATGCCGTTACCGACTTTGGCATGCTTTAATCAATACCGGTAAAATTGTTTGTTCAACAAGTAAATTGGATATGACAAGAACTGATAATTGGATTCGTGGTTTCGAAATATCTATAGATTAGATAGATAAATATAATACGAATAAGTATATAAACGAGAGCGTACATGTGAAACAGCCCATTCACGCACTAAGCATGTTAGTTACGTTACGATAGTATTACAGTTTTAGTATAATTATAGATTTTTATGTTATGACCAAGTTCTACAAACATTCACAATATACTGGCTATTTATGACAACATTCCCCGTTAAGTACCATGGTTAAATAAAACAAATATATGTGTATGAATGTATACCTTAAAGGTTCTTGTATAAGCATTGTAAGATTTGGCACATTATTAAAATTCAGTTTAATGTGATAGATTAGTAGTATTGTAAAATTATTGTGATCAACTAATTGGTTTATTAGAAAGTGCGTTTGGATATTTATTGCTTTACAGACCAGATTTCTTTTTAAAATAAGATGCTACTTTCGATAAAACAATTAAAATTATATGTGCTAATGTGGGACGAACAAAACAATTATTCAATGTGTTTCATGTGTTAATCAAACTGGAATGATAGTAAAATTAAATTTGAGTACATATCTAAAAAACAGTTAACTAGAAAAAATCAACTCCACTCAGGTATCACTTGAGTTGAAATTATTCTCATAAGTATTTATTTGATAAACAATTCTAACTGAATAATGCTTAAATAATAATACAGTAAAAATCTAAATATCCGAACGCCCATTTCTAGTCACATAATCTTGGGTTAGTGGTTTTAAATAAATGTCGAATTAGTGCTAAACAGTTACAGGATGCCATATTGTTAGTGAACCATCAAAATAAAAGTGATTTACCTAATGAGATGACCGTTCATCCTCTAGTTAAGTGGCCCAGCCTCATCCAGTTAATATGAGTTGAGTGTCTGCCCTCGCAGACATGATTAGAAATAAAAACAAACGTCGAATATGAAGAATATACTCATTTATTCATCGAATAATGTAAGCTCAGACATAGTCACATGACTGTATGCACAACAGACGTTATTAATATAAAATGACAATAATAAATTCAGGATTAACACAAATTATTTAAGCATGAATGATATGTCGCCCCTATATAGTGCTGAAATGATATTATTTACTAGGCATAGGTACTAACAGTTCAACATAATATTATGTTCTAAAATCGCACAATGTTATTATAATGATACACACATGTATTCAGTAATGCCAATACTTCTAAAGTAGCTTTTTGTAATTTATGACATTCTGATGTGCTATACAAAACTATACTATTTATACTTGTACCATAATTCACATTTTCATTATATTGTCAAGGAATATTTTTGATCAATACTTTGATCTTAAAATAAAAATATTTAATAAATATTTAGTTAACAAACAGTGCAAATTGTTACACTGAAGAACATCTAGTGATGCTACAGACTAGTGATGTACACATTGGTTATTAAACAATTAAAATATAACTTCTATACTAACTATTAATAAGAGTGCAGGTATACCAAGCCACCGATGTTGTTAGTGCCAGTAAGTTTACATTAGATATATCGTACCCCACTATGTTAGTCGTGATAAACAGCATGATAGATACATCTTTATAAAGTTAATACAATGCGTAAATGTTTAAAGAATACGGTATACCCTATTATTATTAAGAAGAAAGAATAGTATAATTACAATTTAACTATTGATAGTATTCAATTAATTATGTTTTAGAATGTGTAAAGTCTAGTAAAATATAAAGAATGGGGTTTAAATTTTTTGGTTATGTCATTAACGCCCCAAAAAAATTTATAATGTATATTTAAGTAAGTAAATTAATAATTATATACTCCTAACATATAGATCATTAACTAGCTAGCGACCGGTATCCTATAAAAATAAATATATATCTATAAAAGCTACAAATAGTTTAGTGAGCACTTTAGAAATGCCTACTTTTTTTGGTTTAATAAATGTCTTTTAAGTTTCACTATAAGAGAATTTGTTACACCTTTACCTTATCGTTACTGGGACATAATATTAATTTCCTTATTTTTATAAATTTTGCCTATCCTGTCATCAGACTTAAACGTCAAATTAAAGCTTGATTTGTTGGTTTTTTTAAAAGACTTCGTAGCAGGTCAGATTATTGCACTGGCCCAAAATTGTTGAGTGAGCTTTAAGACAAGTCTTTTATATTAAGAAAATATCACTAACATCATGAAAACGCAAATGAGCACTGAAGCAATGAAAATAAGTCAGCATCATCAAATATAATTCGAATACTGAACTATATTAAAAATAAGAAAAAGTCAAATAAATGCTATACTACCTTAAATCATTCCGAGAACAAACTCTTTCAACATCGCCTTACCTTTGGTGTTGCTCATTTTTGGTGAATAATTACATTGGAATGTAACGAAATCTCACATTATGAAAAGTAACATTTTTTCAAGGAACTAAATCCAAAATAAAAATGTTCAGAGATAAATAAAAAATAAAAATTTGAGTGTAAAAAGTCAAAAAATACTTGACCATTTTTAGCTCGAGACTAAATGCAACAGAACATAATAATGGACCAATAAGGTGTACATGGATAACTGAGACGCACGTTCGCAAATCAATTCGTAAGAGACGATTTATAATTTAATAAAACATGTTGAAAGTGTCGCGCCACGACAACTCCTTTCAGGATATGGTAGTGTAATATTTACTTGACTTCTTATTACCTGGCGAGCTAGTGGCCACAGATTGTTCAACTTTTTTACGCTCAAATTTGAGTGGTTGCTTGAGATTGACGTTGTTGGACTCCGCTATTGCCGCCAATCGTTCCAGCACACTGTTTATGGTTAACCGCTCTTCGGGATTTACTGTAAGGCATCCAGCTGGAATGAAACAAAAATCTTTACCAAACATTGTTTCATAAGACAAAAGTTAGGTTAGTTCAAATACAACTACTGCATCACGTAAAATTACCGGTAGGATCATGTATTTGTGTAATAAGCGCAAATATTTGTTTGTAATAAACACCACAGAGAAATTACGTGCGCACTAGACGTTTGTGTGTAAAATTGCTACTGCGCAGGCTTCCTTGTCTATGGACGGTGCTCAAGAACTTTGCTAATGTAATGATTGTTTCACATATATGTGTATCATATACATTATTGTCTACATAGCACAAACAATTATTTATTTATTTATTATTAATGCTTCAGTGGTATTGTATACAACAATGGTAACTTTAAAATGGAATGGTAGTGTGGTTGGAGAAGCTTGCTTTCTTCTTAAACGCACTTGTGGAGCTATAGATGATGACGTCACAGTTCCTTAATGCGCCCTCTGTCTCTTATTTATTGTAATTTCCGCCTCTTTTTATACCCCACCTGATGTTAAGTGTAAGTGGGGTCCAGTCGCGAAGATCAGTTCCAGCTCACATTGCTGGCCTGAAGCCAAGAACCCCGTGAATACCTGGGAACCCTACTCACCAGAAGAAACACAACACCACCAAAAGGAAGTGTTATTTTACTGTGGTTTTCTGTAAGGTGCACCCTTTCACTGCATATAAACGTCTTGTTACTAATTAACTTAGAGCGAATTCATGATAACTTCATTATGATTAAAAATACACACATTTACACACCGTGTCCCGGGCGCGGTAAGCAGAATGAACAGAGCGCCATAAGGCACAGTCCATACACTTCAAGGTTTCAAGCCATGTGACATTTTAGTTACCATGGAATCTAACAACCTATTGGATTTTAACATGGTGGAACCACCATCTGATCTTATAAAGAATAGGATATATAAATATGTGTGTGTATGTATGTATTCATTGGTCAACATACAAGAGATTCAAAAAGTTACCACCACCGCGATGAATACTCACTTAGGACTTTACTTACTTATTATATCATGAAAACATTTATAACGTTGATCGTTTGGATTCAAGTTGTAGTTTCCATTCAAAATAGCCAGTTTGGCGGAATCTTCAAATGGGTGCTGCATGAAACATAGGGTGTATATTATGCACCCCAATGCCCATATATCTACCGAATGATCAATTTTACGATTATCCCATGTGTCTAACATTTCAGGAGCTCTATACATTGGGGTAGTAAATTGGGCTAACTGTAACAAAATGTTATAATATTTTAGGCTAAGACCGCACTACAAACAGCCTCACTTTGAGCTAGGAGTCAAGCTACTTGCTTAGGAACTAAAGACAGCTATACTTCATTCCAGATAACATTAAAAAGAAGTAAAAATAGGTTCTTTTATAGGTGCACATATTCAACTCATTGTGGTGATAAGTGTTTAATTACGCTTTTGTCAATTTATGCGTAAAATGTACAAGTAAAGTCATCTTAACAATTACCTAACCTAACATAAAAAATAAACTATTTATATTATAATAAAAGTCGTTTCGTAAACTAAAATATTACTGCATGATTACTACAAATTATAAAATGGCTCTGTTGAAAAACCAAAACAAGCAGAGGTTTTCAAACTGCATTAAAACGTTTAGTTATAATGCGACCAAACTAAAAGTCACGCTGTTCGATAATGATACAGTTGGTGAAATTATGGCATTTTGATTTTACTGGATGGATTATCTTGTCGTAAAAGTCGTCAAAATCGTAAAAGCCAAAGTACACTTTACCAAATAATTAATTTACCTAAATATATTAGGTTGGAGAAACAGTTTCTTTATTTTTCTATTTCGTCAACCTTACGTCTGTTTCGTTATGTATTTCAGTCTATACCAAGAAAAAGAGGATTTTAAAAATAATCTAGTTTTGCTTGCAATTGATAAGAGTAGTTTATGGTGGAAATAATAATGAAAAAGAAAATTTATTAAGTTGTATAATTTGACCCAGTTATAATGTTTGTAGAAAGTCTCTTAAATGATAATAATAAATAAATAAAATTACACTTCAAAGTATCTGGTAATATATAATATAGGTAACATCCCACCACCAGCACGTTATAGCTGGTGGTCGACCGCGCTGGTGACTGGCCCGTCACCGTTACCAGTTGGAACTTAGTTCTGAATAATTATTTTGATTACAGTGACTTATTAAATTAAATATAGCGAACAACTTAGTTATTAAAAAAAAAAGAAAAAATATAGGTAACATCAAATATAATTATCATATTTCATATTTCTATCATGAAAAGGTTTCGAAACCCTGCTTCTTTAAATTTTTTTTTTAAGTTATCTGGAATGAAGTATAGAGGAGACCCAAGCTCGAACTTTGACAGCTCCGTAATCGTCTCGCATCGTCAAAGTTTTTATGAAAACTAAGCCTACCGGACTTAAAAACAAACTGGATGCTTCCTTACAAAATTCTACGATGACGATACGATTAGCAAGCTATCAAAGTTCGTGCTCAGTTCGTGAGCCTCAGGTGTATCACAGTTGGTAAGTTGGCAAGCGATTCTTAGCTTGTCTCTAGGCTTGGCGGGGCGCCTATAGTGAGACCTTAGCCTTACAGTCACGCAAGTTGCTATCCAAACGGTTAACTAGAAATATGGCCATGGTCTTTAACACACAAAAGAATCATAAGAGAGAAAATCTCAGAAGAGAGTTCATTTGGTTCTTACAATATACATGACATCATCTTAAGAAATATCATAATCATAACTAAATCTTATATTGTAGTGAAAGAACTTGAATTTGAATAAGCATGACCAAAAACTAAATTAAATAGGTCAATTATGTAAATATATAACTTAACTAGCGGCCGCCTGTGACTTCGTACGCGTGGAGTTAGTTATTTGCACATACTTTTTGACACCTAAAGGGAGTTTATTTGTGATAGCGTGATTATATGTAGCCTATGTAGAGGAGGTCAAAAAGTTCGCGGAAAAAGAGGGAAGGAGGTTGCAATTCAACACCAAACTATTTTTACTTTTCAATATATTCTCACTTCACCCTAACACATTTTTCAGATCTCTCAAATAACTTGTTTATACCATCGAAAAAAAAATGATTTGTATTTGGTGTCAAAATAGACCGAAATTGTGGACTTCACTTCTTCATCGTCCTCAATTTTTTAGCCACGCAGCTCTTTCTTCATTTTTGGAAATAAGTAATAGACACTGAGTGCCAAGTCTGGACTGTAGGGTGGTTGGTTCAATTGTTCGAAGCCGCATCGGTGCAGCCGTCGCAACATGGCACGTGTGAACGGGTGCATTGTCGTGCAGAAGGAGCACACCTTTTGACAGCTTTCCTCTTCTTTTTTCCTTGATGGCTTCTTTCAATCTTTCCAGTAAAGAAGCGTAGTACTGTCCCTTTATAGTCACACCACGTTCTTTATAATCGATCAGTAAAATACCTTCTGTATCCCAAAAGACAGTCGCCATGATCTTGCCAGCCGATTGTGTTACTTTGAACTTCTTTGAAGGAGGTGTGTCTTTTTTATGCCACTGCATCGACTCTTTCTTGATTCAGGTTCATCACCAGTAACGATTCGGGCCATAACTTCTTCCTTTCTCTCTACACAGACTTCCAAAAACTGGCGAGAACATTCGACACGCTCGCTTTTTTAAAGTGGCGTGAGCATTCTCGGAACCCATCTTGCACTGACCTTAGTCATCCCAAGATGATGATGTAGAATATTCAATATACTTGTTTCGCATACTCCAATCATTGCTGCAAGCTGCTTCTTCTTCAACCAGGCATCTTCTCATTCAAGTTTTTCTACTTTTTCGACGATTTCCGGTGTGGTGGCCTCAACTGGCCGTCCGGAGCAGGGGTGGTGTTCAATGGACTCTTTTCCTTATTTGAAAATATGCCACTTGTAAACCATGGTTTTACCAGGGGCAATGTCCGCGTAAACCGCCAACAGCTCTTGAAAAATAATCTGAGCGGATTTTCCATGCTTGGTAAGGAACTTAATAACGGCGCGGTGTTCCAATTTCTCCAGACTGGTTGAGTTCTTCCCGATTCAGTTGTTTGCAGGTCGATAACTCAAAAGTTAATGACCCGATTAGGTTCAAACTTGGTATATATACTTTTAATGAGGTGCTAGTGCCTACCTGAACGAGTAAACCTACCCCCACCAACCCCTCCATTCCGCGAACTTATTGACCTCCCCTCGTATATGTTGACCGGTCTTCTTAATAATATTCGTGCCAAATTTGAAGTAAATCCATGCAGTGCCTTTCAAGTTTATCCCGGACAGACAAACAGACAAAAATCTAAAAAACTATAATTTTGGCTTCGGTATTGATTGTAGATCACACCCCAAGTATTTTTTAAAAAAATATTCAATGTACAGCTTGACTTTCCTACCATTTTAAATCCTTAATATTAAGCATATAAATCCTTTCGATTATATTAAGCATATAAATCCTTTCGACTAGACATTGCAATGATTATGTTTTTCTATAAGCATTTGAATGATTATGTTTTTTATCCAATTACTTAAACAAACGATATTGCTGATAAACAGACAGACTGAGCATTTCTGTTAAATATTTATAAAACAATGGAACTTAAATAGGACTGCAGCTATATTAGGCTAATCATGGAATCAAAATGCAGTGCAGAATTTGGTTTTGTAAGGATGTAACATAATTATATAAATTTCGGATACTTACATTTTCTTCTAACATATTTCTTTGATTAGCACTCCATGAAGGATTGGGTGTATAAACATCAGTAGTGGCAGAGCCAAAATCACATAACTTTATAGTACCTAAAACAAAGGAGACCAAGTCAACACAAAATTACAAGAAATTTAAAAAAAAAATACATAAATGATCCTAAAAATAAAAACACATTTTTGCTGTGCATTCAAAAGGTTTTTAGGATCATTCAAATATAACATGTACAAAGTTACCTTCATTCGATATTAGGAAATTCTCTAGTTTGAGATCACGGTGAGCTATAGGAGGAACTTGAGCATGCATATGTTGCACTGCACGGCATGTTTGATAGAATACCCTCAAAATGGTCGGCAATGGGAAGGCCTGACCCCTATTCTGCAACGCCTCCATCAGACTTCCGCCGCTACAGAGGTCCGTCAATAACAAATATTCTCCCATGCCATGTGCCGTTTTTGTTTTATCAATAAAGGAAGCTGCTATGTACTTTATTACATTAGGATGGCCAGACAACTTTTTTAATATGCTAATTTCTTGAATTATATTCTTATTGGCTTGTTCATCAGCAGCCATGAGCCTCTTTAAAGCATACTCTGTGCCAGTAGACACATCTTGAGCAACAAACACAAAGGCAAAACCACCTGAAAAATTACATTTGTTTAATACATACATACATTCGCGGGGTTGGCTGAGCATCAAAATCACGTTAGTGCAAATCAGGAAATCAGCAGAGCTATTCTGTAAGTTACAGTATAGAACTGCATGTCCCTATAATAAAACTAAACTTATTCATGGATAGAATGCAAGGGCGGATCCAGGGGGGGGGGGGGGGGGGGGGGGGTCATGACCCCCCCCCCCCCGGCCGGGTTCAGATGGACCAAACACAGGGGGATTTTATTTAAGTACTTACAATATTTAATATACCACGACTATATGACCCGCCCTTGGCGCCAAAGCTGGCTATATGACCCCCCCCCTGGCGCCAAAGCTGGATCCGCCCTTGATAGAATGAAGCTAACATAGACGTGGTCCGAGGAGTACGGACGAGGAATGAATTTATGGAAATTAATCTCTTATGGGGTTAAACATAAGGAAACGAAATGTGGTCGTTTACTGCGGGTCTCATAAGAAAGCTCAGGGGCACACAGCGGTGCTCGGTATTTCCCTACGCGATAGAATCATAAATGAGAAAAACCGTAGGAGAACTAAAATAACCGATATTGCTTGAAGGATTGCTGTGTGAAGACATGTGGGAAGAAGAACCGATGGCCGTTAGGGCAGATAGTTTCGCAAATGGCGTCCGCGTACCGAGCGAAGCTCAGTGGTGGGCGGGAAGGTCGTGGAAAACCGTTGAATGCGAGTGACGTAGGACCGATTTGTTTGGAGGAGGCCTCAGCAGTGGGCGTCATACGGCTGTCATCGTCAAGACATGACAAGAGTTAATCCCCTCATCATCACCATGTCAGCCGTAAAAATAGGGGATAAAATTTTGTATGTATCTTGTTATGTCTTGAGTTATTAAAAGTATGAAATTAGTAGGTATGCAGACTACGTGGAGTCTCAGGATCCCACGAAACCCGCTCCGACTTTCGAGAGGAAGCTGTTGGGTATTTAGTGGGTAGCCATCCATCCATGAGTCAAGTTTATAAGTTCTTTTCGATCGTGAGTAAGTACGAAACGTCTCGCTCGTTTTGACAATTTCCAATTTCCCGAAGGTTTCAGCAGCATACCTCATTTATACGCTGCGGCAGACTATACATAAAACTAAGGAGTATAAAATCTGCCCCTTTGCTTGGCGTTTGTGAACTATGAAAAGGTGAGGTTTAAACGTTAATTATGATAAATTTCGTGAGCTAGCAGACATTTTTTCTATATATACCAGTCTTACCAAAGGTCCCAAGTAGACTACATGTATAACAAGGTCTTAAGTCGACAATTACATATATGTATCGAACTGCAATGAGGCGTGAAACGGGGAGATGACATATCTCCTAAACAGTTTACTGTAGCGTTGGCGGAATTTTTCTTCTGGATTAGAAAGAACGTGGGTGGCATCAACATCTTTGACGAGTACCTAACAAAACTCCGCTTTATCGATAATGTAGTATTTGTGGCTGAGACCTTTGAAAACTACAAATTAAAGATCTCAGTAGTGTATCCTTAAGAGTGGGTCTAAAGAGGAACTTGTTTAAGACGAAAAAATGCCGAATGTCCGTGTTGTAGATACGTATGTGCCCGTCCTAGTTAAATTGGGAACACTACACTTGGAGTCATTGGCCATTACATTTACCTGGCGCAGGCAGAGCAGATAAATTACTTTGTAAAGGTGTAAAAGAGATCTCTAGCCGTATCCAGTTCGGATGGGTAGATTTCCTAAAGCTACGTAAAATATTCAGGTTAAAATTATCTTAATATTTCAATACATTAATTTTTGACAAGTGTGTGTTGCCAGTGATGAGCTACGGAAGCGAAACATCTTTTGAAAAGTTCAAGGTCGCACAGCTGGCAATGGAGAGAGCGATGCTCGGTAATTCCCTGCGCGATAGAATCATAAATTTGAAAATCCGCAAGCTAACTAACCGACATCGCCGAAACAGCGGTGGGCAAAACACACAGCAAGGAGAATCGATAGCCAGTGGGGCGGAAAGGTTTTCGAGTGTTGACGACGCTTAGTTAGCAGGCCCTCCACCAGGTGCATCAACAATCTATAAAAAGTTCGGGAAGCTGCTGGATGCCGAGATCACTGGACCGATCAGCATGATCTTTAGAAACACTATAGGGTCTAGGGATAGGGCAGACCATGACCACAGCATTTCAGAGTTGACAGTCAGTCCTGAATACAAGTTATTATTAAAAACCTAATAATAAGAGAGTGGAAGTAGGTAGATGAAATGAAAAATAATTCACATATTCAAAAATATAACTAAAAAGACTTGATCTTGTAGACTAAACAAAAACACATCAATGCAAGTTGTCAAAATGGTGTTATTGTTAATAAGGAAAGCAAAAAAAACAATATATTGTTTTTCTAAAAAAGTACCAGCATGAATGTAGAGACTAATTAATAATGTCTTTACAGGAACCTTTTCAAGATAAAACTTGTGAAGTTTCAGACAATAAAATTGTAAAGTGTCTACTCTTAGGCCCAGAAAGAACAGTTTATCAATCTAGAGCACTGCATTTCAGTTCAGGGATATTTATAGCATGTAGACAAAAACATAAATTAATTTCTTGGTTAAAAACCTATGTTTTAAAATTGTAAAATTGCTTTACATGCCAACTGATACTGGCATGATTCTCTAAACCTAAAATTAAATTTTACAGCAATGTATCTTTGTCACTTGTCTATACAGAACTTGAAGGAGGAAGTTTAGAGCAATGGTTCTTAACCTTTTAGTGACGAGGGATCATTTGTCAAAATTTCTGCCTTGCCACTGACCACCACTTACATTTTGTAAATCAATTAGTGCTCTACCTTACATAATATTTTTTCCAATGACTTTGTGAACCACCATGGATACTTTCAGGGTCCACTGGTTAAGAACTTTCAGGTACCACTGGTTTAGAGAATCAAGCCAGGATTAACACCATTATTTATATTAAATATGGATTTAACAAATGGTACTTTATTTATCATACAGTCAAATAGCCTAATACACAAAGTAGCTGGGACCCATTAAATGATAATTATTAATTAAAAAATAATCAATATTGCAAAGCTTCATTGAGAACTGTAATATAGTGTGAAATAGATCAATAATCAGTTATGATACATTTTTTTGCACAAGTAAGCTTTTATATTCTGAAGACTGATTGTGGTTCAAATACTTGTTTTGCCTTGTTTTGCCTAAATAAAAAGTAGCTTAAGTTATAAAAATATAGTCAACCAAAGAACCTCCTCCTTTTTTGAAGTTGGTTAAAAAATCACAAGTCATATTATGTGATAAAATTGTGAAAATAACAGCATGTCAACAGTATTCAATTAAAATATAATAAAAAACCAATTGTTATGCTTTTATTGATTAAATATTACTTTCACTTTGTGAATAATTACTAAAATACATTTACAGCAAAAAAAATATGTCAAAATTGAGTACAATCATAATGCTCAGCACCAGCTAGTGACGAACCAATTTTTTGTGGTTTTCCTTGGTATTAAATCATAGAGTTATACTTTTTCATTATCTAACTATTATAAGTTTAAATTAAACAATGTGTCTGAAATTTCCCAGAAATGTTAGGTTAAAGGTTTTCTTAGTTTACTATTTTTTATAAAACTTTATGAATAATGTTTAATCTGTAAACTGCATAATGTAATGTTAAAAATAATAGATAAATGATGTCGATTTCATAATAACTGTTGAATTAACATGCCATTAGAAATCAGGATGCTTAGAACAAAAGTTCATAATCTTGTATTATTTTTGTTATCTGTTGGTGTAGGTAGGTACAGACAACAGATTATAAGGGCCTAAAGTAATTATATGCCACAGATTGTAAGTAAGTAGCCTATCCAACGCACCATCCGCCCCCAAGTAGGTTGACAGCCCAACCAACTCAACAATGCACTGATTAATTTAAACTACATGCTGTTAACAACGAAAGTAAACAAATGTCAAATACGAATTAAATTTCAATGACAAAATTTCTCTTTTATTAATTTACTTACCCTCTGCTATCACCTTCTTTACTCTTAATTTCATATTTCCAATTTCAACAAATTGACCAATGAAATCATTATCATTACTTCCATTAGCACCCCCCGAACTAAAGTAACCCATAGCTGATTTGAAAACGCTCATTTTGAAGAAATTATAAACTTATTTACTGAAAACAGAAGAAAATTATCAAGAATTTAATTAGAACCCTATAACTGGGTCCATTTTACAATGGCAGACAGACAGACGACGACAGAACATCTATAGACAAGGCAAAGACACAAATGTCAATCGTAGTGATGTAAAGGTTTTCATAAACCGATAACCACTAGTTCCCATTTCAAAACCGATTACAACGATAATGTATTAAGCCGGCACATCCCTTGGATGTTCGTGTTTGATATTTGTAAACTTGGCAACAATCCATCCTTATAGAGAGAGAGCATATAGCACTGGAGACGCCATACCGTTCACTCGCCGAACAAAAATTTTCACCGAAAATATGCAATACTCCCACATACACCAGCGTGTTGTTGCTATAAACGCACACTTCAAAAATTACGTCACCCAAACAAAAAAACGCACAGATGCAAACAATTTTTATGTAACAATGCAAAATTAGGGATGTGACATTAAAAGAATGAACGATATTTGAATGAACATAATGTTTGTTTATAATGAAAACAAAGTGTTTCATTTATAAATATGTATCTGAAAGCTTATTTATAGTTTTAGTACTTATGATTTTTATGCACAAAATTCAAAGATGTTTTTTACAAAATTATATTTCTGTGCAAAAAATCTTTCCAACTAATTTAGCTGCCTTTTATGGGATACCCTGCCTATATTTTTGATGATTTGATTTTCCAATACCTATTCGGTGTCCCATGACAGTATAGGCAGTTTGCCCTAATTTGTAAGAAAATATGTAACATTGATTATATCTGTTCTAAATATTTCATTTCGAGTATCAACATCTCATTTGTAACACTAATTTTAAAATATCAATCACAATTTTTTTTTCAGCTGTATGTCACAAACTATATAGTGATGCTAGCGCATATGTCAATTCGGTGGTTCATCTTTTCTCTTTTTTTGTTTTTGTACACTATCTAACCATTTATTCTTCTGTCAAAGTGACAATCCTTATGTTGTCTTCATTAATACTAAAAAATAGGAGGGCCACGATTCATTACACCGGCACTGATGTCGATTTTGACATGATTCTCTAAACCTAAGCTTAAAATTGCCACCAGTGGTGTCGATTCTGGCATGATTCTCTAAACCTAAACCTTACAGAGCATAATGCGACTCAGTGCCACACAATGCCGAATTATGCTGATGATTAATTGGAACGTGAATTAGTTTTCAAATGCACCAGCAGAGTGCGCTAAGTTCAGTGTTGAAAAAAAGTCAATGTTTGTACCTTCATCCATACTTATATTTATTTTTTAACAGTTTGAATTAACTTTGATTGTTTAAAAAAAACTATTTAATGAATAACAATAACTCACGATAACATATAAATAAAACCTTTCGATCAATGCCAACTTAAAGAAAAAACACTTGTTAATTTTCTGTCACTGGGTTGGTACGATTGCACGCATCACACGAAAGCACTACTTTTGAGAGTGCTCAATTGTGCGAAGCGTTGCTGTAGTTGGAACACTCAACGTTAAGCATTATGCCTCATAATGCGCTATAATGCTGTAATTGGAAAACTACCTTTATGTTAAGTTTAAAGTTTAGAGAACCCTGCCAGAATCGACACCATTATGTCAAATTTACTAGCAATCATGAATAGCCTATTGAAGTGCCAGCATTTGTAGTACTGGACTTGTACTCTGTGTTAATTCCCGTAATCTGTGGCTGTGTGCTGGCTGGCTGCTAAACCTACTAGTCTGTAGGAAGCTTATCGAAAAAGCCAACTCGATACATTTCGTGCCAAACACTCCAAGAAACATTAGAATGCGTCACACCGACATTCTAATGTAAAAACAAAAAGAAGATTAATTTAATTAAAGACCAGGCTGTACGGGCATTCTTCCCTTTGCCTTACCTAAAACGGGAGAACTTCAACAAAAAAAAATTACTAGTCTGTAGTACGCTGATAAAATATTTTTTTGTGATTGTGATGTGATTGTTGGATTTGATTGTAGTGCACAAATTTAATTTGTCTTTTCGTATTTTCCTAAAAGTAAAGAAGGTCCTTTTACATATGAAAGATATTCAAAAGTATTGTTTATGATACGGTGCAGTCCAAAATAACAATGGGTTTTGAAATTAAGCGTTTTCAAGGTGACGTTGACGAAGAGTTGATTTGTCCTATTTGCTCTGGTGTTCTTGAAGATCCCTTGCAGGTTTGTTCCAGTAATTTATTACTCTAACATTCCCATTGTACTTACAGATATTGTTACCTCACGATTCACTTTTACAGGCACCTTCTTGCGAGCATGCGTTTTGTCGTGCTTGTATAACAGAATGGATAAGCCGTCAGCCTACATGCCCTGTAGATCGGGAGGCTGTTACAGCAAGTCAATTAAGACCAGTTCCTAGAATACTCCGCAACTTGCTTTGCAGGTAAACATTTGGTCATTTCTTAACCTATAGTTTGACCTAAATTACAATAAACATAATTCTCGCAGTAGTGGGGTAATCGTTCCAAATGGTAACACTGCTTACATCATTATAAATATTCATGTAATATGATAATCATCAGTCAATTTAGTAGCTGACATTGAACTAATTTATCAAAGCAGAACTGTCACTACAATACACAAATGTGTAGTAGACCATAGCAAATCAATTGTTTTTATATAAAAAAAAAATATCTGTACTTGGCATTTTGTAAGTAACATTAATTATAATTTTCAAGTCAAAATATAAATAACTGTACTATACTTAATGTTTGATCTATATGCATTCTTAAACCACTCCAATTGTGCTGAAAGTTTGGCAAGTTGTTATACACAATCAAAAGGATTCTAGGCCATAAATAAGAAATATTTTTTCTCTTTATGTGGTGTTGCAATCACTCTCATTTACACATAATAGGTGGGTAGGCCAATTTGTAAATCACATAAATCCAGGAAATTTACTTTATCTTCTTTTTCAGACTTTGTACAACTTGTGACAATGCACCACATGGCTGCAATGCAGTCTTGAAACTGGACTCCTTACCATCTCATTTAACTGAATGTGAGTTTAACATTTGACAACTTAACAGTTATTGATGCTTTGGTTATTAGAAAAACAGAACTGGCATGATTATCTTGGTTATTAATTATGCTGAAGTCCTGTTAAATATTAACTGTAGTCACAATGTTTTATATAATTAAATTTCCTCTTTTTTGCCAATATAATCTAAAAATACCTGCAGCAATTCTAGGTCTAAATGAAAATGTCTGTTAGTGTTTAGCTATCTAAAGACATTTTAATCATATACTTCAATAATCAATGTTTGATTAGATATTAATCAATTAGGCCAAATAACAACTATTTAAGACATATGTAAATTTTCTGAATGTTTCAAATAGTGTTTTATTAATAATATTCTTGTGTTAGACATGTGTATCAATCAATTATGTTTATTCTAGTTATACATTATGATTAGTTAACTATATAAATACAAGAATTTACTACTTTAAATTCTATAAAGTAGTTATATTATTCTTTTGTTATTGATTCAGAATAATTATTATGAATTTTGGAAGTAGGTATTCTAAATTATTGTGATAGTTGATATTGTCTGTATACATTTAGCGGAATCAAACATAACTGTGCAGTACACAGAGACTAATATCTCTAAATATAAAATTGAATCCCTATTGCCATGGGTCAGCCTTAAACTTGAGAATGACTACTGATTTCATATTTTTTAATAGTTTTCCAATATTTATTAAAGGTTCCCTTTCTGAAAAGAAATTAAGAAACTTGCACAGAATATTAGAAAATGTTGGAAAACTTATCTAACAACTCTACTTATAGGTGCATTGCAGTTGAGTTACCGATTTTACAAAAATAAATTTGGGTCGGAAAATGTTGGCTTTGCTAGTTAGCAATAATTATGAAGAGTATATTTAAAAATAAACAAATTAACTGAAGCCTTATTGGATAACATGTTTTCTGGGCCTATTTCTGTCAAAGTGATAATTAAATACAGACATTGGGAACTCATAATCTATACATATTTAATAGAATTGCTCACAATATTTTTTTAACATTACCAGTTACACATAACGTAACGTAATACAGCAGGAACTATTAAATAATGGTGGCTTTTACTGTGCTCAGTCAATCAAATCATCAATTTCTGTACTTAGTTTGTGAACATAAAGGTATTAATTGATATAAAAATCTGATGATTAAAAAATACCATTCAGATTTGAAATGTTATTTGTAATGAAAATTTGGCAACTGCCATAAGTGGTGAATAATATGTCGGTTTTTAAGCTTGAAAATATAATAATACCAGCTTTCCCTGATTTTGAAGCATTGTGTTATGGTCATAGAGGGGATTTAAGAGAAGGACATAAGGTACTTGAAGCTGAAATAATATTTGAAGAGACTGTTTTTTTTTTAAATGAAATGAAATATTTTTTAAACCATAACAAAGATACAATGACAATAGTGATCGATAATACCTGCATTAGTTATAAAACTGTGTCGCAGAGCTGTTTTGGAGTACCATATTTATGTTAGCTCGTACAAAAATCATGACTTGCCTTGAACCCACGAAATGCTTAATGCTTTTAATTTTTAATGGCAGTCAATATAAATGATTGGTACTTTTTGACAGTTGATTTCCCTGCTATTTATATTATTTGAAACACTGGATGCTAAATATTTAGCACAAACTCTATTCTTGCAGTTAACATATTAAATGTATTGGATCTAGTAGCCTAACATTATTTATTGGTAGTCCTGTATAACAGACCAGCCTACACTAGCGTCTATCAAGCGTCGTCGTCGTTCCAATGTCCGCGCAACGTTGTCGCGACGCAAGCGCTGGCCGGCTTGTATTGTTGACCTAATGTCAATGTCTTCTATAGGAGCCAACGACGTCGCGTCGACGTTGCGCGGACGCTGGCACGACGACGACACACGAAAGACGCTTATGAAAGGGGTTTTTCAAAAGTAATTATAACATTATCATGTATTCAGTCTTTTTTTTTTAAGGTGAATATAATCCTAAACGGCCAATGCCCTGTGATAAAGGCTGTGGTCTGGTTATACCTAAAGACGAACTATCGGAACATAATTGTGTACGAGAGCTGCGCGCTCTGATCGCGACGCAACAGGGCAAGCTCACCGATTACCAGCAAGAGTTGGCTGAACAGAGGCTCATTATCAACGAACACAAACGGGAACTGGCGCTGTTGAAGGTAAATGACAACTATTTTGAAACTGACTGATTGCCAACCTTTAAGTTTCAGCCAGACAGCGGTCGGGGCGTGACGGCCCGACGGCGCTGTGTAACGTATTTCATTATAACTGATACATTACAACAGTTTATATCCCGCCAGCGTCGCATTGCGGTCCTACCCGCCCGCTGTCTGAATTAACCTTATATGGCACCAGCGAACCTTTACTCATATGATATAGACACTATAAGACAAAGACTATTGTAAAATTATCTATATTTTTATGTTGAACTATATTTTAGTTGATGAATAGAGTGATAAATTTCTTGTCTTTCCGTTCAGTTTTTTTTTATAAACATTACTTTGTTGTTTGAGCAGTATTATTTTAAAGTTAAAGCAAAATCATTTATAAATAAATGAAAAAAATATTATGAAAATAATTCCACAAAAAATGTTATTAACATTCCAATTCCAATAGATCTTCTCTACTTTTAATATTTCAGAAGAATGATGGAGAGAAAATTTGTTTTTATTTTCTTCTATCTGCATACCTGAAGTGGATATCATCACCCTTGTGAAAACCATATCAATGAAACGTGGAACATTCTTCGTATAGATAAATGTGTCGTTCCTTTTAGGAGTTTATGCGTGCGATGCGCGTGTCGAATCCTACGATGCGAGCGTTGGCGGACCAGATGGAACGCGAGGAGGTGGTCCGTTGGGCCGGGTCTTTGTCCAGGGCGAGGGTCACGCGCTGGGGCGGACTCATATCCACGCCTGATGACGTGCTGCAGGTATGTACGATGATCAGATGCAGGTAGGAGGTGGTCTGCTGGGGGATCATATCCACGCCTGATGACGTGCTGCAGGTATGTACGATGATCAGATGCAGGTAGGAGGTGGTGTGCTGGGGGGTCATATCCACGCCTGATGACGAGCTGCAGGTATGTACGATGATCAGATGTAGGTAGGAGGTGGTCTGCTGGGGGGTCATATCCACGCCTGATGATGTGCTGCAGGTATGTTCGATGATCAGATGCAGGAAGGAGGTGGTCCGCTGGGGGGTCATATCCACGCCTTATGACGTGCTGCAGGTATGTACGATGATCAGATGCAGGTAGGAGGTGGTCTGCTGGGGGGTCATATCCACGCCTGATGACGTGCTGCAGGTATGTACGACGATCAGATGCAGGTAGGAGGTGGTCTGCTGGGGGGTCATATCCACGCCTGATGACGTGCTGCAGGTATGTACGATGATCAGATGCAGGAAGGAGGTGGTCCGCTGGGGGGTCATATCCACGCCTGATGCAGCGATGGAGCAACGATCTACGATATTTTCAGCTTGACCGCAGCAGACAGTTGGCATAGGACATGAAGTTCATACGCATCATCTTGTAAAGGACAACTACTTGTCGTTATTTTTTTCAATGTTTTGGTGTAGTTCTTCATATATCAAAGCTAACTTGCATATTAGAATTTATACTTAGTTTGCCAGTTGCATATTTATATTTTTAAAATCTACGTCTAATCTAAAAAAACTTGTCCTATGATAAATAATTATAGTGAGTTTATTTTCGTTTTTAATAAATGTTTATTTATTCCGTAGATGATGATCAAAAGAAGCTTATCAGAATCGGGCTGCCCACCTCACATAATAGATGACCTAATGGAAAACTGCCATGAAAGAAGATGGCCGCCCGGCTTATCGTCACTTGAAACAAGACAGAATAACAGAAGGTAATTTCACATACAGATACGCAATTGAAAGTTAACGAAAATATATATTTTTTGTCATTTGAGCTGATAGATAGGTAGTATTAGTTTCGGGAGCATGATGAATTTAGATAATGTTAAATGTATATTGTCAACTAACAGGTGCCCACGACTTCTGCGTGGAAAAATGGGTTTGCCGTAAAACTTTCACCCCCATTTACATCCCCTTAAAGAATGATTTGTGGGATAAAATCTATCCTATGTTTTTTCCTGCTACTCAAAACTATCTCTATACCAAATGTCATCTCAATCTGTTCAGCAGTTTAAGCGTGAAGAAGAAACAGATACGCAGACATACTTTTGCATTTTTTTAATATTAAGTATTGATGTTTAAAAACCTAACTGAAGTCTGTGTGTCAAATTTAAAATATGTAATTTTGCATTAAAATTGTATGCTGTTGGATATTTTGTTGTAATTAATTAAAATAGTATGTTTCTAAGGTTGTACGAGAAGTACGTATGTAAAAGAGTTCCGGGTAAGCAAGCCGTTTTGGTTCTTCAATGCGACAACACTCACGTAGACGAGCACATGATGATGGAGCCAGGCCTCGTCATGATATTCGCCCACGGCATAGAGTAGCACCCACCAATCCGCACTGGGCCTGCGTGGTGGGTCATGGCCCAATCTCCCTATTCCATCCATAGGAAAGCCTTGGAATGGGGACATAAATAGGCCGATGATCGCAGACATTGATCGAAATAGATGACGCAAGTGCGCCAATAGGGATACCAATGATCTTCGTTTTACGCTAACTTAATTTCTTCTCGTCATCGTTCTTGTTACCGGACGTCAATCGCAATGTTTAATTTAATAAAATCTAACTATGTCATATCAAGCTGTAAAAAAATGAGCGATCCTTACAGTAGTCGCGTATGATGTGTAACATTTGAAACCTCACCTTATATTAGTAAAAAAAGAAATAAAACCTATTACAAAAGGAATAAACCATTTGAACATTATTATGTTCTAAAATCAAATCAAATAGCACGCGCTTTCCAAACTTCCTGTTACACACTTCCGCCCCACTTCACGTAATCACTCCCGCAAATTGCACGAAAGCGAGAGGCAGAGAGGAAAGATGTTACACCACAAAAACCATATAATTGAAATAGGTGGCCGGGGCTCATGCTTTTGCACCATTCAATTTGTTATCGTGAGTTCTTACTCATTATATGACACGCTCGGTTTCCATACAATTTGAAGCATATGCGGCGTCTACTTCAATCTCTAGGTCTGTGGTGGGGACATTAATAGCCTGATGATAGAATAGCATACCGCCACTACGATATTAATCCTCACGAATATCAGAGATTTAAATCGTTAGATGTGCTGTGCCCATAGATATGTGGCGGCCGCCCGCGACTTCGTCCGCGTTAATTGTAGTTTTTTCCTTTTTTTTCAAAAATTAAAGTAGCCTAAGTTACTCCTTATTACATCAGCTACCTGCCAATAAAAGTCCCGTCGAAATCGGTCCAGCCATTTCAGAGATTAGCCGGAACAAACAGACAGACAGACAGACAAAAATTGTAAAAAAATGTTATTTTGGTGTATGTACCGTATATATATTCTTATGCATGTAGTAAAAAGTGGTTATTTCAATATTACAAACAGACACCAATTTTATTTACACATAAGTATAGTTGTATAGAAGATGTAAAGATAACGAAATTGTTAAAGTTGGCGGCGTGCTGGGAGGGTAAATCGCGTTTTCATTGACACGACAGTGTGACGTCAGTCAACAAATCAGATGCAAACTCGCATCCCGACCTTTGGGGGCGTGTCACACGCTTATGCATTGCTACATAAACTCGGCGACAACCAAAACTATAAATAAAATATGCATTCCTGTGCCTTCAGTCAGTGTTGTAATAATTCAAGGAACACAAACAAACCTCTCTGTATTTCTTTATTTATATTTTGGAACTTGAATGATTTATTAGTTGTGATTTTCACTTTTGTATAAATGATGAGCGGCACGTGCTCGTAAGGCAGATAGTGACTGATTACAATTCGGGTTCGAATCCCTGGTGGGGGCAGATCTTAGTGTGATGAATACGAGCATTTGTAATTCAGTCATGGATGTTCAATATGTATTTCTATATAAATATGCTTATATACGTAAATAGCTTGACTGGCGATAATTTGACACGCTAAAAGAGGTTGTGGAAAATGATGAATTTGTATATGCGGCTGAAGGAGCGTGCTTAATTCAAAGTTCGAAAGCAAATTTCAGTACCAAAGCCCAACTATATTAAATACCCTAGATACACCACGTGCGCTCAAAATGTGTCCCAATCAAGAAGTGCTCTAACACCACTCAAGCTCTTCTTGGTTCACAGTCAGGCGCGGACCGTAGAAAAGTCATGATACCGCAGAGCTCGGTGAAAAAATGCAAAAAAATACTTATAGTACGTAGTGTCGTTTTTTCGACATGTATCTTATCAATGTTTATTATTTTAACGCATTTGAAGCAAATTTTGTTCTACTACTTCTATAAACTGATTTAATAGAAAACATTTGCGATATTCAAATGCATGGTTGGTTATACAGCCGTCTCCTTTTTCACGTTTCGTGCCTATGTTGCTAACAGCGCATTCAGAATTGCGCGTAAAATCAAAGAAATAAAGTCTTTAATCTTCCGCCTATAGCAATATGTCGTTAAATTTTACGAGCTTGCATTTCGAACTGTCATAAGTCTTTGACGCATGCGTTTAATTTAAGACCTTATACAGTTGATTTAAAGGTGACTTAATGTTTAAATAATGCCTTATATTGTTTTTGACTACGCGATCTTCTTACGGGGCTCCGTGGATCGTCCAATGTACCTTTTGGTTAGGTTTCGGCCACGATTTTGTTCGTGTTGTTGTATCTAGGGTATTTAATATCGTTGAACAATGCCACCCGAAGCTTCATCACGCAGGTGTAGGATAAACACAGACATGAAACGTGGATACTTTTTACAAGCATAGGGCACATCTACGATTTAAATCTCTGCTGAATACAACATTGAGTCGCCGATGTTTGAATAGAGAGGCTACCAGCAGTCAATACTGTTTGCAGCTGTCATAACCCTGTGACAATGTGAAAACGGACCTTACACAATGACGCTGATTGTATGTACAAAAATAAAACGACGACAGATTTGTAAGTTTCTTATGTTCCTTTTCATTGTAAATATTGATCTGTTTGTGTTATTTATTTTGTTGTTGTGTTCAAAATTTTTATTTTCAATCTCCGCGACTCGATTGGAATGGCTAGATTAGAAATGAGAATAGTTAAGAAACGATTAATCATTAAAATTGTATAAAGAGTGTAAGTAATTTTGTTAACGATGTATTCCCTGACCAATGATTTTGTACAATTTATGAATGTTGTTTAGTAAAGTTATGTGGAAATTTGAAATGTTTGATCGTAGTATTATTTTGAATTGTCTTTATGATTTGGATTTCAGAACATTCCTAAAATGAAGTAAAGTTTATGTAATTTTATTGCCAGTATTGTGTTGGAATATTTTAGATATTATAAATTTGATTGTTGAACATTCCCAAAAGATTATGTAAGTAATTGGTATTGCTAATGACAATTGGAAAATTGCGATATCATACAGCAGTTGGTAAAATCAGTTTCTATTTTATATTTATTGATTGTAACAACATTCTTTTCGTTCTGTTATTGTAAACATTCTGTGAGAACACACATTGGCCGAGTTTGATATAAATATAGAATTAAAGAAATAAAAATTAACAATTATGAATGTTCAATACAATACACCCTTGTTTTATTTTCACCTCACTTTTTTCTAGTTTTGTAAAGGTTTTTAAGTAGACTTGGGTCCTTAGTAATGCTTTTCTTTAATGCTTGTCGTAACGCGATGCAGCTCAACAATATTAACACCAATTACTGGTTACTCAATACTTGAAGAAAAGAAGTTGTCTTATAGGTATTTGTTGACATTGTTGAAGATAGTCGAAGAAACTAAAAGATAAGGTTTAATATAATAGAGAATTATAACCTCTGAAGACAATGGCTGTATGGGCTTAGATCTTCTTGCCTTCCCTGAGTAAGGAAAAACAAACCAAAAAAAAACTGGTTGTGTTGTGGGGTTGTCAATATCAAGGGGTTTTTGGCGGGATTTCTTCGAGTGCGGTTGGCATCTTATTTTAATTATTCTTAAATTCGTTCATAGTGGATATTGTGAAATAAAATTTTTGTGGTTTTGTGTAACAACTGTCTGCGTAACTGAAGAATTAGTGGAATCATTAAAATATACGCTATTCCGGTCAAGTGGACGTGAGAATTTTATTGTAGTGTTGACTACCTCACAGAAGCTTATCGAAAAAGACACCTCAATACATTTCGTGCCAAACACTCCAAGAAACATTAGAATGCGTCACACCGACATTCTAATGTAAAAACAAAAAGAAGATTAATTTAAGACCAGGCTGTATGGGTATTGTTCTCTTTGCCTTCCCGAAAACGGGAGAACTTCAACAAAAAAAAAGTTGTCAAATGTCAAACTGTTTTTGGACCGTCATGGTGATAGTTGTACGAAAACTCGAAAACCATCTGGGATAAATAAAAAGCGATAGAGATGTCGGAAATGGAAGTGTCAGGGAGCAGTTCTGATAACTGCTCAAATGACCTATGTAAGTACTCACATTTGATCGAACTGGAACCTACTCACAATGCACTAACCTGGTAAATGCTACCGGTTGTTTATAAACGGATTTCACATAATTTGGGCTAATTTCAGTGCTCCTCGACCGTGTTTTCTTGAGACTCGGTAATGCTGACACTGATGACCAACTCGAGAGCTGTCTCAATAGATTCCTTCCTCCAGTAATACTTAAGTTGTCGTCGCCCCATGAACAGGTTTGATCAATTTTATCTTAATGAAGAGAAAAGCCTAGATTTGTCATATTGACATGAAAGGGTATTATTCCCCCTAAGCATATTCAAGTTTACAGATTATCCAAACTTTGGCTTTAAAATTTCACATGATCACTCGTGATATTTTTAACATAATCACTCTAGAAAATAAATATAAATTTCACATGATCACTCATGACATTATTAACATAATCACTCTAAGAAATATGAGAACTAATTCGACATGTCTATTACCATCAGTTCAATAAATTATTAGGTATTTAAAATTATAGGTGCGAACAAAAGTTATGGAATTACTGGTGCATGTCAACAAGCGTGTGAAATGTAGAGCAGAAGTAAAATTACCAGTCCAGACATTGTTACAGCTTTATAAAGATCCTTCTGCAAATAGTTTTATAATTGTAAGTATCATTGGTTTAAGAAAACTAAAACATTAATATGCAAAAAGATCTTATAGTAGATTTTGTACGAATTTGTTTTATGATTCTGTTTGTTTTAGAACTTTACCATAATTTACATCACCATGGGCTTTCCACGTTTACCTCGCGAACAGCAGTTGAGTCTAGCACCATCTTTATTAGAGGCTATTGAAAAGAAACCGCAAGGACATCAGGATGGGTAAATTACTTTGAACAATTTCATGCTGAAAATCTTCATTGTAACCTGTTAGAATCCCAAACTAATATCAGAACCAAATTTTGAAACATTTTGTATGTTCATCTCCAATGTATGTTCATATTTTTTTTTTAGTAGGGGCAGTTCCCAAAAAACTTATTCTTTGTGAGGTGTTAAAACATTTTTATATGGAGAAAGCAAAGAAATAAAGCTTGAATTTTAATTAGCATTTACTTATGCAGAATACTAGATGCTGATAGTTCATCCAAATATAATATATGAATATCTCATCATATTTTTTTTTTGGTTACAGAATCTTAATGCTAGTCATGCCTTTGCTTGGAGAAATCAAAGAATCTGACTTGAACTTAAAGGAGAAACCCAAACTTTCATCATTGATTTTGAAATTTGCAACAGATGTTTTACTGTTACCATACAGGTAAATGATAATTTCAAAGGTAAAAGACATTGGGAATATTTTAAGGTGGACACAAACTAAACATTTTTCAATGGAAAGATACAATTATCAACTTTATCCCTGTGCAATTTTTATTTCTGTTACCTATGCATGGGAATGCTGAAAATATGCAGTTTTAGTCAGTAAGTGTCTGACATAGCCCTGCAGCTAGCTGTAGGGTATCCAATAAGTATCTAACATGCCCCCCCCCCCTGACCTAGGAGGACAAAAAAAAATATATAAAAAAGGTTCCAGTGTATGCGCAACCTCGACTTTGCTATGTATATCTCAGATTCCCGTGGGTCACAAAAATACGTATAAGGTTAACATAGCTAGAGGTCTAAAGCTTTAAAATAAGACAGAATTCATCTCTGTCCATTGTGGGATATTCTTCCATGGTGAAGTTCCCAATGTGTTAAACACATGTTGAGTTTTGATTGTTAAATTGAGCTTGAGAAATATAAACGGATTATTTACATTTTAGAGCATTACCAAACCCTGGTGAAAGTGATTTCCAAGTTCCACCAGGTATGAGCATGAAAACATACAAAAGACTTGTAGACAAAAACCAGTTGAACCCTAACCAATTGGAAGAGGTAAAGTATATTTTAATTTCATTCCATTATTCTGAATACAGATGGATGGATGGAATATACCTATTAATATTTTTAATTCTCAGTATAAATTTTGTTCTTCTGTACACTTGGTATGTGTATTGGGAGCTTTCTTTTACTATCATCAGTTAGTTCACTGCATATATTTGTAATGCGTGATAGTAGTAATGATACGTTGCTGTAAAATATATAGAGAAATTTTATTTACTTGTTTTTAAAGCATTAAACTGATAAACTGCTAGATTTTTGTACCTATAGAATATGTTTATTCTATGCTAATGCTATGCTACGTAGCTGTCAGTGCATTTGCTCAGATATTGAAGGCAGCTGGTTCCATTCTTACCTACCTACCAAACCCAGGAACAGTGTTGAAAATTTTCGAGTAAAAATTTAAGACATTCGAAAAAAATGCGTATTCTGAATGCATGTATTGATTTGATTACAGATGAAACTATCCATAGTTAATTTCATAAGCAAAGACATATTTAATAACAATGACATCCTCTTGACGTTGATCGTGGCGGCCGCAGACTCACGGTTCAGTGTTGCTAACCATGCTAACAGCCCCCTAATAAGAGTCAACAGGTAAGTACTAGTACTAGAGAATGCAGATCTAACAGCCATACATTGAAAAGTCAAACTATATGCTTCATTAAGTCACGTGTTTTCTCATTCTATTGTTATCGCTGAGAAGTGAAAGCATCAACTTTCATATTTAAAAGTTTGACCTCTGAGTGCGTTTGTAGTACTGATAATAATGGATGATAATAACGGCAGAAAACATTAACTTTTAAAAAGTTTGTTTATTGTATGAATTGTGCTTTGAGCAGGATTATTCATCATGGTTCTATAATCAATAATGTGATGTCGGCTATTGATTGGAGCCCTAAAAGGCTCAGGTACTCCTAAGCCGTTATCGATCTAACTATGCTCGGCCGCCATCGATCGATTAAAACAAACGAATGTATGTATGAATTTGGCCGGTTTTCATTGTGCCATTATGGTTGTGGTAGGGTATGAACCCTTTCTTTTGCATACGGTTTATTTGATTGGTCGTTTTGTGTATCCGAAGCCCTATGAAGTACTAGCCAGTCAACTACATATATACTTTATATTGTTTTAAACTTTCATGGTCAATATTATTATAGTTAATAAAGGGATTGCTATCATGTACTATTTTTTTCTTTAGTACCCGATATTTCGGAACTGTTGAAAGCGCCATAATCACGGAGTAACTAAAGTAATTGCGGGTAGATGTTATTGGCAGACATACCGGTCTACCCTCGACGTAGTCTTATATTGCGTTCGACACTTCGGAATGTGACCATTGGTCCAGATAAGTTTGTCACACTCTCACTACTCACGCGTATCTGTGATACAGATGCTTATCAGTGGACATTATTCAATTAAAACGATATAGGTAATCATATAGCTCTGCGATTGTTATTCTTGTTTGCAGCTCTGTCGATTGGTCTCAGCCCTCAGTGGTGGCGCCACTGTATTCTCTGTACCTCGGTACGTGGGGTGGCTTGAAAGTGCCCCCGGATGACCGCAAGGTTAGTGAATAAAAATACGCGAAGGGGACAATCATACAAAAACGTCTAATAATTTTTAAGTCAACAGAGATTTCTTTTAATAAACTTATTTGGAATATCTTTTTCGTATTTTTGTGTTATTTTATCACAGTTTCATCCAGTCAAAAAATATATTCTAACTATCTTGTGATATGATCCTGTCTGACTACTGCGAATTAATGCAGCTTTGATTATAAAAAATATTAGCGTGGTCTTAGCAAGAACTACAATAATCAGAAGTTTGTTAAATATTGGATGCAACAATATTTAATCCCCGTGATACAACAACACAAAGAAAATCGTGTCCGAAAGAAACATTGGACGATCAATGGAGCTCCGTAAGATGACCACGTAGGCAAAAACAATATAAAGAATAATTTGAACATTCAAAGTTACCTTTAATGCATAGTATATAATGTCTTAATTTAAACGCATGCAAAGAGTTATGACATCGAAATGCAAGCTCGTAAAATTTTACTACATCTTGCCATAGGCGGAAAAATATAGACTTCATTCTTTGACTCCATGCCTAATTTTGAATGTGCTGTTAGCATTAGAGCAGTTACGGAGCGCGAGGAAAAGAGACAGCTATATAACCGACCATGCATTTGAATATCAAAAATATTTGACATTAAATCAGTTTATAGTAAGTATTAGAATAAAAATTTGCTTCAAATGCGTTATATTAAAAAACATAGATTAGATACCTTTAAAAAACACACTCTACGTACTCTAAGTACCTATATTTTTCTCTCTCTGTGGCATCTTGACTTTTGAACGGTCGCATGACTGAAACAAGAAGTGCTTAAACACCACCCACTTTATTAGGACACATTTTGAGCCCACTTGGTGTATCTAGAGTTATAAATATCGTTGATTGGATGATTTATTAAAAGTAAGAAGTAAAAATATTACATCTTTTAGGTACCAGCTTGCACAAGACTGAGGTTAAAACTGATTCAGTATTTGAACAAGGTTACCGGCCCTGCTATATTGTTCCCACATTGTATGCAGGTAAGAATTGATCAACTTATTGCACAAAAAATATTTCTTTAATTCATATCATAGGATTTTTAACAGAAAAAAGTTAAATTATCATATTTTTTAGGTTGTTTTCTCTTCGTTATTCGATCCAAACACTAACTCGAGGCTCAGGAATCTGGCTTTGGTGTTTCTGTTAAACGTAATAAATAGGTATGTTATCCTTTATAATGAAATTAAATACACATAGATACATTAATATGGTAAAGTACTAATGACAAATGTTTTCTATTTTAGTGGTGAAGAGACTCAACTAAAGAAGGTTGCGCCGGTATTCTTGCAGGGTTTGTTGAAGATAATTCGATCTGAGGAACATGCTGAGCATCAACCTAAGGCCTACATGTGTTTAGGTAATTCGATTTCATTATCGGAGTGACAATAATTTTTCTATGTGCAGAACAAAATGTCATGCATTCAAATTGAACATTGTGCTCCGCAGTGGCGACATTCATCATCACTACATAGTATAAAACAAAGTCGCTTTCTCTGTCCCTATGTCCTTATGTCCCTTTGTATGCTTAAATCTTTGAAACTACGCAACGGATTTTGATGCGGTTTTTTTTAATAGATAGAGTGATTCAAGAGGAAGGTTTATATGTATAATACATGCATAATATAGTAGAGAAACACTGATAATTTTAGAGGTTTTTAATGTAAGGTCGTAAATAAACACATTTTTTGCGCTTACATTGCAAACGCTGGCTGAACCCCACGAGATAGATCAAAATAATGTACTACAGTATTGTACACCTTAAAAAGGTCTACAAAAAAGTCCGCGATGGTATATGTCTATCTCTTAAGGATAACCCACAATAACCAATTTTTATCCTATACTTTTTACTAGAAATAATAGATTATTTACGAAGCGATTTTAAGCAATATAACATTCATCCTTATCCAATTAAGTACCTTAAATACATTGTGCTTTAATATAGAACAATTTGGCCCTTTAACGCATATAATTTAAATGAATATTTTCGAAGATATTACAAATTTAAAATTCAGGGACATAGCGGTTCCGACGCTACCGGGCTTGGCGACGCGTGCCTATTGTAATTGGGTATTAGAAGAATGTTATTGTGTATAATACAACCCTGAGAAGAAAAACTATAGTCTACACTACAGCTTTACACCGAAGCGAAGCGAGGGCGGGCCACTAGTTATATTATATATAGTAAAACTAAGTTGATAAAATGTGCGTGCCGGTAAAACTTAAAACGGAGTCCTGGCAGCGAGAGGGGTCAACTGTCCGTTCTAGAGGAGTTGTGGGAAAACTGATATCAATCTTTAATAAGGATTATTTCAGAATTTTCTGAAGTGAAAACTTCTTTAGCGGCGTTGAACACTTTTTTGGTAATGGGTAAAAAATTATAAACTCGCGTCAAGACACGTGACAAACCTGATCGAAAATTCGTAAGACAGATGGAGAGTAGACAGCCGGCGTGGCGTAGGAGAGGAAGTATCCCCCACTCCTTCTACGGCGCGGTGAAAATTTATCCCTGCGCCTCCTGTTTCGTTTAGGCGGCGCAGGGCGTTTGCGCGAATGTTCGTGTGTGTTTATGTTACAGCGTGCCACGCACATCCATAGATGGTGACAGCTGATGGCTCGACCGTCTGTGTAGTGGCCACACTGCTGTGTATTCGTAAATTCCAAAATATCAAAAATACACAACGTTAATATTCATGTTTACACTTATACCGGCACTCCCGGAGTGCAACCCGTCGTTTTTTTTATAAAATGTGTTCAGAAGCCAATTCAGACTAAGTACTTTCGGGGTGTACTTTATTTATGTTACACGTTGTATAGAGATAAACTTGTGCAGGTAGATTGGGCATGAAGTGTCCTGGCAGCGTGGGGGGACAACTGTCCCTTCTAGAGGAGTTGGTGGGCAAACTGCCTGCGCCCGCTGCCGACCTATCGACGGCCCTCAGAGATGCGCTGTTGGAGATGGCTGCGGCATACAAGATCACAACGCCAGGTCAGTACACCGTATATAGGCATAAACAATCTACGCATCCTTGAGTCCCCCGGTGGCTGCCAATGATTTTTTTAGCTGTGGAGAAAAACGGACGACAGCACTTCACAGTGTCAATTACAAAATTAAGTCATCTTTATCATAATTATAGAAATAGCCTGCTGGAACGTTTAGAACAGTTAAACCCAAGCATTATTGTCTGAAATATAATCGGATACCTTATAATATGCTTTATTCATAAGAACTCTTTTAATGTAGCTTTAAATTTATTGAAATATTGCTTTTGTGGAGCCTAGTAATTGATTAATTAATTGTGTTTCTCACTATTCATAGGAAATACATCAATAATTTTTCGAACATACATTTAATTTTCATAAATATACTGAGACGCAACTGTCATTATATCGATTTCTTTAATTTTTTCTTTTAATGAGTCGTCTTTATATTGTAAATTCTCTTCTCTTCGACAATTTCTCAATATGTGAGTCCCACTGAAGCTTTGAATCTAGTGTAATGTCTAAAAATACCGAGGTTCCCCTGATGGTGACGATGCGGCACCATGATTTGATATATCTATGATTTCTAACTGGCCACGCACCCGCAAGGTGGTTGTCCCCCCCCCCCCCCTCCCCTGTGCGATGCCCCGGAGTAAAAGGGGCATCACTCATCTCAGGGACCGTACAATGCGACTCAGCGCCTCCCACGTCGAGCCGCTGTCCCGGAGGCAGTGGAACGAGTTTCGTGGAATCCGGAGACTAAATGTATTCATCCTAGGTTTGGAGACTTCAGTCTTCGACATGTACGCTGGTGGCAGAACGATTATTTGGCCCAAGTCTGGCATAATAAACCTAAATTAAAATTTGATAAGAATGTATCCTTATCCATACTATATACAGAATGAATAAGAGAGGCTATTGTCGAATTTACATTTAGGTTTAGAGACTCATGCCAAAACCAGGCACATTGTCTGGTTTAAAGTGGGTAGGGCCTCGAATTTTGCCAAGCGTTGTTCAGCTGAACGAAATGAGCGGGTAGGATTCTCACATATCCCCGACGCGCTCCTTCAGTAGGGCGTGGCATGCTACTGCGGACAGAATGAGTCCGTGGACTTCTCTTTAAGAAACTCTAATCTGCACGTTACACTCGGCTATTTTGTTGATAATAATATTCATATTTAAGTTTTATCACAACTTCATAGAATTCAACTAGGTGACATGGTTTTTTTTTACAGAGAAATCTCCGGACACCAATACGCCTACGCAAGGATCGAGCTCCCAAGACTCCAAAATGGAAGTGGACGAACCAAATAATCCATTCGACGAACCTCATGCGCTTGCTTTGTTCGCGCTACTTGATCAGTGAGTTTTTAAATTCATTAAATAAAATACTCAATAGAAAGGTATAAATAAATAACTTAAAAGGCCCCCCGAATATTTTTATTGTCCTCATATTTTTTAATTGTGAGTTTAATGTTTTATAAAATACTTAAAAGATTAAAGGATGTATCTTGAATCGTTTAAAATTGATAATTATCGAATAATGTTTTGCCTTATAACATTGTCATAAAAAAGTCAATTAAAAAAAATGATGACCTTAATTTTATTTCAATTAAATAGTGCTTTTAATATTTATTTATTGTTTTCGGAGGGGCATCCTAGACAATCTTCTCTAACAGAAATAATACACATGATAATGGTTCGAAATAAAATTTATTTTAGTCCAAAACAAACATGTCATTTAGTAAATTGACTACCGTGTATCCTTGTCATTCTCTATACAGCATAAAAAGGAGAGACTGATGCCAATTCTGGCGTGATTCTCTAAACTTAAAACTAAATTTAACATCAGTCTCTCCTTTTCATTCTGTATAGAGAACGACAAGGATATACTGCTGTCAAATTTAAGTTTAGGTTTAGAGAATCATGCTAGAATCGACACCACTGTTGTTAAATTTATTTATTTATTACCATAAAAACAATAAATGGCGGAAGTAATGCCATAGGCATTCTCTACCAGTCAACCAGTAAAGGTGTATAAGATGAAATTTTATAGCGATAGAATATAAGCTAATTAAAATAATAATTTAGTTTTAAGTTTAGAAAATTAAGGGATTTCCCATCGTATCAAAAAGCGCAAATTTAACAAAAGAAATCACTACTTATGTTCCCAGTTACATGCATAGCGACGAAGCGATGGTTCGATATGTCGCGACTCGATACGCGGCGGTCGTGTTCCCAGCAAACTATATGCCTTCTCGGTACTTACTGCTGCTCGCCAGCGGTGACAGGTATGTCGATTATAAACTTTATTTTTATCGTCTTAAGGAATATTTTATCGGTGCATGTACATACGACAGCTTGTAATTTAGGTATTGCTTGCTTGCCAGAAAGTATTCTAAAGTCTTAAAATTATTTATATTATTACATATTTCACTGAAGAACTGATTTTTTCACAAAATACATTATTAATCAAATTACATATTTTATTTTCAGTTTTATTTCTGTGCTCTATATATTGCTTGCGCTGATAGAAATTCTCTATGTAAAGAAGGGTATTATATCGTTTGTTTAACCGTAGCTCATGTGAAATATGTGGTTAAGGTGAAATTATATATGGTGGGGGGCGCGAAATTCGTACTGTCTATTTATCATAGATAATGTCTTGATGAAATTATGTATTGCTCGTTCCCAGTCAAGATGACATATCAAATGAAGCACTTAAATGTCTGTACGGTACTTCACGCGCCATGGAAATAGAGGATGTCGTTAACAACGTATGCAAGAAAGAGACAACAGTCGTCAATTTAGACGAGGAATCCTCCAAGAAGGAAAAAGACAACAAACAAGAGATGGAAGAGTTTATTGTGCCCAAGTTTAAAGATGTGGTGGGATATATTTGGGAGCAAATGCAGAAACGTAAGAAGGGCTCGAACGCTAAACATAGGTTCGTGATCGGCAACCAGGTGTTGCAGTTTCACCCTCAAACTTATCAAGAGGTATTTTTCTGCGTTAGATTATTTTGTCATAAATTTTGTGTTTTGTAAGTAACGTCGTTTGAGAATCATCGTATCAGGAATATTTTTCTGTATTGTAGTTAGCTTTGGGTTATATATAATCTTAACATAAGTTCGTGATCAGCAACCAGGCATTGCAGTTTCACTTTCAAGAGGTATTTCACTGCGTTAGATATATTTTTTCCATTGAGTATTATTAAGAAATATTGTTTGAGAATTACGTGTAGTATTCTAGTAGTATTAGACACTCTTTTCACTATTTTAGATTTCTAAGTGGTTTTGGATATTCTATTGTTTGCCTGGTATCAATTAGGTTTTGATATTCTTGGTATGTTATTCCGATTCAATATTTCTGTGCAAACTTCAGATTTTGCAGAAAATAAGTATACTTTAAATTGGCACTTAATTTTTTATTATAATTAATATAAAACAGCGACTTTTTCCTAGTATCAGACTAGCTTTATTTGTTTTGACATAAGTTAAGAAGATCTGAAAATTCAACATCATATCAATAATGTGGATAATTATTTATGTATTTATTATTGATGATGTATTTTTTTGTAAATTAATTTAAAGTTAATTTATTATTTGGTTTTGTATGGTTGATATTAGCTGCTGTTGTCCGAAATAAATAATTTTTATTTTAGATTCTGAGATATATGCGGATGTGTTTGAACCGCGACGCTGATTTGAAGGACTGCTCCAACCACCCGAATGCAACTTCACCGCTGTTGGCAAAGTATTTCCACAACAACTTGTTGGACACAGAGGTCTTGGAGCAATACCTTACTATGATCACGTCTTTGCTTAACGCACGGCCTGGTAAGTATTGTTCTTTTATTTTTGGAAAACAATCAATGCCAGGCATAATTTTTGCCGTTTTCCCGGTGAAAATGTTGATATATCTATTGTAAACGGACCGCAACATTAATCCAAAAAGAACGGGAAATTATTATTTTTTGGGATGAGACGTTTCTCAAACCTTAAATGACAAGCTGTAACTAATACTCTACATCTTCATGACGTTAAATATGAAATGAAACCTTATGGCAATGCACGTAGGTCGTTATTGGACCGTAAACTTAAACAGATTTACCCGTCGTCGGCGTAGAAGAGTATTCTGATCTTCCGTTTTCAGTTTAGCCCCTAATAGACGAACTGTGTAGGACGAATCCCGAAAGTGACGAAATGCGTAGTGATGAATCTCTAAGTGGACGAAATGCGTAGTGACGAATCTCTAAGTGGACGAAATGCATAGTGACACATCTCGAAATGGGCGAATCATATTGTGAACGAACTGCGTAGTAGACGAATGGCCAAATGCTATTTAGACGAACTGCGTTTTGGATGAACGGCTAATAAATCGGTTCACGGAGCACCTTAAGATGATCGCGTAGTAAAAAACAATATAAGGCATTACAAAAATGTTCAGTCACCTTTAATGCATACTTTATAAGGTCTTATTTAAAAAGCATGCGTCAAATAGTTATGACAGTTCGAAATGCAAGTTCGTAAAATATTGCGACTTGTTTCTATAGGTGGAAGATTATAGATTGTATTTCTTTGACTCTAAGCGTAATTCTAAATGCGCTGTTAGCAATATAGCTGGAACGAAGCGCGAGGAAAAGAGACGGCTATATAACCGACCATACAAAAGTTTACAGTAAGTATTAGAGCTGAATTTGGTTCAAATGCGTTAAATTAACAAACATTTATTAGATACCTGTCCACAAAACGACATTCTACGTACTAAAGGTATTTTTATCGTATTTTTTCACGAAGCTGATTCCGGTCTTCAGTTTCCAACGGTCCGCGCGTGACTGTGAAACAAGAAACGCGTGATTGGTATTCAAACACTTCTTGATTGGGGTACATTTTGAGTGCACGTGGGGTACTTAGGTTTTTAATATCGTTGGTTTGACACCATAATTGCATTGCTTTCAGATGTGCTGCCGTTAACATGCTTCCTGGACATAGTGGGTTGTGTGCCCGAGAAAATGGCCTCCAAATACACGAACCTGCTGCCATTCCTCAAGAATCTATTTACCACCAGTACCAAGGAGGATATAAGAGATAACGCGGCAGTTATTTACGCCATCATAATTGTTAATACGAACGAGAAATCTGCGATTGAGAGAGAGATAAAAGAGTTTGTGGAACAAGGACAGAATAATAAGAGTTTGGAGAGTCAGTGCGGGTACCTGTGTGCGTTCGCCCATATCTGCGAGAGGTGTATAGTGTATTCGAAGAGGGGTAAATTTGGTGGAAAAGGCTTTAACCCGACTAACTGGGGACCGTTTAAAGAGGGAGTTGTGGTTTTAGGTAAGTGTTACTTGATTAGAATTGATAAATAAATTATGTACTTTGTGGTGTTTATTATTTTTATTAATTAGAGTGATTAATGTAGAGTAGGTTATGTTGAATGTATTTCCTTAATTGTCATTGATAAGGAATAAAATGTTAATAAAAATTAATAAGCAAAGAACCTTTAAAAATAATTATTTTTTTAGATAAATACTCACAACTAACTGCTGACTGACCCCTAAGCGGATTTGTTTACAATTACAATATGTAAATAAACAACTAACTTTTCTTAATCAGTTTAGTAATGGTGCACCCGTCAAATAATTGCTCATTATCTTGTCGGAATTATAACGAATGATTTTAAATTTCAGCTAATTTCCTTATAAGTCCTCTTACATTACTAGTCAGTACTTCCGTCTCCGCCATATCTCTGTTGGCTCGATGTTCAGGGATGCCTCTACCAGATTATACTTCGAAACAAAATCTACAGTTACAAAGTGAAAATCCATTTAACATAAACAAAAGCGATACGAATATAGACTCTGACGTGGAGATCACAAAGTTCACAGTCGCAGATAGACTGTTCAGGATCGCTGGGAATCCAAAACTGCCTTCAAAAGTTAAGGAGAGGTCTCTGTATACTCTAGGACTGTTGTGCTGTGGAGAAAGGTTGACATTTGCCAAACAAATAGTGATGGGATTCTTGCAGATGGCTAAAGATGTAAGGACCAACTTTTACCAATAAAATAAAATAATTTAGTAGAATAGTAATTATTATACCAATTCATAAGTAATGACAACTAACAATTGTTACTTTTTCAGAGTAAAGAGTTTGAAATTCATTTACAAATAGGAGAATCCTTAGTGTTGTGTATGGAAGGTGTTAATTCTAACGAAAATCGAGACTTGTGGACTGAGTTACCCAAAGAGGTGAGTTGCTCTATCGGCCCACTTAGTTTTATAAGTTTCAACGGTTGACCATTAACAATATATTTTTTAAAACACTTGATAAAGATGGTTAATAAATAAGCTTCAAAACTCTATAATAAACTTTTTGCTCAATGTAACATTTTGTTTGCTAGGGACCGTGAAAACCATATAGGTCAAAACTTAAAATGCTAAGTGGGCCGATTGATGTGTCCGGAAGTATATAAAACATATACTATGTTATTTTATTTATTAAATTTTATGATGATCTAGTATCATCATAAAATTTAATAAATATTCCTCTTGCGACTTCGTCCGCGTTAACTTTGGTTTGTTGAGAATCCCTCAGGAATTTTACATATTCCCGGAATAAAAAATGTATATCTATGCCGAAATCTAGGTCATTAACAATATACGCACCAAATTTCATTCAAATGCGTTCAGTAGTTTTTGCGTGAGAGAGTAACCAAACATACAAACTTTCACATTTATAATATTAGCAGGATTACTCATGTTTATCGTTTTTTTTTAATAGGCAGGAGCCAAAATAAAATCACCCGATGCGTTGAAAGAAAATGACAATTTGTTGGAATGGTTATTAGAAGAATTGTTCAAAATTGGCAGACACCCACATCCGCACTCCAGGCAGGCAAGTAAAAGCTTTGGCTTCACCAACCATACTAACAAAGTTATATATAAATAACTTTAATCTCTATGGCATAGAATTGATTTTACAATGTCGGGTAAAGAATCTGTACAGATTATTTACCGAGTGCATGCAATTAAATGAGAGCTTCTTCACTGAGTAGTTTTGGTACAGAATCTTTATTTTTTATTTACTTTACTGAGCGGATACACAGCTCTCTTTACCGAGTGCTTCCGAATGCTACCGAATCATTTGACTAGGCCGTCCCGTCACTTCCCGTAGCAAACGAAACGAAAAGATACCGCACCGAAATAGAGCCGGTCAAGCAGTTGTCCCGGTAAAGAATTTGTACAGATTCGGCACAGAAACATAAAGGAAACGAGCTCGCACCGACGCGGTGAGGAAGAATTAAAAATTAAAAAAAAAAAACTAAGTTTAATATCGTTTATTCAGTCTAGGCTGTTACAAACACTTGTGACTGTCGAAAAGCTACGCCATCGGTTCGCAAATCTACGGCGGGAGACCTTGTACTGAGAAGAACCGGCAAGAAACTCAGCAAGGGCTGTCTTTTTCTCCCTGTTTTATTTCATACAGTGTCGTCCAATTGAAAGTTGACATCAAACTTGCAAACATGTGTTGAGGTCAACTTCCATCACATTTTATTATTTATATCCAGATTATAATAATCGAGTGATAGTGACTCATATGTCAAGAAATTATCGTAACTTATTGTAAATAATATAGAATTAATTTGCAGGCGACTAGCATCTGGCTGTTAGCCTTACTGAAGAACTGCTCCGATCGCGAACCGATCAAGAGTAAGCTGCAGTCGTTACAAGATGTTTTTATGGACTATCTGTCGGAAAATAATGGTAAGATAGTGTAACATGCTAATTACCATGGAGTTTAAGAATTAGAGCAGACGTTTTAATAGAGAATTCTGGGTAAATTTCTTTAAATCTGATCGAGCGAAGAAGAAAAAGTTCGCTGTGTGCGTTGTTGCATCTAGTCTCATGAGTTCTATATTTTTCAGGGACCCCTCGTATTTTTGTCTGAGATTTCATTTTCGTCTTTTTAAAGTTCAAATTGCTTTTCAGAAATCGTACAAGATGTGGCCAGCAAGGGTCTCAGTTTGGTATATCAGAACTCGGATGAAAGTCAAAAGCAAGCTCTTGTGGGGCAGATCATTGAACAGTTGACTAGTGGGAAGCGGTCAGTAGCTCAAGTCACTGACGATACGAAGGTGTTTGAAGAGGGGCAGTTGGGAAAAGCTCCTACTGGGTTAGTGTTTTGTTATTATATATCTAGCATGTATAAAGCACATCCGTGGCGTAGTAAAGATATTTTATTATAGTGACCAGTAGGATAGAGAAGCTCTATGGCGCTGGCGGTTAGCACGTTTGACTTGCGATCGTATAGGTTAAGCAACTTTCGCAATGGTCGGTCATCAGATGGGTGACCGAAAACTTATTATCTCGAGCTCATTCTAGCTTGGGACAACTTGACGTGACTGTCAAGTCGTCCCATCAATCCGCACTGGGCTCGCGTGATGAGTCATGGCCCAATCTTCATATTCTATCCATAGCGAATGCCTGTGCCCCGGCAGTGGAGACATTAATATACTGATGATAATAATAATGAATAAGCGGGATTGCTACCATGAATCTTGTTTTTTGCGAGTCCTCGATATTTGGGCGCATATTGTGAATCTAACGTAATTTTTTTTTCTGTGCTAAATAAATATTATTATTATTAAAAACACGGCACTGGACTAACTAACTAACTGCCATGATTATAGAGTAACTGAAGTAATTGCGGATAAGATTTTATTGGCAGAAATATTAGTCTACCCTCTAGCGAATTCTTTTATTGCGCTCGATACCCGCACCACTGTTCACAATCTCATGTCTCACAAAAATAAGGTCCTTGGTAGCAATTCTGCTAATTACTACTAATTATTACAATGTTTAGTGACCCTAATAGTTTGAAACAAAATAATTTTGACATTATTTTCAGTGGGAATCTATCTACTTACAAGGAGCTTTGCTCGCTGGCATCAGACTTGAATCAACCAGACCTTTTGTATAAGTTTATGCATCTCGCACACCACAACTCCATGTGGAACTCTAAAAAAGGCAAGTTAAAATATTTGTTTAAATATAGAAAAATGTATTGTGCCAACGAAATAAAATTTATATGGAAGCATAACACTCTTTAACAAAGATTTCTTAAACATGGTTCCGAACTTATAGGGGTCATCCATAAAGTACGTCACACGTTAAGGAGAAGGGAGGGGGTCGACGAAGTGTGACATTGTGTGACAAGGGATGGGAGGTGTCCTAAGTTGCGTGCCGTCTCATTTGAAAATCTAATACTTTGAACTATACAAAACCCAACAAACACTTTAAAATTTAGATCTCTATCTGAATGGGTCTACATTTTATTTTGTTGTCTATTTTTGGAACTAGTTTCGGAACTGTTGTTTTAATTTAAGTTGCAAAATTTCAAAATATGTGACGTCTCACTAGGAAGGGGGGGGGGGGGGGGTCACAAATGTACTATAATAACTGTGACAAGGACGGGAGAGGCGTAAAAGAATCACGAAATTAGTGTGACGTACTTTATGGATGATCCCATACCACTAAACGTTAATACTAACGGGACACGCACACAGACAAAACAAAACAAAACGGCTACCCAACAATTGGTTACGACCATAATAGTGAAAATGAAATCCCACCAAGCGAGTGCGTACGAGATAGAATATGACTTGCAGAGAAGATAATATTGATAATAAGATATTGCTTTTTTTTCAAATGTCGATATTTGTAAAAATATTAATACAATGCGAAGAGCGGCGCTCCATTGCACTTGCAAGAAATACTAGAACGCGTCTATTAAGGTCTGGGTAGCATAGCTATTAGTGAATCCGCTAGGATAGCGGAAGGCCGTAGTTCGAATTTACAGATCTGATAGTAGTGTTCGAATCCAATCAGAAATTTGATCCGAGTAAACTTTTCTAGTAAAATAATATTTATATCAATGTGATGTTCTGATGGAGATAAAAATCACATTAAAAGATTCTGGTCATTAGTAACAGTTACTTTCAACTTCATACGAATTTTCTAACATCTTTTGTGATGTACTCAGTGACATTTATGTTTGAACACACAAAAATTTTATAGTCGCGGCATTCGGTTTCCACTCGATCGCCTTTCAAGCGGCGCTCAGTTATCCGAACACTTACCCCGATATATTAGTTCACTAGCGGCCGCCCGCGACTTCGTATGCGTGGACTTAGTTAGAAAGAAAGGTTCACTGCTCGTTCCCCGTAGGTGATAGCGTGATAATATGTAGCCTATATGTTGATCCGACTTCTTAATAATATTCGTGCCAAATTTAAAGTAAATCCAGGCAGTACTTTTTGAGTTTATCCCGGACTATATTTTTGGCTTCGGTATCGATTGTAGATCACACCCCAAGAATCCTTAAAAATATTCAATATACAGTTTTGACTTTCCTACCATTTTATTTATGTATAGATAATATAATTTACTAACATAGAATGTTCGAATAATAAATGATTTGATTTGACACAGGCGCGGCATTCGGTTTCCACTCGATCGCCTTGCAAGCAGGTGCTCAACTATCCGAACACTTGCCCCGTATCGTGCCGCGCCTTTATAGATACCGTTTCGACCCAACGCCTCGCATACAGAACTCTATGGCAAGCATATGGCACGCCATAGTGCCTAACACGCAGGCTACAGTGAGTACTTCTGGTTTTTTTATATTATTGAATAGAATAAAACAAGTTTGGACGGGTTACATGCGCTGATTTTATTTATACGTTTCGCATTCCTGAAAAAGATGCGACCCGTTAAAACATGTTTTATTTAATGAGTGATGTGCGTGAAAACCTAAGAAACAATTATTCAGATAGGATTAGTGGCAGTAAAGGGGTAAAGCTTGAAGTTCGATTTCTAATAGTGTGGGGATAGTAAATAATTGAGATTAAAGGCTCCACAAGGTAGAGAGTTTAGAGAACTTTTCTGCCGCATCAGCTGTCTTCCTGATTGAACTCCACTTGAACTTAACATGCGGTGGCTGATTTGCTACAACTTGTTTGAAAACATCAATATCACCAAAACTACTGAAGGGTTGAAGTTCATTCACTTGGTCCTTCGAGCTGGATTTACGAAACATTAATAAATAGGGTCATTTCTCCGTTTTTTAAGGTACACAAATATCACAAAGAGATCTTGGACGATTTAGTGGCTAATTTGACCTCGAACCAATGGCGTGTCAGAATGTCGTGCTGTAACGCGCTCGCTGATTTATTACGGTGAGTGGTTATATAAAAAGTAATTAGTTGTTTAATAAAGTTTTACTTTAGTAAAAGGTAAATAAAGTTCTATTTTTGGATGTCGTACTTTACATAATATTTTGTGTCATTTAACTGTGTTGTTTTGTGGATTTCCTGCGCATTAAGGGTTAATGTAAGTATTAACGTAGTCGCCTCAGTTCTACATAAACTACAAAATTAATAATTATTTACGTTCTAATTCGTACACTCAACTACAGGTCAAGTTACTCAAACCTGGTTAAATTTATCCATATGATTAATTGACATACGATTCTTCTTCTGATGATGGCTTGCTGTGTACTAATCACAATTCGCCAATACGATACCTTTCACAGTATTGCACTATTGAGATAATTTGACATTTTGTAGTTACTTGATGTGTGGCTATCTACAAGTGACCTGTACCCTAAGCACGAACGAACCAAAATCGAATTCCAATAAATTCGATCTCGATACGTGTCAAATGTCAAGAAGTTTTATATGGAAAGGATCTATTCTTTTCTCCATGCAACTCTGCCCAATTTTATACCTGAAATATTATCATTTATTTATGTGTAGAATAAAAAATACGCCGAATTCATAAAAAACATGTAAGGAATTTATTATCCACTTGTACCACATAAAATGTCGTGTAAACATTTAAATTAATGGTTACTAATAATAATATACATATTTTGGTAAATGTGCATCTTTAAGTTAATAACAATTAGCTACGGAAATCACGTGATTTTTGACACAATCAGTCACAAACAAGGAAATGAATTTAAACCAATAGTATAAGCTGTCATCTGTCAGAAATCATCACAAATTGTGTCTAGGATACAGATTCACTTTTTTAAATCTGATTTTCAGCAATTTCAATTGAATATGTTTAAGATTTTAATAAGTGAGTCTTTAAGTGTAACTTTAGATATTTTTTGAGATAATTTGTACCAAGGTACAAAATTGGGCAAAAATCAAAGGTTTCCTTTGAACAGCGCCACAACAGACGTAACGAAAATTCACAATGTTCCATACAAAACTTCTTGATATATTTTGACGCGAATTCAGATCGAATTCGATATTGGTTCGTGCTAACATTACTGAAATCACCGTATTTTCGGTAATATCCTTATATAGTGAGAGTGAGTAAGTTTGAAGACCTCCGTGGCCGAGTGGTTTGTACGCCGGGTTTTATGGTGTCGCCGACTCGAGAGGTCCCGGGTTCAAATCCCGGTGGGGCAGATGTTAGTGTGATGAATACAAGCATTTGTACTCCAGTCATGGATGTTTAATATGTATTTCTGCAAAAATATACTTATATATGTACAGTATATGTATTCTATCCGTTATCCTAGTATCCTATAACACAAGCCTTATAGTGCTTACTGTGGGGCTAGGTTAATTGGTGCGCGTGTTGGAAATATTTATTTTATTTATTTATAGTTCAATCTAGAGTAGTATTTTTTGTTACACTATTAAAGTTAATTCTCATTATGATTAGCGGAGCACAAAGTCTCCATTCATCTCTGGAAAAACTGCCGACGCTGTGGACGCAGTTGTTCAGAGTCATGGACGACGTACACGAGGGGACGAGGCAAGCCGCCACATCTACTGCCAATGTTCTGTCTAAGGTACGGTTTGTTAGAGTCATAGAGGTATAAGAATAGACTGCAGCTCTAAAAGTGTCCGCCTAGTCTAGTAGAAAGAGAAAGAACATGAGAGACTACTAGCTATCTCTCTCTCTTGTGACGCATGGCATCCAATGGCATCACATCGAAATAGTAAGATGCTTACGGTTGCCAAAAATCGCATGCGTGATTAGAGAGAAAAGCTAGCGGTCTCTCATCTTCTTTCTCTTTCTATTAGAGGGACACTTCCACTTGTAGTAGAGTCTATATCTCCCCTATTTTATTCTTATACCTCTATGGTAAGAGTACGTACGATTCAAACCACAGACATACATTGAAATAGATAACATAAGATCAATCCTATGGTCTTCCTTTTACGCTAATTTAGTTCTTCGCGTCATCGTTCTCGCTACCGGACGTCAAATTGTAATAATTATAATTTAAAAAAATACTAACTAAAGTCTCTTTTTAATATCGGAGACAAAAATGACACATGCAAATGTTAAGTTTGCAAATAATATAAATACCTGTTTTTAAAGTTCTTATAATTTTATTTGACGATTATTTTTTTATATTATTAATATTTTCCAACATTTTAAAAATCATAGCACACTTTATCAATACATAATATTTTATATGTTGTACATTAAAACACGGCGTATTTACATTACCGAACTTTTATTACAGTAATAGATGCCGAGTCTGATGATGACGTTTCAGAAAATTCATTCTAATTAATATAATATGCTTATCTTGTGATGAACTTCCAATCTTCCTGTGTGTAAATAATGTTTTATTCGTGATTTGCTATAAATTGCGTAACTCGCTTGCTTAGAAAGGAATAAATATAAAATGATTCCCATCTTAATAGCCAATCATCCGTTCGTTTAAAACTTCTAAAATGTCTTTTCGTTCTTGTTCACCGAAAATTTGGACTTATGTATTTTAGAAGATAACAACTTTATTCTGAGACCCAAGCGTTAAAGTTTCTATGAAAACTAAGCATCGCCCCTATCGCACGTAAGAATAAAATAGGTATTTCCATACAAAATTGAACGTTGACGATACGTTGGGGATGGCTGTCAAATATTCGACTTTGGGCCTCTGGTCTATTTACTATCATCATAGTGACCATTTATATAGTTTTTTGTCACTGTTTTTCTTTTGCTCTCAGAGAATAGTTGTTTTTGTAATAATTAATTATTGATGTATCACAGCTTTGTATCAGGGCAGCGGACGCGAATCAGGGCAAAGACGGTAAGGAGGTGGTCGCCGTGATACTGCCCGTAGTACTGGAGACTGGTATCACTAATGTTGTGAAGGAAGTCCGCAGTGTCAGGTTAGTGAATTAACCATACCGTAGGGATGGTGATATTATTTTTACCGAACCATGGGGATGATGATAATTTTTTTTCTTTCTCTATCAGGTAGATTTTCAAAAAAAAAACTTAATTCACATAATCAAAACATTGCAGAGATATATTGATTTCAAATGTCGTATGACGTAACGCTTTGGTACAAATTTTACTTAGATGTGACGTCACGATCTCCGCTTCCAAACTTTCATCATTTGTCATTTTTGGTTGATTGACAGAAGAAAAAATAAGTGTCAATTATTTATTCATACTCAAACTGACGGATTTAATAGAATTTCGTTTAATTTACACCGTCATCATCCCTATTGTTCAATTGTTATTTTATTTATGATGTTGAAATCTTAAGAAAATATAACTAGAAAAGATTCTTCGCCGACCAGGCAGCAGACGGGACTCGAACCCGCACCCTTCGCTATCCGGGCGAATGCACTGACCAATTCACCTACAATGCGAAGAGATGGCGCTGCCTTGTAGCTTAATAATGGTTAGAAGAATTGCGACATGGCCGTCAGGGCCGCGGAAGCATAATGGTCAGTGCATTCGCCCGGATAGCGAAGGGTGCGGGTTCGATTCCCGTCTGCTGCCTGGCCCGCGAAGAATTATTTCTAGTTATATTTTCTTTAGATTAAAACATCAAGCAGTTACATGCTTAAAAAATAAAAATTATATATGTATCTGAATTTTTTAACGACATTCATAAATGTAATATCACATTCTAAAGATGTACAAAAAAAAAATTGTGGCGATGTAATGAAAGTTTTACTTTAAAATGCCAATAATATTATGATCCTTTCGTAAACTCGGCAGCTTACAAACGGTATCGAAGTTAGTGAGTGCGGCAGGAGCCAGTCTCAAGCCATTCCTCAGCCGTCTAGTGCCGGCACTAGCGGGTGCGGCCGGGGAACTGGAGTCCGCGAAGCTGTCATACCTGAGCACAGCCCTAGCGGCCGACGCCGGCGCTAGAGATATGCTCGACGATATGCGTGCTTCTGCCGCCAAACATCACTACACTACTGATACACTCGTAAAGGTAATCTTCTAATATATAAAAATCTCGTGTCACGGTGTGCGTCATTGAATTACTCCGAAACGGCTTGACCGATTTTCGTGCAATTGCGAATCGGACAACATCTATTTTTCACCCTCCTAAATGTTAAGGGTGGTCCACCACTAATGATTATTTTGGGCATTTTTTTTTTATTTTTTTATGAAACATACAAAAATATAGACAACCTTAAATTCTCACCCTTCTACCACCCATATTTTTATGGCGATACGAAGTTTGCTGGCTCAACTAGTAATAATATATATAAATAAATATTACCAACACACACCAATTAGCCTAGCCCTAAAGTAAGCCCTTTAAAGCTTGTGTTATGGGATACTAGGGTAGCGGATAAAAACATATACTGAGCATACATAAGTATATTTTTATAGAAATATATATTAAACATTTATGACAGAGACAGAGTACAAATGCTCGTATTCATCACACAAACAACTGCCTCCACCGGGATTTGAACCCGGGACCTCTCAAATCGGTGACACCATGAAACCCGGCGTACAAACCACTCGGCCACGGAGGTCGTAATAACCAATAATAATAGTACATAACGATACGCGTGACCTCCTCCTCGCTCCGCTCGGGCGCTAACTTCACGCCGTGCCAGGCAACTTAGGCCACAAGTATCGTATACTATTTTATAGCAAGTGTGACATAAACCCGCCCCCGACGCGGGCAAGAGGGGGGGTTCGGGGTATGCGATTAGTGTTTTGAAAGTAAAATTCATGTATTGCAATCACAAAGAATTGCAATACAGACTGCAAGTCAAACTCTGAAAAGTAAAGAATTCCGGTTCAGATTACCGTTTTGAAAGTATATTTCAAAAGGAAAAAATCAAATATCATTACAACAAAATAACCTAACCAATCGCTAATTTGTTATTTGTTTGCTGTGAGTTTTTAAGCTCCAAATGACATTTAAATGTGTTTCCTTTTATTTTTTCTACATGAGTGAAGTTGGTCAATTCATTTACAAACCGTGCAGAAACAGGCAACTTAGGTCACGGAAAAGCGTGCGTAAAGTGCGGGTTTAGGTCACACTGTGCTATTAAAGTTTATTTGTTCACTCCATTTACAGTTTCAATTAACCTAGGTAAATGCTCGTAAAATTTATAGTTCTAATAATGAGTTTAACGTTGGCAGCTGTATTAGTATGAACTGTGTCAACTGTCAGCTGTCTGCGTCTTTCAGCACAACAATAATAGCATTTCACCAACTCACGATTAAACAAACTTAAAAAAAAGAAATTTATTAATATTGTAATATTTTAGAAATACCATATTATTGATTAATCGTCAATTTATAAACACTATAACCCAACACCACTGCTTATACACTGAAGTCGATTTCTAATATTATCACGCACACCAATCATTTGATAAAAAACTTTTGGAAACGAGCTTACAGCGCAATAAAAAGTTGATTCTGAGTTTCTTGCCGGTTCTTCTCAGTACAAGGTCTCCCGCCGTAGTTTTGCGATCCGATGGCGTAGCTTCTCGACTTTCACAAGTGCTTGTAACAGCCTAGACGGAATAAATGATCTTTGATTTTTACTTTTTAAAAAGTGTTTCAATCAAATCCCCAGTGTATGCCGTACATCGATATTGAAGTGATGAAGGACATGCTGCCGAGTTTACTGGAGCTCATGAAATCTCCCCAACTGGGTACTAAGGTCGCGTGCTGTCACTTCATAGTATTGGCCGCACATTATCTCCGAAACGACTTGGAACCTATAGCGGGAAAGTTAATGTCCAATCTACTCAACGGCACTTTCGATAGGAACGCGACCGTGAGGAAGAACTTTGCGGAGGCGTTGGGACAAGTCTCCGCTCACGCTAAGGTTGGTGGCTTCAGATTGTTGCTTATGTTGCACTGTACACATACACACACACATATACAAACACACGACCTCACATATATACACACAAACACACACACACACACACAAAATTAATATTTTAGTTTTATTATGTCATTATTTTTTCTTAAGCATCATATTAATTAATATATTGATCACAAATGGTGCAAAGTTAGCTTGTTCTGTTCATGTAGTTTTGGGAGCAGGGGCCTAGTGTCTTGTAGAACCGGTTTATCCTAATCACATTGAGTAATTAAAAATTGTAATTAAGTACTTTATTGTAAATGAGTTTTTTTTTCTATTTGTGTGAATAAATAAATAAAGAATTTATTTATGACAAGTTAATAACGTACAGTGCGACTAAGATCCTGTGGCACTTAGATGACATTGACAGTAGAGCGCTGCTGGTGGATAAGTGGTGAAAAGAGGATTACTAAGCACGTAAAATCCACTTAAGGGACCGTTACAATTTACAATAACTGAAAAAGAGTAATAGGAAATATAAAAGGCATCTAAGTGCTATAAGATCTTGGTCGGAATGCATTTTATGTTTTAATTCCTTGATTTTATAAATATAGCCACAGTCCGCGGAGAAATTGATGAAGAAACTAGTGAATCTCTACGAGACGAAAGAAGATGACGCATCTCGCACCGCAGTGGCTTTGACATTGAAGGCCATTGCGAAAGCCAAGATAGAGCACATCAAAGACAACGAAGAGATCCTAGCGCCGATGGTCTTCTTAGCTATGCATGGACAGAAAGATGACGGTAGGTTGATTTAATTAACCGACTTCAAAAAAGGAAGAGCTTCTGTGTTCGACTGTATATATATTTTTTTTATGTATGTTCACCGATGTCTCCGTCAATTGTGTTATTGTTTACTTGGACGATGTAATTTTCACTAAAATCGATGAAATAAAAAAAAAAAAAACAAAAAATAAAACTGACTTCACAATCGAAAATGGAACTAATAAAAAGTAAAAAATAATATCCGGTTCATGATTTGGAAGTAGGGCGGGTCAAGATTGTAACATTAAATATATTTTCGTTTCAGATCGGTAATAATACGTCTTTCAATCTTTTTGTCAGTCTTAATAAAGGCAAAATGCAGCCCATCCATGCCCATCACAGATAAAGAATAGACTGAGCGACACTCGCACCTTCTAAAAAGAGTGCAAACGATAGTGCAGCCCATTGATAAATAAGCGAACCCCTGGCCGCACGATCCTTTCGTTCTTCTTACATTTATCTGTCCAGTTTTTTTGAAGTTAAAACTTCTTTACTATCGCTATGACTTGAGATTCAATGAAACGAAAATCGTACAGTATTCGTACCAAGGTATCCGTAATTTTATCATATAATGTAAGAGACAGAAAGCCTAACGCTTTTTTGAGGTCGAGGCAAATGGTCGGTAGTTCGAACCTGAGTTCGGATATGAGTTTTTCATAGTTTTCTTTTCTTTTACTAAAGTTTTTATTTATGTTGGAAATATTGGTTTACAATAACTGGAAAGAATTTAAGTATAGAATGTTTAATTTTGTCAATAAAGAGTGTCTGGTAATAAATAAAGAGGCGTCGGCGCGGGGATGATTCTTTTATAAAACAATATAAATTACGGCTTTTTTTAATAGGATTAGCTATTATTGAATTAGATTTACCCATAAAATGAAAAAAATATAATAAAATTTATTGTTTTACATTCAGGTATTTCTACAAGATGACGCGCGTCATCTATAAAATAGTTGGTAACAGATGAAACCGCCATATTGGGTGGCAGTAAATTAATATAAAGAGGGAAGGCCAGAGGCCTAAGGGCGAACTTTGACAAGTCTGTAATCGTTTCGTCAAAGTTTCTATGAATACTCGCCCCTACCGTACATAAGAACAAACTATCTTCTTCCTTACAAAATTTTACGAGGTTCATGCTTGGGCTTCTGATTGACTGACTCATCAGCGCCCAGTCTAAATCATTGGACACGGAGAGTTAAATTTTAACACAGAGATTGTCTTTAAGACGTAGTCATGAAGGACTTTTACGTGTTCACATTTTTGTGGCTTTTATTTCTATGTGAACACCACATGTCCGTTTTTTACATTTGGATAGGAAAGCTCAGTCCGTTCTTTATGTCTGTAGGTACAGCATGTAGACTAGCTACAGTGTGTTTTTGACCTTATAGTCCAGTCAGTATTGTCGCGAAATCCGTTTTTCCTCAAACAGCTGGAACTATGCTAAAAAGTTTCTTAAGATAGTAAAGAACACTTTACATAGAGAAAAAAATGTTTCCAACCCCGGGCAAGGGTGAAAACCACCCTTAATAATCTATTTTTCCAATTATCTCAAAAAGTATACGAGATACGGAAAAAAACTTCAAATGAAAATTGTAGATCTTTTTGAAATCTACAAAACATTATTCCACCCTCTTGCCCCTATTTTCAATAGGGGAGCCAATAATCGAAGTCAAAGATTCAATACTTAAAAAGTTAAAGTTAGTTAAAAAAGTTATCTTTGACTTCGATTATTGGCTCCCCTATTGAAAATAGGGGCAAGAGGGTGGAATAATGTTTTGTAGATTTCAAAAAGATCTACAATTTTCATTTGAAGTTTTTTTCCGTATCTCGTATACTTTTTGAGATAATTGGAAAAATAGATTATTAAGGGTGGTTTTCACCCTTGCCCGGGGTTGGAAACATTTTTTTCTCTATGTAAAGTGTTCTTTACTATCTTAAGAAACTTTTTAGCATAGTTCCAGCTGTTTGAGGAAAAACGGATTTCGCGACAATACTGACTGGACTATTATTAAATATTTATTATTTGTGTGTTGTCAATACAGATTCTGACAAGGTGGAGACATTCGAAGAGGTTTGGGCGGAAATGTGCCCGGCCCGTGAAGCCGGCATCCGGCGTCATCTGCCAGCCATCCGGGCGTATTTAGAGACCGCTTTGGGGTCCTCACGATGGGCGGACAAGATTCAGGTATTTTAAAAATATATACCGTTTTTGCGTTGCGTGATTCTAGGACTATAAAGTTGTGTGCCGGACATCAGGACGTATCTGGAGACCGCTTTGGGGTACTGACGATGGGCGTATAAGATACAGGTATTCTTAGCGTTTAGTAAATTAGGTAATCAATCATACAGAAAAATAATTCTTTTTTACGTAGCGTGATATAAGGCTTGTGAGATTTGCGCCATCTGCCGGCCATCAGGGCGTAATTAGAGACCGTGTTGGGGTCCTCACGATGGGCGGATAAGATACAGGTATTATTAAGGTTTTAGTCGCATAAGTAATCATTTAGATAAATACGCCATCTGCCTGCATTTTTAGTATTACAGTGGGTAGATCGCCTCGACCGCATCTCGAAACTATGTACTTATTTTGGGCGAAGATGGCATCAGTCCGGCCATCCCAGCTCCTTCAGGAAGCCCAGCAGTCCACGGATGGAGTTGCAGGCTTTTACTAGTGTCCGTAAAATTCCCATCTTTCCCATGTGACAATTCCTTTGCCTTGCAAAGCCTCTACACTTCAACAGAACGTGGGAAGAGGACAGTCAGAAATACCTATTTACAGCTTTTGGTTTCACAAGATGGGCCGGCAAGATACATATACCTTTTTAAGGGTTGAAGTATATCAATTAATTATTCTGATAAATATTTTCTGTTGAACGTAGCGCGATTGTAGTGATTTGGATAAGACCATGAGTTACGCGCCATTTGCCGGCCGTCTGGGCGTAGCTAGAAACAGCTTTGTTAACGAGACGGTTTTAAGCCGGGTTTAGGCACGGTTTTAAACCGTGTGTACGTCGGAACGATTTTCTGGAATGACGGGTGGCAGGACTGTCTACTCATCCGTCAAATCGCGTATGACTTCCAACGATGTTAAATACCCTAGATTACATCACGTGCGCTCAAAATGTGTCCCAATCACTTCTTGGTTCACAGTCAAGCGCGGACCGTTGAAAAGTCAAGATGCCGCAGAGCTCCGTAAAAAAATGCGAAAAAATTATTTATAGTACGCAGTGTCGTTTTTTCTACAAGTATCTAATCAATCAATAATGTTTTAATTTAACGCGTTTCAAGCAAATTTTGTTCTAATACTTACTATAAACTGATATAATAGAAAATATTTGAGCTATACAAATGCATGGTCGGTAATATAGCTGTCTCTTTTCCCTGCGGTCCGTTATCTGTTATTTTGCTAACAGTGGATTCAGAATGGCGCGTAGAGTCAAGAGAATGAGGTCTATATTCTTCCGCATATAAGCCGTAAAATTTTACGAGCTTGCATTTCGAACTGTCATAACTCTTTGCCTCATACGTTTTAATTAAAAGACTGTATACAGTATGCGTTTAACGTGACTTTAATGATTTAATAATGCCTATGTCTTTTTTTTACTACGCGATAATTTTACGGAGCTCCGTGGATCGTCCAATGTACCTTTTGGAAAGGTTTCTGTCACGATTTTGTTTGTATTGTTGTGTCTATGGTATTTAATATTGTTGATGACTTAATGGTCTATGGATCAATTTTAATGTTCGTGCGATTAATACGCGACAAAAACTTCATACAAAAGACCTCAAGCCGCAGTGGCGCCAACTAGTGGTTCTACTAACGCCCTAAGAGTTTGCCTATTTTAACAATAAAACTTAAAACTAAATTTAACATCAGTCTTTCCCTTTCATTCTGTATATAAAATGACAAAGATGCACTGTTGTCAAATATAAGTTTAGCTATAGAGAATCATGCTAGAATCGACATCAGTGGCAGTGCAGCAGTATACAATATGACCCGAAGGCTAAGCCGTCTCAATACACTCTATATCCCACCATAGCTTACTATCTGTTTTTGTAAGCCATTTAAATGTGTATGTGTGAGTAATAAAGAGTATATCTGTCTATCTATATTGCTACCTTTTCAACGCAGGCAGCGAACGCAATCCAAACGGTGAACAAGCAGCTATCAAATGGCTTGGGAGATCAACGCGAGCCATTATTACGCGCCCTACTCGCCGCCAGCGCCGGCAAGACATTCGACGGCAAGTGGAATCTATTGCACGCTTTGGCCGATGTATGCGAGTGAGTATATACTGCAGACAAATGGAATATTTTTTTATCGGTTTTGCAACATTTTTCATAAGTGCTCCGCTCTTTTTAGTCGTAGCGTTATGTTATATAAAGCCTTCCTCGATATATACACTACTTAACACAAAAAAGAAACAAATCGGACCAGTCGTTTCTGAGATTAACGTGGTCAACGAAACAAACTCGTGATGTGGGGATCAAAGATAATGTAAAAATACTTTTTGAAAAGCAACACTCGTTTTAATTTAAACTTAATTCCTGAAAATACATAATTTTAATTAAAGACCGTCATAGCACGCTTTCGTCGCTCATACTAATCCGACATTCGTCTCTGCTCCTCTCTCCTTCTGACCTTTCACTTACACACATGATGTTCGATCTCTGTCACACAGCCTCGTTTCAAATTTTTTCTCACAAACATGACCCCATCCCACACACTTTACTATAACGCGAACCTTTGTTACGCGCCCTACTCGACAAATGATGTTAAGTGACGGCGGAGTCCAGAGGTGGAGATAGCTGGTACAGCAGCAACAAGCTGGAGGTGGGAAACCGTAACCTCTACTGCACCTACCGCTCATTTTAGTGTCCATGATCTTTGACCATCGGAAGCGATTATAGAACAACACGGAAGGGGGTAGCCACAGCGACATAATAATATTCAAATGAAATGAAACAAGTTTCAACGGGTTAAATGCACTGCACACTTTTATTGACGTTTCGTTAAAAATAAAACATTATTATTCTGTCTACGCATTCCCGAAAAGACTGCGAAATGTCAATAAATAAATAAAATCAGTGCATCTAACCCGTTGAAACTTGTTTAATTTAATGAGTGATGTGCGTGAAAATCTAAGAAACAAATATATGCAAATGATTCTGTCATTTTTTGCGGGGGGGAATATACACACAAGCGTAGTTTATGCGCATATAAAACAAAACTTTGACTACGACACTCACACATAAACAATGACACAATACATAGCTTAATCTTGCCTGCACACATGTATCTTTTGTATGCCCAATTTATATGCCTAACTCGACAGAGGGGAAAGCTGTCTCTGCCTATTCCCCTCCAGGCTGCGTCGGCCTTGCGTGTTGCTCTATGGAATATGTACTTTTTTGACGAACCTCCGTGACCGCGTGGTTTATATGCCGGGTTTCATGATGTCGCTGACTCGTGAGGTCCCGGGTTCGAATCCCGGTGGGGGCAGATGTTTGTGTGATGAATACGAGCATTTGTACTCCAGTTATGGATGTTTAATATGTATTTCTATATAAATATATTTATAAATGTACAATATATTTATTCTATCCGTTACCCTAGAATACCCATAACACAAGCCTAACAGTACTTACTTTGGGGCTAGGCTAATTGGTATGAGTGTTGGAAATATTTATTTTGTTTTTAAAACTCCACATTTATCGATTTTTTGCGTTTATAATCTCAGAGTAAAAGAGGGCGAACAACCTATCTCCGAGAGCTTAGCGGGAGAATGCATCAACGCGTTAGTGACGGAGAGTCGCAAGCAAGAGATGGGCTACAAGAAACACGCGGTGACCGCACTAGCGCGCTGTCTCGCTCACACGCGCTGCGACCGCTTCCACCAGGTGTACGATATCGTCAAACACGTGCTGGCCAAGGTCAGTATTACGTAATATTATTGATGTGTAACATCTTTCCTTTCGTTTTCCTACAATTTGTGGGAGTGATTTCGTGAAATGGGACGGAAGTAATCGTAGCGTCATCGTCAAATTCTGTATGGAAGGAGCCATTTTGTTTTTACGTCCGGTAGGGGCGCTGTTTAGTGTCCAAGGAAACTTTGACGATGCGATACGATTACGGAGCTGTCAAAATTCGTGCTTGGGCCTCTGACCTAACACCACCATAACATAACGCAATTTTTTAAATATCGTTTTTCAATCAATAGATTTTATTTATTTTTTAAGCATTTAACTGCTAGATGTTTAAATCTAAAGAAAAGTTTACTAGAAAAAAATCCACGTGGACCAGGCAGCGGACGAGACTCGAACCCGCATCCTTCGCTATCCGGGCGAATGCACTGACCATTATGCTACCACGGCCCTATTAGCCGCGTCGAAATTTTCCTAGCCTTAAGCTGCAAGGCAGCGCCATCTCTTCGCATTGTAGGTAACCCACAATGTCAAATGATTACTTTTTCAAGTATTAAACATTTGAAAGAAGCAATAGCAATTATAGTTATGATTTTATTTATTTTTTAAGCATTTAACTGCTAGATGTTTAAATCTAAAGAAAAGTTTACTAGTAAAAATCATCTAAAAAATCAATAAATCTGTGTTCAACTTGTGTAAGCCTCCATCCTATAAGCGCGTTATTATCGGATGCGTTATTGCGATATTTCGTCATACTTCTATTGTGTCGTTCTTATCACAGCTGTGTGTAACTTCGTAGCCGTTATCATACATAATATACTAAAAACGTATATCGAATAAAATGGTGACGCAAGGCATTTTCTGTCGCTCTTGCACATTCTGGCATGAATGTGCTTGAGAGGCAGAATGGCCTGCGTCTCCATATTCGATTCGTTTCAATAATGGTACGACTAGACTTCAAGAGAGGTTAAAAAAAAGACGCTGATTTTTATGGCCCAATCTCCCATAGGGAGGGCCTGAGCCCCTGCAGTTGGGACATTAATAGGCTGATGATGATTTAAATTAATAATTGACTTTTCGCAGGACGAATCATCAGTAGGCAAAGAATCGGACGAGGAGGACAACGAAGGCGCTCGTTTAAGGCGGGAGCAGTTGACCGCCCTGAAGGAAGCCGCGTATGAGCTGCTGGGGAAAGCTTGGCCTAAGGATCCGGATACACAAGGTAGTGGCGCGATTACACTTGGTCGTTAGCCAGAATACGAATACCAATTGAATTAGGGTAAACGAGTAAGTGTAAATAAAGGGACCCGAGTACGCCCGAATTCGTGTAGATTTCCATTTGCTCTTCTTGAATTCGAGTAAAGTCTCGTGCACCCGAATACGACCAAATGTAATTCTGCCTTAAGGAGAGAGTAATAATTTAATACGAGAAGTTTATTTATTTCTTATGTTTTCACACACACCAATTTCATGAAACAGTTTTGGAATGGGTTTAAGAGGGGAGGTGGGCAATGTTGTTTTCCATACAAACGTTCTCGACTGATTCCTCCTTGATTTTTAGCACTAAAAAAATGATTTTCATACATAAAATATAGTTTTACTCATTCTATGCTCCTATGTTTCTTTTTTCGATAACTTGCGTTTCAAAGCAACTAAAATAAAAGAGTAGAATTCGAGAGTTTAATTGTCAAATTATTTTTGGACGAACGAATTTTCGAAATGAAAAAAAAAACATAGTTACGAACGTAACGAATTTGCAATTGTATATTTTTATTTTAAACATTTAACTGCTTGATGTTTAAATCTAAAGAAAATATTACTACTTCTATGTTACACTCACACAAAATCAACTTTATAGAGAAATACCAACACGAGTTCTTCGAGCACTGCGCCCGTTCTTACCCGTCGAGTTCGCGGTCGACGCAATTAGCGATGCTGACTGCCATTGCGCGCGTCATAGAACGATTGGCCATCTTCAGTGCTGCAGACGAACCAATGGACACTGACAACGTCGCCGCTACAGACAGAGATAAGGCGATCGCTGCTGTCACCGGGCACGTCGCTGCCGTTATCGATTACACGCTCAGTGAGTGTTATAGGACACTAACTTGTTTTTTTTTCTTTTTTTTTATGACTTTTTAAATGACTCCACCCCACCTGATGTTAAGTGAAGACCAGGCGCGAAGTTAGCTGATACAACAGTTCTACCTGCCACACCAACCATGCTCGCCCTGCCGGCCTGCATGTTGCTTCTTCACGCCTCTTCAGGATCCCAGGTTGTAAGAAGGAGGGAACACGTGAGCGGGCAGAGCATTCCATTTACGGATAGTGCGACAAAGAAATGGGCCACCAAATTTCTTTGTACGCGTTGGAATTGTGGCCACAGTTAGACGGTGACAACGTAGGCCAATTAATACTATGCAATCAATAATAAAGTTTGGTGTCATTGAATAAAATATTCTGAAAATTAGCAGTTTGTCAACTTTCGTTTTCGAGATTTCAGAGGTTTCGATTCCCAGTTGGTTAAGAATAAACATTTCCATTTCCATAAAAAATCAAGTGCTTTAACTATTTATCCTTTGATCAGATTTCGTTTAATTTATGGAAGTGAAAATATACCTAATCCGCCTTTTTAAATAAGGGTAAAGTTAGTCGTGGACCTAATGTTGTCTCTGTCTTCTTATTAGCAAACAAAGGTGATAGCATCAGTTTAAGTTCAGGTTTAACTTTAGTCTACGTTTTCAAATAAGGCGGATTTTAAGACAAACTAATGAAACTATTTCTAAATTAATTATTCGGTATTATTATTTACAGAAAACAGTAACCTTGTCAGGCACAGAAGGGACGCTCTGAATATAATGGAAATCATAATAAAGCAACTGAAAGGTAAACAATTTAATGTTATGAACTCGAATACATATATTTCTGAGAGCAATAACCGTAATCGTATTATTATTTTCAGAGTTAAAAAAAACAGAAGAACTGAGTAAGCTAAAGACAATTTACCAAAACTACCATCAAGACTTGTCGAAAGATGATTCACACGAAATAAGATCTAAAGTAGATGCAATTAAAGTCCACTTTAAATAATTCTATCATAATATGTGTAATTTATTGTCAATAAGATATCCATATTAAAGAATGATCTTCAAGGTATTCTGGTTTTATTGTAGTAGTTAAATAAGACACATATTTATCATCACATTGTTGTTTAATCATTATGCATCAAATAAATCTATGGAATGAAATAGATATAAAACGTAACAATTGTAGAATGACAAGAGATAGAATTTTAATCTATTTTTCATATAAGCAATAAAATTTTAGCTGCTTTCACACATCAAAGAATCTATTGTAGACGCCATGAGGTATTGTATACTTGTTTTGATGGTTTAGCTTGATTTAAATTCTTTACCAAATATTTTTTACATATCTTTTGGCAAATTAATACTAATTTTAATGAATATTTTTGTCTAATCAGCACATAAGGAGCTCGGTTTCGGAGACTAATCCATACTTAGTTAACAACTTGTGCTAAAGTTATATTTAAGAAATTACAGAATTTATTACTAAATATAGAACGAAAGCGTTGTGTATTTTTTTTTTGTATTTGTAAATAAAATTTTATCAATTTTTGAAATTGCATCGAACATATCCCAAACAAACTATCATTGCCAATTATGAATAACAAACAAGTAAACATTATCAATAAACAATTTATCAGATTGATTTAATACAATTAATTAAAATAGCTTATTACAACACCCCTACACTTAATGGGCAAAAAAGGTAAACGTGAAGGTTTTTATATATCAAATTATATACAAACTGAACTTTTAAGTAATATATTTATGGAGGACCCGATGCATTAATTACAAATTTATTTAAATATTAAGTCGAGCCCTCATTTGTTTTCACGTTTGAGTCAGTTTACATAACATGATTAATAAATAAGTCCAAGGTAATAAAGTTTTAGATTATAATGTACACAATACCAAATAAAAGTTCGAATTTGAATATATACTATTATTAAATATGCTAGATACTAATAAAAAAAATTTGTAGCTCTTTGGGTAAAAAATATTTATACATTTTCTTTAAAATCTAAGAGATAATGATTGCGTCATATGAACAATAAAATCCATTGCGAAAACAGGCTGTCACATTGGTTAATAAAGGATTGAAAAAACCGCTCTATATTGAATATTGTTACATCTATAAAAATACAAATAACTTGAGCTAAAGCACGCTAAAGGCACAGCCGAGTGCATATGCAGCCATGTGAGAAAGGAAAGAATAACTAACTGCCTTAAGTATATATTATGATATTTGACTAAATTATAATATATTTTGTAATTGATTTAGTTAATGCTAGAATTACAATTGTGTTAAAAATAAACAAAACCATTGTAAGAAATTAACAGAGCTATGCGTTATAGGGGAAACTATCTTTATTCCCAGTCGGTTCCGAGGGATTGCCATCGGATACATATGGGAATAAAAAAATAACCAGGGGGGGGGGGGGGCAATGATTTAATTCTCATTCATCTCTTTTTTTTATTTCGAAAACTAAGTTATAGTTCAACATTGACATGCAGAAGAGTTTTTCGTCTTTGTCTTTTATACTATCGGTTCATTATCAAGAGTGAAAGAAGCGCTGCGATACATAAAAAATATTATCTCAAATTGTTTGTGACTAAAATAATTTTCCTACTACTAATTCGCATTTAATTTAATGACAAGCAAGGCCTTCGACCGGTTAATTGTCGTAAGTTAAATATCTCTGTTTATATTGTATTTTTTACCAATGATTTTGTAGGCAATAGTTACATATAAATTAACATCTAATACCTAGGCCAATCTTGTCAGACGATCCTAAGTCACGTAGCGTTATAAATTTTTTAATTTATAAAATAACATTAACGTATATAACTTACTTTTTGCTCCTTTTGCCATAAATAGTTTGACCTTAAATATTTATTATTACTCATGCTTTACAGTATTCTCAAATGAAATAAAATTTTCATAAAATATGTACAAACTTAATTAAATAATATGTGTCGAATACAATAATAGTTCATAAATAAATAACTAGTTAACATATCAGCGATCTCGATTGAGATCGTTCTTTATTGACACAACACAGAGCGCTAAATCAGTGGTTCGACGAGGGACCATTTGTTAAAATTTCCGTTTTGCCACAGAATTATGATAATTATATTCATCAGAATTCTTCCTTATGTAATATATTTTTAAATGGCTTCGCGAACCACTTCAGTTTCTTCCAGGGATCACCGGTTAAGGGGCCATTCATAAAATACGTCACACGTTAAGGAGGAGGGAGGGGTCCTAAGTTTTGTGACGTCACATTTCAAAATCTAATACCTACTTTTGAACAATTATCAAAAATCTTTAAAATATGTAGACCGATATCTGTAGAGGGTTTCATTTATTTTTGACTAATTTTCGGAACTACTGTATTAATAATAATTTCTTAATTCAAAATATGTGACGTCACACAAGTGGGGGGGGGGGGGGGCTCACAAATGTGACAAGGACGGGTTAGGGGTAAAATATCACGTAATTAATGGATGACCTCTAAGAACTGAATAATCAACCGTGCAGCAAAAAAAAATTTAAAGCTAGCTTTAGATAAACATCCCTGATATTAATTTTATTGTTATTGCACTGCACTGATATCCATTATATTATCGGTTGCTAAAATTTTACGTCACTCGAGTTCAGTAGAGCCTTTTCAAAGATTTCAATTAAACTACTAATGAAATAACTAACACACAATATATAAATAATAATGTATATATACAACCGTGATTCTAGTCTAATTTATGTCTCTGAACATATAAAAAACCTTACCTTACCAGGATTAGAACTTGCTACCTCTGACGTCACCACTACACACATACGTCATTATATCAACACTTATTATGCTGTCTCTTATTAAATTAATTTATTTATACAATAAATCTACTTACACAACAAAATAAATCACCAAACTTACGGCTAGTTTTGATAATCAATCTCCAGTAAGAAATAGAGGCATCTTAGGGCCTTAGCATGTTTTGTTAATTTGTTCTAAACAACAACGGTTTATAAGAAACGTAAACAGGAGACCAATTTACTATAACTCCTCGCTATCATCTTCAAAGCTAAATAAAAGTGTCAATGTGAAAAAAAATTGAATAAATTATTAAATTATGTTGTTAATAATAAACATATTTTAATTAAAAGCACAGTTCAATCAAACCCGTGTCGAAAGTGTTTTATTTGACATACATTTAGTTGAAAAAGAAAACTTCTTATTCACATTAGGTCTAGGAACAATCCAATCTTTTACTGAAGATTGTTTACTTTAAACTGACCGTTAGCAAATGTTTACGGGCACCAACACTGTTAATATTGCACTTTAAACGTCATCGAACAGTCCTCTTTGGGGCATGGTCATCTTGCTTCTGTCATCGAAGTCAGTCCGGAGGGTGGACTGAGTGCTTTTGCCGAATCTGTCTTCGATCTCGTCCTCTAGAGTTAAATCGTGCCTGTTGTATGGCATTTCTGCCCTCTGGTAGTCTGATATCGGTGGTTCTGGTTGATTTCTTTCTAGAGTGGAGCTCACGTAATATTCTGAGTCCGCGTCGTCGAGGAGCCCGGTGTGGGCTGAAATGTGACACACATGCACAATAACTGATAGCATAAACGCTTGGAAGGAAGAAAGAGGTGGTATAGAAGTGATTATCAAGTCTGCATTTCACTTGGCTATCTGTAAACTTGACATAAGTCTGTCCTTTTCATTACACTAATATTATAAAGAGGAGGAGGAGCGGAGAAGCTCGATAGCGCAGGTGGTTAGTGCGTTCGACTGCAATCGTTGAAATTAAGCAACTTTCGCAGTGGTCGGTCATTGGATGGTTGACCAAAAATTTACAATCTCGAGCTTCTCCGTGCTTCGGAAGGCACGTTAAGCCGTTGGTCCCGGCTGCATCTGCAGTCGTCAGCACCCACCAATCCGCACTGGGCCCGCGTGGTGGGACATGGCCCAATCTCCCTATTCCATCCATAATGAAGGCCTGTGCCCCAGCAGTGGGGAGATTAATAGAATTAATTGGTATGGAGTTAGCTGACACCCAGGATTAACATATATGCTACGTTTTACTGTGGGAAAATATCCCTTAAAAACCGCGGGTAACACAGTTAGTTCCTTATGAAGCATGATAAAGGCACTGTTAACAAGTTTACAAAATAGCAAAAACGAGTAGCCAATTGAAGTGCCGACATCAAATACAGATCGGTTATTAGGATGCGTATAGGAAGTAAGTTTCAGAGGTGCATGATATTGAATACACTTTTATGTCGAAAACGTAGGAAGCGAATCCAGTATTAAAAATACATAGTTTTGTTTTTTTGTATATAGGCCTAACTTCTGACGATATTGGTTCTTATTATTCGAGAAAGCCGGTCGGTACAGGAAACTTGTGTCTTCATGGTGACATCAAAAGTAAATCTATTTTATAAAATTGGAACAGATAAAAAAAATATCACTATTTTTATTGAGTGTAGAAAAAAAACTATTAATCTATTTGAACATCCGATCACTAGTATTGACATAAAAATGATAAGCAGAAATTCAGTACAGTAGGTAATATAGGAAGGAGAAATGCCATGGCATTGGCAATATCAGTCTGTATAAAAAGATACAAGCAAATATAAAAAATTATGGACATTATTAGGATCAGTGACTATTATCCCGTCTTGGGAGTAAAGTAAAAATATATGATGTGCACACTGGTGCATTTTCCTTGCAAAAAGTAATAAAACTCAGAGTAGAGTTACAGAAGGTACTGCATGCTAAAAGTGTAATTATAAGGTCTTTAGAAGTGAAGCACATTTAGTTATCTCATGTCTATCAAATGGTGAGAGTTTGCATGAGAAAAAAATTTTTTCACGTTAACGAAGTCGCGGGCACCCTTTAGTCAAAAATATACGTTAAAGGCTAGGCCTTACCCACTAGTATAAAAAACAAATCAAATATAAATCGACAGTGGAAAAGCTAATACGCCACTTTGGTGCTGCTTAAAAATAAGGTTAAATAAAAAGTGAAATTAAGCTCATTTTCAAGCATCACAAAAGTGGCGTATAAGCAATTTCGCTTTTCCACTGTCGAAATAATTATGTAGGTAGTCGTATTACCTCCGTCGCGTTCGTCGCGGGCGGCGCGGTAGTTGGAGAACCGGTTGTTATAGTCACGACGCCGCGACATCGATTCTTCCGCGCGTTGACGCTTACGTTTCTCTGGAACCAACATTTTAAATAAGTAAATTTTATACTAAACAGAATAATATTAAATCTAAAAAGAATATTACTAGGAAAAATCCACGCGGACTAGGCAGCAGACGGGGCTCCAATCCGCCCGCACCCTACGCTATCCGGGCGAATGCACTAATAATTATGCTACTGCGGCCCTGACGGCCGCTTTGAATTATTTCTACCTTTTCTTAAGCTGCAACGCAGCGCCATCTCTTCGCAGTATAGGTAACGTACAATAGAATAATATTAGACCGTATTTGGCTCAGCTAAAAGTTCTTTTTGCATATACAGTGTGACCAAGATCAGCCGGCCTATTCGCTAACTTTGTTGACACTTACAGTGTGCAATCAAAGAGGAATTTGCATATCCATCGGTGCTTTTCAGAACTAAGTCGCGTTTCGATAAAGTAGCAGTGGATTACTAAATAGCTCAGCGATTATCACTTCCATCTGTCGAAAGCAGTTAGCGTATAGGCCCACTGTTGGCACTTTAATGACATTGACAGAAGGGCGCTCCCGGGGAATAAAGGTTCCTTCAGACAGCGAGCGGGGCGGTACGGCAACGCGACGCCGACGCGATATAAATAATTGTAATGTATCAGTTATTATGAAATACGTCACACAGCGCCGTCGCGCCCGGCGTGTCGACACTTTTTAATCTTTATAATTTTACTTTCCACTCGCCTTCCCCCACCACGCACAAGCAGCAATTCACACGCGACTCGGATGTCGGCTTGCACATTTTTGCATATAGACAGTATAGTTGCTCGTACGATCATTTTAATAACATTGCACGAGACTTGTCACAAGCGATGTCAGAAGGCGAGTGCACAGATGCAGTAGCTGTCTAATTTCACATCAGCAACTCGCATTTGTGTGACCGGGTGAGACGAGTCTTCTTTCTTTCTTTCTCTTTCTTACACACTTCCACACGCACGCACTTTCACGCGCGCACACACACACACACTCACTCAAACACACACAGACACACTCACACCTACATGCATGCAACAATTAGTTTTGTTTTCTTCTTAGATTTATTCAACTCAAACTTTACTTTTAATGTTTATACTGAAGCAATAACTGTGAGCCATAACTGCCAATTGTAACCTCAGCCAATACATGGGTCGAGCCTAGCTCCCTTAATACAAGTTGTCTTGTCAACTTAGCAAGGTAGCTAGTGTTCCAACAACTTGAGCTCCTTTTAGTGATAATTGGATAGCAACCAAATGTACCTCAAGATTGTAAAAATATTTAGATGCAAATAAATTATTACTATTACCTCTCTTTGCGATTTCTCGGCCCTCATCCACCAGGTCAGCTGTGAGGTCATCATCCCCCACGAACTGCTGGAAGCCGCATAGAGTAAGCAGCCTGCTGCCCAGCGAAAAATACGTGGCGGCGCACAGTAAAACCACCAGCATTGGGAAGTAGATGTTGAAGCCTGCAGCTATGATGCCCAGGACTTCCATGTGGCCCATTATCTAAGGATATTTATTGTTTGTTAATACGCTGGTTATTTAAAGGGCAGTTAAGTGTAAGTTTCCTAACACTTTCTTTGTGATATACACCGTGAAATTGAAGTTACCTGAGAAACTTAAGAATAACAGTTATAAACAGGAAAAGTACTAAACCCCCATACAAAAATATTGATTTATATTGTTTACTAAATATCCTAAAACGGTGAAAAATTGTAGATAACATACCTATTATGGAATTACTATTCATTTAGAACGTAGATCCCAAAAGTAGTTTTTTTGGCATAAAGGAGACCCGGCACTTTTCATAGAAAAAATGCTAACTTGTATACAGTTGAATTTGGTCTCAAAATAAAGCCAAAATTATTTGCTACATAAAACTACTTTTGCCTTATTTTTAGTGAATCGTGGAAAGAAGTTATTTAATGTTTAATATTTTTTGATATAGAAACCCTTTTGATGACAAACCTACGTATTTGACATTGACAGCTAGCTGCTGATGACAAATATTGCCAGACTACGGTACCCAATTATGAAACACAGATAAAAAAATTAAACAAGTATACAACTTTGGCACAAAATGCCGGGTGTCCTTTATGACAATTATAATTTGTTTAGGTTTCATAGCTGCACAATCAATGAGTTAACAGGGAGACACTTTGTGAGAAAAATACTATATATTTCGGAATTTCAAAAGTCCTAACAAAAATCCTGAGATTTCGAAAAAAGTCTGGACTCTTTAGGCACAAAATGGTACCATTACTCACTTAGTTACAATAATATGATGGTATTTAAATCAATAAGTACTTTTATTATTCATATTCAATGTAATTTAAAAAATCCGGACAATTTAAAGATCCGAACAAAGTCCTGACTAATCCGGACGGATGGTAACCCTACGCACACATATCGTCGGTGATACTGCAAAACGTTCCATGTCAAGAAAAAAATATTTTGTTTTTTTTAATGAAAATGAGCGTGCGTGTATCCGAACGCACTTACAAATCGTTCTAAGTCGTCCGCCAATCAGAACACAGTTTTCAAATGTGTTGCAATACGTCACTTTCAAGTCTTGTCACTTGTCGGGGTACTGCAATATGTTCCATGTCGACGCAACGGTTTTTCGCAAGCTGATTAGTTATAAAAATATAGGTTTTGAATAAATATTTAAAGGTAAGTAGACATTACCCTATAATTTAATGTTATTTCATCGTACTATAACTGAAAAAAACGTAGAAAGCGAGTAGAAATCTTAAATTCTGTACAAAACTCAGTTCTGTATAACAAACAAAATGTTTTAGCTAATTTTTGAATTTTATTGCTAACATTGCTTAAAAACATGTGTCCAGACCAGACAAAAAAAAATGTTACCATGAAATATCACTTGATTTCACAGACAGGTGAAAGCTGCGCTAAGGTTTATGTCTGCAAAGAAATGTTCTTATCAACCTTAGGGATTGGGAAAAGACAGTTACGAGACTGGTTGCTAACAAACACAGACAATACTACTATACCAGAAAAAAACTATAAAGAAATATCTGTAATTGCGTTTTTAAAGAGAGAAGAGAGAAAAGAGCTGTGTGAGAAAAATAAAACCTTTTGCTCAAGACGCTATTTCTTAAAGATTTTTGGAAAACTTAATTATGATATTTTTAGTCCCAGGAAGGACCAATGCAATAAGTGCATTAGTTATAAACAGGGTCACTTATCTCAAACTGATTATGACACTCATTAAATAAAGAAACAGAGATCGAGAAATGAAAAAGAAAATGATAAATGTGATACTGAATCTGATATATTAGTTTATTCAATGGATGTACAAACTGTTCTTCTGCGTCCAAATCTTCAAGCCTCGGCAACTTACTATAAGACAAAGTTAAAGGTCCACAACTACACCATCCATAACATGAAAAACAAAGAAGCTGCATGTTACATTTGGCATGAAGGGAACGGTGGCTTAGAAAGTGATGTATTTGCTACTAATTTGTCTAAACACCTTAAGCATGATATTGATAAGTTTAAAGCAACTAAAATTATACTATGGAGCGATGGGTGTGGTTATCAAAACCGATGTTTGACTTTGGCTAATGCTTTGCTTGACTTGGCAATTGAACATAATATTATAATTGAACAAAAATATCTCGAAGTCGGCCATACGCAAATGGAAGTCGATTCAATTCATAGTGTGATAGAAAAGAAATTGCGTGGTCGAAAACGAGATATTTTTGTTCCTGCCGATTATGTGAGCATAATTAGGTCAGCAAGACAAAATCCCGAGCCTTATAAAGTATTTTACTTAACTTACAAGGACTTTCATAGCTTTTCTCAGGGTAAATATGAAAGTTTGAGACCGGGCAATAAAAAAGGTGATCCTTATGTTACCGACATTGTAGCATTACAATACGATCCCAGAGGTATAATAAACTACAAAACCGACTTCAATCAGTCTTGGGAATGTTTACCAAGGAGACCACTGGTAACTGCTCCACTTCGCTTGAGTGGACGCCCTTCCCTTTACCAGAAGCCACTGACTATAGAAGCAACCAAATTTGCACATCTTCAGGAAATGAAGAATCTTATTCCTTCGGATCATCATGTATTTTATGATTCTCTAGAACATGGCTGTTCAGACATTGAAACATGTCCACATGTTCGTAAATTAGTATAGGTTATCAACATCATGTGCCACATCGTTCTACATCTAGACAGCCATGTTCTAGCTAGTAAATTAATTTAGGTGGTACTTTATAGCTAGTAAGTTAAACATAAAGGCAGCAAACATCTTCGAATGCATGTTTTTTTATACACAGTTTTATACGTTAATTGCGGTTATAGTTATTTTATTATTCCGTTAATAAACTACGATTATTTTAAAATTATCAGTTTTTTTAAACAGCAATATGTTTTATGTCAAAACAATAGGTTCAATTAATTCATTGCAAAATGTGCTATGTCCAATTATTTCCATAATTAAGCTACATTGGAAATTCATTCACATATTATTTTATAGCTCTTATTACCGTTGTAACACTACGTACTTATCAAATACTTAGCGACAGAAACTAAAAAAAAAAACAGTTTTTTGTCTCTACTGTAAAATCACTTTTAGCTGACATAGCTCCATTTGCAGTATCACCGACGATATATTGTTTGTCTGCCCAATTCGATAGAAAGGCAAGCTGTGTTTGCAACTCCTGGTTGCGTCGGCCGTGTTGCTCTATGGTAGTAGCAATCACTGGCTAAAAAAATAATAAAGCATTATATCACTCACACGTGTGTAAGACGTCTCAACTATAGCCCCTTTTTCGTTGCTGTGCATTCGCGCGTCCATATGCACCAAGCTCAAAAAGTTCAGGCACATGGCCGGAGTCAGACGACACGCCATCATGCCCGAGAATATCAGACTGTACTCGTTGGTCTGATGGTGGGGCGCCAAATAGTAAAGGTTTAGGAAACGGATCTTGAGTACGGTGGAGTAAGCGCAGTAGAACACGTAGCCTATTATTATCGTTGATATCCACTGCGAATTGAAAGATTGGTATTATTTTCAGGCCGATATAACATTAACGAAAGGATCGTCGACGTCGTTTCTAATAACAAGGAAAATTTTTAAATGGAAGTTGTTAAAACACTAAAAGGAGTTTTATCAGTGTATGCGCTAGTGTAGAAATATGTATGTATAGTTTTTTTTGGAGTGTAAGTGTGTGTGTATCTGTGTCTATGTATAATTATGTGTGTGTTTAGGTATGTGAGGGTGTATATGTATAAATGTCTTTCTACATGTTAAAACTCCTTGGTTACAAGGTCACTTGTTGTATGTTGTTTGTATATCGTATTTTTATTTTTTTCTCATGGCTGTTACTTAATTTATTCGTTGGCATTTAATTAATCATCACTGATGTAATGTACACTTACTATTTTTAAATTAAGGAAAACCTGTAATTGACCATACTTACCTGTAAAATACTATCTGTTATTTATTGACGAATACGTTGTTGGTTTTCTTTTAATAAAATAAAATATAAAAATATCGTCGCGTTTACGTCACTCTTGATTTAAACCTTATGTTGTCTCTGTGTCCATTTTAGCTAGCAAAAGTGACACCATCAGTTTAAGACTAGGTTTAACTTTAGTCTTCGTTTTGTAATAATGTGGTAAAAGTCCGGACATGTCCAGATAAACTACGAGGAATAATAACTCCACTTGTAACACACATAGTATGCTGCACTCACCAATATAGCGGCGTAGTTGTAAGTGTTCTTGGTGGCGGTGACTATATGCGCAAATATGGACAGGACCGGCCGCGTAGAGAAGAACGTCATCTCCGACCAAATGATCATTAGGGACAGCGCGCCTGTCGCCAGAGCCAGCCCCTTCAGGAAGTACTGGCGCAGGAAACACTCCCAGTACCACTCTGCAATGTCGCCATCATCATCATCAGCCTATTAATGTCCCCATTGCTTAGACACTTGCGTTTCTACGAATGGAATAGAGAGATTGGGCGATGACCCACGCCCAGTGCGGATTGGTGCTCAACGTGCGAAACAGTAAATTTTTGTTCACCCATCCAATGACCGACCATTGCGTAAGTTGCGTAAATTCAACGATCGCAGTTGAATGCGCTAACCACTTGCGCTATCGAGCTCCTTTTCATCATCATCATCAGTAGCCTATAAATGCCCCCCCAGGTCAACCCTTGGGGGGCATTTATGGGCACCATTATAGGGAGATTGCTCGCGTGCCTAGTGCGCATTAGTGGGAGCTAACGACTGCGGTTGAAGCCGCGACCTACGGCTTAACGTGCCTTTCCAAACACGGAGGCGAATATAATTTCTGGCTACTTGCCACTGCGAAAATTGTTTAACTTCCACGATCACAGACCGAATAACCACTTGCGCCATCAAACACCTCACCAAAACGCCATATCGTCGCTTAAACAACAATACCGCGCAAGTCGAAAAATGACGATGTGACGTTTTGTACATCATTGGATAGATCTTTTTGCCGCGCAACCAATGGTAATATGTAAAATTTTGAAATTAGCCAATCATAGCAATTTATTGAGTTGTACTGGCAACGCGCAAATCGTTGACAGTGTCACAACCGCACAAGTCGTCAGTGCGCCATAGAAAATTGTGTTAACGTGAGAATTTCCAGCCACCACGTGAGAGCACCATCTGGGTTGTGAACTAGAACCCTTAAGTCAGTTACAGTTGGATCATTGGCTGTCTTTCCCGGTCAAATGCTTTGATAAATTAAGTCTTTACTTAAGTCTGTATAAAAGCTACAATCTACAGTGCGAGGTTCGTATGGCATTGGGTCAGTTATAGCATTCATTGCTATATCAGCATACTGTGAAGGTAACCGGTTCCTTTCTTTCAATATGCGGTGCTATTTCTGCATCAGTAATGTTGCCTGCTGTTTACTGTGGTCATGAAGACCACAGTAAACATCACACCTATATTTTTTTGGGCCATATAGGCTCAAATTGAGCTTTAAAAATATATCGTCAAAAGCCCTGCTAGAGAGACATTCTGCAGATTCGTAATCACATTTATTGGTGAACTCTTTGTTAAGATGCAACATGATTTGGAATAATGGCTCCAAGTACTTTCTTGATGTATTTGATCGACAGTAACGAGAATGCATTTTTGGGAGACTATTTAGAAATTCTTCAACATATTCATGAGCATCATGCTTTGTTTTTCAAAGGCTGGCATTTCGTGAATGATCATTCATTTAATCATTCACGAAATGCCAGCTTTTCAAAAAAAGCATGGTGCTCATGAATACTTTTGAAGAATTTCTAAAAAAGATAGGTGGGATGTTGCTGTGGTCATGAAGCAGGCAATATTACTGATGCAGAAATAGCACCGCATATTGAAAGAAAGGAACCGGTTACCTTCACAGTATGCTGATATAGCAATAAAAGCTAGAACTGACCCAATGCCATACGAATGTTGCATTGTAGATTATAGCTTTTTTACAGATTTAAGTAAAGACTTAATTTGTGAAAGCATTCGGCTGGGAAAGAAAGCCAATGATCCAACTGTAACTGATTTAAGGATTCTAGTTCACAACCCAAACGGTACTATTTGGTATAAATTAAATTTTAATGTTCCCTTGCAACCACTGCCTCAATGTCCGACGAAATTAAACAATGTCGTAAGTTTCGATGCATTTCTTAAACTATATACTACTACTAGAGACTACCAATTTCCCAGCGAAACTATAAGGATCTACAAGATTGAAAGGGGGTGCTGTCATCTAACTGTCATTAATTTTACGATGATATACCAGTCCAAGTTCAATTTTTAACTGTGATGTAATTGAACTATAAAACAATTATTAATATGATGTAACAGAATCTAGAATTGTTAATTTCTTAATATTACGGAACTTGTCAAACTATTACTATACGTTATTTTTCCTATAAAATAATGTAAGTTTTTTTTTAAACTGTTTAGTTTTGCTTTATTTTCGTCTTTTTCTATTATATTTTATTGGCACTTTTTAATTATAATTATAAAAGCTTTTTTTACCAAAACAATTTAACTAAGTATGTTACATAAGATCATAATAATTTTCACATAAATACTCATTTTTATTGATAAGTGTACCTTAGACAACAAAATATAATTAAGTGCATTACAAGGAACTGAAGTTCCTTGGTGCATTGTCAAGTATTTTTTATAGTTCCTACTAGTAATATATAAGACGCTTTAGCTTTGGAGAATTAATTTTTGTTACTTAATTACTGATAAATAAAAAGTATGAAAACCGCAGAAGTCTTTATTTTGTAGGACTTAAACCGCATAAGTCAAATATTTAGTTTCACAGAACTAAATATACTAATATTATCTCTTGATATCAAAATGAAAGCTAACTCATACCTATTTTTAAATTCATAAAACATTAACGAAGTGTTTAATAAAAAATAAACACATTTTTGTCTCTCCTGAAAACTTGTCAAATTTTATTTACGCGGTATTGTTGTATAAGCGACGATATGAATTAGTAAAAGAGCTAGAGGACTCGTCGGCACCAGGCTGAAATTAGCTTATATTTGGAAAAATACCAGGAAGTTCTCGGGATTCTCAGGGTGAAGGTTGACAAGGTGAGGATGGCTAGTGGCTGGCTTAAATGTTAAATCAATAGTGTATTTTTCGAGTCAAGCCCCTTTTCAGTGTCAGGCTATATTGGCCAGAGTTAAAGAATGTTTCTAGGAGGTTTCTTGCCAAACAGGGTTCGAATTGCGTTCAAAACAGCATATTGGGGTATATTGGTAATATTATTGTGTTGGATCGGGTATCTTTGTAACTGGTCTCCACTTACACATAATATCAGGTGTTTTTGTTGCATCTTGCATCAGAAAAATGTAATGAGTTGGAGAAGGAATTCATCACTGATGACATATGTGGCACTTGTACCAGCATCAGCGATGAAGTGACAGAACAAAGGTACAATGTACAATAACAACTATAGCTGTGGATCCCGTATCGGCTATAATACCTACTATTGATCGCCGTCAGTTCTCCCTGCTGGCAAGAATTATCGATCTTTTCATTAGTTCATCGCATGGCGAAAGTTGAAAATGATTTTTTCGGTGCTCGTTCTTCTGATTTTAATGTCTCTAGCTAATCTTCTATGGTGGAAAAATATCGCGTACTTGCTATCGGTATTGAGTAAGTAAAAAAAAACATGGTGACATACCAACTATTGGCGGGTAGAATAGCCGTTGCAATCTTGGGCGAGGCGTGTGGAAAGTGTGCTGGAACCTTTTGTCCGGCGATCGTAAGTTTGAGGCAACGTCTTCTAAGTGAAAGATGCGCTCCAGCATCATACCCCACTGGGTTTCCGTGCGTTGTAACACGTGTAGGGCTTTGATAGTCTGTGACAAAATATAGTAGTTTTCAATTAAATTTTTGGGGATTATGCCAGATTATGGCAGCTACCCTCCCCTGCCCCCCCTCCTGACGACGCCCTTGAGAAAGTGATTTGAAATATGATGTTGAGATTGTGAGTCTATCGCCTAAAAATTAACATAGAACCAGGTCAGGCAGGTCATTTATAAAAAATATTTACTAGGTTTATTTACCTTTTTGTGCAAATTAACTAGTGATTTAAATGATGGAGGTGCCGGTCTATACGGTGGAGCCCGTGAATTGAGCCGATCCCTCAGCTGTATTGGTAACTTCTGTATGATTGTTTCCACATGTCGGTGAAGGGGATGATCTGGCCCTATTGCTGTTGTAGCTGCTTGGAGACTCTATATAAAATGATATAAACAATGATTATTTCATTTGCCAGTCTTTTATTCAAACATAAAAACTAAAAATATATACTAAGAGCAAAACAGTCACCAAACTTTAATAATGTAGGTCAGCAATAGATCTGCTGTGAAGTATATATATTTTATCAGACACAGCAGAAACAAAGATAATCCCAAAAATATATTAAATATTTCTAGTAGCATTAAAAAGTACAATAAAATTAATATGTAAAAGAACCATTTTCAAAAGTTACCATTGAAATTAACTCACATCAAGGATCTCATCAACTGTTTCCTCAGCTTCACATTTGTCAGTGCTCAATTTTGCCATTTTGAAATAGCTGTGTGTCAATGAATAATTCTTCTTTGAATTGTTCCATAAATTTCTTGGTACTTCCACCAGAGCATAACCAAGAAGAAGGATCAGCAAGAACAGACCCCATGTGTTACTCGCTGAGGATGCTATGGCTTTTATCTTTGGTCCATCCAAGTAAACATTGGGTTGAAAGGCCAGGTAAATGAGAAGTATACCACAAATGAATAAGTATGAGCCGTAATATATAGCATTGTCAATGAGAGCAGATTTTAATTTGCCCTTTACAGTAAAGTCTCCTGCTTTACTGTATGATTGCATCATTGGCATTATGAGCCTGAAATAAAAGCAATTTATAGAATCTGCAAAATAGTCTAGAACATAATAAACAAATAAAATCAAATATTTCTTCATGCCTATTGACAACTCATTTTGTTAAAATTTCCCCACTGAAATTTATTTATATCTATTTATATATAAATATAATGTATATGTATTCTATCCATTACTAGCTACTAGTATCCCATAACACAACCCTTACAGTGCTTACTTTGGGGCTAGGCTAATTGGTGTGAGTGTTGGAAATATATGTTATTTATGCCAATTTGATCAAACAGTTTGAACTAGCTCGTTCAATCAAAAACATCTATAGAGGCCATTATGGTTTTATAGAATCAAAGATACAAATAGTTGAAATAAGAGCACAAATATGTATCAGAAAAAAAAAATCTATTTTTTCTTAGATTATACACACACATGGTAAGAAAAAAAACAGGGCCATATGATAAATATAGAAAGTATAGTATAAAGTATCACCAGGACTTTTACCAAGTCAAACATTGAGATGTCCAGTAGACTACTCGCCAAAGATTAGTAAACACATTATCAGGTACATAACTCCAAGGCTTTTCACATGGGTTCACAGGCGGTGCAACTGTAGTTGTGTCATTGCCTCCCGTAGCTTGAGATTGTGGTATTACGGTAATGTTGTTATTTACTAAGCATTGTCGATAAACTGTCTGAAAGGTTAAAAAATTAATTAAAAGAAGTGACACAAAATTATAATTTCTTGAAATAAAAAATTATAGTATTCGAACTTCCACATTTTTTTTAAATAACAATATTATCCTATGAGTTTCTGTAGAGTGAAATTGTCAGATCACCACAGGCTTTTATCCGGATATGTAAGGCTAGCCAAGTAAGGTACATAATTTCTGGTGTTACGAAAGCTATTATAGTTAATAATAATAGGGTTCAATTGTCACTTTTGACAAGGTCAGTCTTGTGCAATGAAAAAGGTCTTCCTTAAAATACTAATTGAATAAAATATTGATACTTACTGTTGTTACGTCTATGGGCAATATGAACATAATAACAAATGAAAAATACCAAGCCGTTAACACAGACACAGTCACAATCAGGTGATTTCTATAACAGTCTCCATATCTATAGAGTAATGTAGCTGCTAAGGCAAAGGCAGAAACCAATTCAATAACAAATAATGTGTACACCATTTTCACAATTTTCTAAATAAATGATCACAATAAGTAAATGTTAGTTTTTCTTTGCAGTTTTCTGTTTTGCCGTCCACACTCTATTTGCCTCGTGTTGGAGTTGTTCGAACCGAACCTGCGTTGTCGATTTTAATGGTAACAATCTAGGCCGTTCAATTTCATACTCCTGAGGGCATTCTTCGTAAAACAAAATCCCAGTATCTGGTAAAATAGGATCGAATTCAACAGTCGATGACTCTTCCGATCCCTTCGCTCCAGACATCTTAGGTACAGATCAATAGAACGAACATTGTTGTTTTGGCTTCAATGAAGGAAATTGAAGATCAAAAGAGCAATTTATCCGATTAAAATCACCAAATCAGCAATAGAATTATGAATCAAAGGGACATGACAAAAAAAAGACAAATTGAATGACAGAAGTGACAGCGACGCAGTGCTGCCAACCCGAATTTTAGAAAATTAGTAGATTATGTGCCAAATGTTGGTAGAAGTTGGTAGAATGTAAAATGCAAAATTGGTAGATCTACCACCTCAATTTAGAAGATTTTTTAAGATTAAAAATGCATGCAATGCAATGCAGAGCACACTTCAGATCACACCTACATGATTTGCAATAAAAATATCCGTCACCGTTAGTAATTTCTTAAAGCCAACCTGCAAATTCCTTGTCTTTCTCCCATAATTTCGAATATTTTTGGTCATAGTGCCTTTTTCTAGGTTTTCGTGGCGAAGTTCCTAACCTAGAACTATATGCATCGCTTTCGCTGCTGTCAGAATCCATTATATAAATAAATGCACGCAACATAGAACAAACAGCAATTAGCACCGTTAATACGCAGTTAATTAGTTTTTACAATAAAACAGGAGCAAAGATTCAACATTAATTCCGCAACAAACCAACCGGGAATAGGCCATAATAGGAATAGTAAAATATGGGCGCGAAATGGTGCGAACGCCGAATTCATGGCGAACTGTTACTTTTTTTTTGTGGTTTATGGCCTGGACTCTATGTATGCTTGACGCATCGTTGCATGACTCACGCAATACATCGCAACGTCGCTCGTCGATATAAGAATAATTCAAAGTGGTGATATGTCAAACTAATTAAAAAATAGGTAGTTTTTAGGTCTAGATAGGTAGACTGAAGTGAAAATTGGTAGATCTACCAAAAAGTTGGTAGATATGGCAGCACTGCAGCGACGTACAATCAGTATTGCCATAAAAGATTACCACATTATGGTGATTTCACTGCAATATTACTGCATTACTTAATATTTTATCCTTATAATATAAGACTGAATAGCACTAAATACATTTGTCTACTTTTGTAAGAATATACCTGTTTCCTGTTCCGATTTTGATTTTTTTAATTTGATAGCGTACATTGTGAAATGTTAATTAGTGTAATCTCACAAATAGGTGCAACTATTTGAAGATAAATAAATAAAACTACAGTCTAGTGATCCAAGTCTTTTTATTGCCTCACCCTAAAGAAAATACCCACAACAGACACAGTTACGATGTATTTTATAATATACAATGTGCTTTATTCATTAGTGCGTCATGGAAATTCGTGTCTTTTAAATTAGAGCTTTAATGATAAGTTACCTACATTAATTGTTTTTGTATGTGCACTAAACATTCTTAAATAAAGTACGTATGTCCAAAAATATATGAAATGCCATCAATTCTATGGAATTTTGACTTTGGTTTTGATAGACTGATTTTTTTCGTATTATTGATAATTTTTTGGAGGAGATTAATAGAATTCTAAAAATTTCGTCTCTTTGAAATTATTCCTTAGACATAAACACTCGATATTTATATGTAATCTATTTATGATCAATATTATAAACCTGTAAAACATTTGTAAAAGTTGTTATATTATTGATGTGTAACATCTTTCCTCTCGCTTCCCTGCAATTTGTGGGATTGATTTCGTGAAATGGGACGGAAGTGTGTAACATTAAGTCGCGAAAGCGCACGCTGTTTGTTTTGATTTTAGATCATAATGTTCAAATGGCTTATTCCTTTTGTAGTAGATTTTATTTCTTTTTTTACCAATGACAAGGTGAGGTTTCAAATGTTACACATTATACGCGACTACTGTAAGGCTGGCTGGTTTTTCTTTTAATGTCTTGAACTTCTTTTCTCTCGTTTTTCTCCGCAGCTAAAAATATGTCCAAATGCGGGTGGTATGGAAAAAAAATTTGGACGATTCAAAAGAGTTGTACTATACTTCTAATTTGAATAGAGATATTTTGACTTTGTAAATTACCTCCCTGATCATCAAGAAGTTATCGTGCAAATATGGTAATTACTGTATAGCTGGCAATACTTTAATGATTTTAAAATCTCCCTAAAGAAGGCATAGCTTTCTATAATCATACAGCATAGATAGGGAGAAGGTTCAAATTTGTATGGAGGGTGTTTGTCAGTCTTCGACTGACTCCAAATTTTTATAACAAGTAGGGCACTTAAATGTAAATCGTTTAGCAAAAACTTGAATTTATTTTATCGCCATTTTTTTATCCAAATAATTTGTTATTATGTATATCAGATCAGGCCATATACATATAGTTAGCGATCGACCTCGGGCTCTCTTCCCCTCTATTCTTCTAACAACGACTCGGTTTCGGTTTCTCGCCTCTAAAAAGAAAATACGCTGCCCGAACGGTGGATAGGCGTGTTTTGGTGTTCAGTGGTGATAGGCAGAACTGGCTGTCCAGGTCCTTTTGTCTTGTAGCTTTTGTCTCCAACACCACATCTCGAATGCATCTATTCTTTGGCTTTCACTGGCTAGTATGATTCATTTTTCAATTCTATACAAGATAATAGGAAAAATAGATCCCTGATTTTTTTATTTCACTAAACGTGTTTTATTGTGGAAATTCAGGCTGCGGTTTATATTTTAGCGTTTTTTCTACATTTGTTATTAATTAGAGGCTTCATTAATGAAATTATGAATCATTGCTAATAGCAATTGGAAGCGGCATCCGTATCAGCTAGAACAAATTAATTGTTCCCTCTACGAATGGAGGTAAACTTTCTGGCTCCTATTTTAATAATAGATCAATTTATAAGCGGCAGACGGCACTTCTGGAGCGCGCCGCGAGCACTCATTAATGATCAGCTGTTCATACTTATCATTTAGATTAGGGTTTTGTCATTACCGACTGAATTGTTTATGCGTTCTAAGTTTATATAAAACATAATATGAGGTTATTAGGAGACAAAAGCTATCCTATCCAATAATATTCACATGTTCATTAGTGTCTTGACTATCTTGAGTTCCTTCTCATTCCCGCTGCGAGCACCCAATAATGTTTAAGACCAGGTTCGCATGGTGGGTTAAGTAGGTATGCTCATTTTACCTGTCTATAACGTAGAGTCGTAGATCTTTGCCACAGCTGTGAGGATATTAATAAAGGCTAACCGTGAGGCTGAAAATAATGATGGATAAATAGATCCTTTTAGATTAGTTTATTGTTACTGATTAATAGCAAGTGAGGAGATCAATAATAATTAATTTGTACTAATAAAGAAATAAAAATATAATTTATGTATTTCTAATACCGAACTGATACAGAATTCCACGGGGTATGGTGGGATTGCGCCCGGGTAGGCAACGCAACTGCGTGATTGATATTTTTGGTATCGCAAGCGTCTATATGCTATAGGTAGATTCCATTTAAATCTTCATGGGAATTATAACTCGGGGGTTTTTATATAAAAATGGTGGCAAGGCAAACAAGCATTTGTTCGCCTGATCAGGCGGGAAGGAATTTTAGGCGGGAAGGGAACGCAGATTAATATCGCAGGTAGAATGATTACTATCGGGATTTAAGCTAAGGATGTTTTAAAATTAAACCGTTACCATAACATAGTAAAAAAATAGAGGTATATTTAAGGAAAAACCAACGTTTTGCTATCCGGATCCGGATTGTGTAAAAACAGAAATGTTGCTCCGCAAAAGTAACTGCGGTGTGAATGCACCAAAAGACGCATTATTATTAATTTTGCCAGCGTTTGCGTTTTTATTTATTTATTTTGATACACAGATTTGAACCGAGTTTGACGAAAGGAAACTGGTAGGTACGGTTTTTGTAAACCTATTTAAGTGCGTACTTTTGCAATGCAATGAGAACGTTCTGCTGCCTTTCTAAGACCGTACTGGCGGATAAATCTTGGGTAAAAGTTCTTTTTATGTTCTCCGCCTTATTGAATGTTTGGTAGGTACTTTAAAGTCTTTATAATTTAATTAGTTAATTGCTTTTGTTTAATAAATATAAAGAAATCGAAATTTACTACCTTTTACTTTTGTAATGTTTTGTAAATGTTATATATTTAGATTGTTAAAGGTATATGTGATGCAACTGCTGAATAATTTTAGACGAAGCTTTGTATTTCGTTAAAAGTTTTCGTATGAATTCTTAATACTATGCTTAACTACTAAGTAGCGAATCGGAAGCTCGTTTGAAGATATATTTTCAATTTAAAGACCGGATGATAAAGATAAACTATCATATAGCTTACTGAGATAAGGAGACAGAATTTACCCCTTTTCACTAAACTCGCGGTGTCCCTAAATTGAAGAGTAGAAAATGTTGGAGATTGGAATCAATGGCAAAGCAAAGCTAGTTTCATTTGATGGAACAAGACTGAACCGTAGTTTTCAGGCAAATCTAGTTTTCTAGAACAAACTACAGTGTAGAGACAACATTTTGTTTTCGAGACAAGGGGTTTGTACTTTGTTTGTATATGGTAAATACCCAGTCATTCTTTTTTTTCGTTTTTTACTTTCGCAAATGTGTAAGGAGGGGTGTGAGGAGAAGTTTTCTCGCCCCTTCAACATTATCGTAATTGTAAAATTCAATAATTAAAAGTGTTACTATGTTATTTGAATAAGTAGAAGAAGCAAAGCTAATTACTTACGCATACACTTAAAATTTAAATTGACTAAACAGCAAATAATATCTTATTTGGGTTTCGTACCCAAA